CATTGGAATACTGGCGATTCATTGCTGCGAACTTATCTCCAATAGCATTAAGTATCATTATCAGGTAGTGACGAGCATCTGTCTTGCTAGGCATTTTCGCAATACACTCGGCCATATTGAGTAACAACTTTGCGCTCATCGTCTGAAAGCTCGTGCCGGGAAAACTATCTTGTAGGTTTCTGGTGTATACCTCAACGGTTTTCCGGATCTGACCAGGTTCCAAAGCGTCTCGGACATGATGAATCAGATCGGCCAACATGCTGTAAGCCAGAGGTCGCATGCCTTCATACACAGTCAACCCATCTCCAATGAGTGTTCTTTCATCAAGAAGTTGGTCTATCACTCTGAGGAATATCTTTCTAAAGTTGAAGTTAATTATATGTCTGATCGCCACCAGTAGCTCTTTTCGAGCTCCCGATTTCTCTCGAGGGCAGTCCTTCAACAGCCTTACAACTATGTCCGGTAGGGTGGGAAGAAAATCCGTAAGCTGTTGTGAGTAGACTCTTAACAGATAAGCTAGAAAACTCATAGTCTTTACCTGCGCTGTAATAAATTCACCAAAGGCCGCTCGATTCTTAATATCCGGACTGATACCTGTGAATATTGTACCTCTTTTCGCTGCTTCCGCATGCGCTTGCTCCTGTGGTTTAGCTTGGAGTAAAAGTACGCTTTTGATGAGCGGGATAAATAATTTGACATTTTGAGGCACGGAATTGCGATAGACCTGGAATATCGATACCACAATAATGGGACATTCAGCAAGGACTTTAAAAGATTGCATACCCTTCAGTAGCTTCCGTGTCTGCTGTTGTGGATCTTGGCCAATATCTGTGACAGAGGCAATGGGCGAGCCAGGCCGAGGAGAATTCTGAAATGTCTGCGAACTTCCAGGTGTAGAAGGGACACCAGTCTGGTTAGACCCAGTGGCAGAATTGTCTAGTTGATCATGGACAACCGAGTCCATCTGATCAAACAGTTCTTGGATGAGACCGAGGAACGTCTGTACTCTGTCTTGCAGAACCTTGGTCTGACTTCGCATAAGATCCATGATTGTCTTCACACATAGCGTAGCATTCTCCTCATTATCTATCCTGACTAAACTTATCAAGAGATCCACCACCTCCGCCGCATAAGGCTCGAATGCTTCCGGGGGGTTCATTGGTAGACGATGAAGTATCTCCAGGACGCAACATCGAAGTTTCTAAAATTCCCGTGTAAGCATTCTGCCACCAATCTCGTTACTTCGTTGCCTACCTGATCCAAAGAAGTGCTAATGAATACAGGAGGTCCCTTCAAGCAATTTATGAAAATTGGTATGAGCTTTCTTAGAAATGTTGAGTACATGGGGCCGGTGATGTAATGATCGAGGCCATCGCGCAACTGAACGGCAACATCTACCTTGAGCTTGAGATCTGTCGCATTCGAGTTAGCATAAAGTTTTTGAACTATTTTATGGCAAGTATTTGGCATCGAGATAAAGTCACGCGATTGAGAGGCATACCAGTATCTGCAGAGCCCAACCTCTGAGCGAGGACGTCTATGTTATTAGAAGCCATGGCTGCAACAGCAGCGGAATTCGCATTGGCGCAAGCCTTTTGCGAGTATCACTTCATGCGGCGCAAGAAAATAACGATTACAATAGGTTATACCGTCAGGCACGAAAAGAACTGGTAGCTACGTGCAAACAGAATTGGTGTGCGTGCCCAAGTATTTCGCGACTTAAACTGGAGGCTTCCGAGAAAAGATGGTAAAGTACAGAGAAGTTGTGGAAACTATTAAATTGATTATTTGACCAGTAGTTCAGAAAAAGTGAGAGATTCGAATTATATTAAGTCTCGAAATGAAAGGTCCGTCGTGATGTCGTAAAAAGCTAAAAACGTTCTTCTTCTTGATTGAATTTGGTCCTGACAATTAATTCTATGCTTTCTGATAGACAAGGCTTAACTTTTTGGATGGATGGGGGATTGAAAAGACTCCGAACGCTTATATAAGCTAAGCTAATTAGTCAGCGGTGATCATTATTGGTGGATACTAGCTAGCACTATATGGAGTATGGTTAGCCTTATGAGGGAAGCAAAGGGTGCTGAGTCGCGTAGGTTAGTCTTTCAATGTGCAGAACAATCGCAAGAGAGAGAGAAAGTTCTGGTATATAGAATAATGACTCTCTTATCACCGCAATACTAGCTAATGTGGATTAGAAATTGACGTTTGCATGATAATTACTTGATATAATAAAGTTATTATCAGTATAGAATACCTTTCTCCTCACTGAACATTCTCGTTTACCTCCACAACATTGCTCGAATAGCCCACCATAGATCAAACTCGTTGATGATCATGGAACATCTTCAGTGTGCCCTTTCCACTATGGTGCATTGCTCGGTGGACAATTGATGATGGAATCTTTGCGGTTTGAAGTCAAAGGACTATTGATGCAGAATTTGGGCTATGATTTGATCTTTGTAAACATTGCTTCAGGAGTCCGAAAGCCTTGCCAAATTATTGCAGGCTGAAGCTGAGGCAGATTTCGATGCCAGAGAAATTTCAGTGACATTTCTCCACCGGGACATCGTTTCAAATCAAAGGCAACATGATAAGAAGTGAAAAATAGCTAGCTCCCTTGTCGCTACAAGAGGTCCAATACTGCTGTCTTCTCTAGATTTATGTAAGAGTGAAATGATATTTATACAAAGATGGAGGAAGTTGTCGGTAGCTCCCTTTGCTATTGACTTTGTCACCCTTGCAATCCTCGGTAGTGCGCTATTGCAGAACTGCTATATACTCTTTTTAGTGAAGTAAGTGGTACTGTACTTCCTGTAGCTTTTATACTAGGAAAGTTTTTCTCTCAAAACAACTACAGGAGCATTCGTACGGCCTACTGTCGTTACCAACAATGAGGGAGACTAGCAATTTCGCGGATCGTTTTTACATTATATGAGGCTTTGGCTAGTGCAAATCATAATCAAAAGTCCGCTCATGTGGAACCACAGTGCTATCTTCCTAAATTTGACAATGTTAGTTATTCTGAATCACCTTTGCTACTGGGACTAGTTTAAGTCCTCAAACAACGTGGCGCTATTACTGTGTCTTCTGTAAAGAACAGCCCTGACCCCAATTCTACCAAAAAGCTTAATGCTCATCCAACAAGGGATATAGGGTGGTCAGCTTGAATCGCCTACTACTAGCGCATCTCCGCCCGAAAGAGTCTTGCCGCAATGCATCATGACCCATCAAGTACCTTCAGTGTCTACAGATGCCTTCAAGTACGATCACTATATCGCAGTATGGATACTGTTCACTATCCTGAAATTGCCTGCTCACTATTTTCATATCTTAACATCCGGAAGTATTTCGACCTCGAAACATTCATAGATTAAGTCAATCCCTCAATATTGCAACATGTAAGACTAATGGGTGCACGTAGCTACGCTTTCCTTAACTCTACATACCACTGTTTCCACTGCCTCCAACCTTGTGTGGGGTCTCATATTATCATCTAGTCAATTTCACAAAGGGGGCATTAAAACCAATTGTAAGATGCTAATCCTGCGATGACAACTGTTGCTTTTCTCGCCAAGTCCCTTTACATAAAGTCTCACATGTAAAAACACTTGCGCCTAGCTAGTATTGATGATCTGCTGCTTCAAGTAGAAATATCGAGTCTACTTTATGACGATTGCTAGTCGAGAGAATGAGATCAAGACCAGAAGCATCCAGACTTCAACAATTTTTCAAGTTGACCCAAAGGAAACCATCTCAAATAATCCCCGTGCAAGATGCTGTTGAGTATATGGTGGAGAATAATAATTGCGTGATGAGGATACTTTTTGAACAATATCAAGCATACCACAAAACTATGTCCAGGATTTTCCTGGGCTATCGAGAGAAACATCGGATGCAATCATATGAGGTGTGAGTGTATCAGTCAATCATTCAATCTCTTCCTTATTTTTCACTCTCTAACAAATGCGGGTATTTGGGTTTAAAGTGTCGACATACTTTATGGTCAAGTGTTCAAAGGCAATAGCATTGCCGTCCAGTGCGAAAATGTTGTAAGATCTTACATCATTTCATTTCCTGGGTACTTTCATCTCATATTACTTGCTATGTAGAGTAAATCCAACGTTTACTTATACCATCAACTACCTAGTATCAATACTCTTTTTTTTAAATCGTTCAGAACTACAATACGTTCCTGCGTCTTGGAAATACTTTTCATGGGTGTACCTGCCTTTATCATATATCACATCGGATGGTTTCTAGCGGGGTCTATCATTTTGTTTTTATTCACCACTTCATTCACCACATATATATATTTGCAATTAAAAAGATAACATTCACAATTAAAGGTTTCATTTGCCATCTAATAATGCCAAGTGGATTTACCAGATACCATTGTCTTAACAATCCGGAGCTTTTGATTGGTCGCCCTACAAGGGCAGTCCTGTGGATGAAGTTCACAAAACACCTTGTTGGCTATTTTAGAGCACAAGCAAATTTCTATGGATTATCTTCATAACAGTTTTTAAAGGCTTGAATACTGTTCCATCTTCTTTCGAAGTTTACAGTGTACAACTATCGAACTCCAGGGCTTGGAAAGACATTAGCCAAAGATTAATGGCCCAAAACACTTTACGGTAATGTATTCTTACAACATCTCACAACCATCACGTTCGATCCCAATATGTTCCTGTTGCCCTTTCTATTGAGTATATGGATAATAATATACTTTCACCCACAGATGTGCACTTTCCCATCCATGGTTGTATATACAAAAGCTCTCTATCATCTATCGTCCTAGCAGTCAAGTTAATTCACTATAAAGAATATGGGCGTTATATATATAACCCCGGACCCATATAACCCCTCATCTGCTTTAGATTTCCACTATCCCTCATTCACCACTTATCATGTCATAGCGTATCAAATCTAATCTCTCACATCTATCTTGCAGCTCCAGATTTCAAGCACACACAAAATAATATCCAGGGAAACCTAAAATGTCAAACATGGACAGGATGACCACCTGTTCCCTGCTATCCTCGATTAAAGAGCTCTTCCAGAAAAGCCAAACCCCATCGGCATCATCAAAACGAAGTAGCACCTCCATCGTTCCCATTCCAGATCTCGGAAAGCTCGACATCATCGAAAACACAACTTGTCCTCAAACCGAATTCTATGTTCAAGAGATCCTCTCCATTTATACACTTCTATCGCAACTCACTGATTTTAGTCCTTCTCCTACTATAAATGTTCTATTTTCTGATCTCGTAGGAACATGTATCACTATCGTTCCTGACTCAATTTCAAAAGGCGTTAGTTTTAAAGGTTAGACTTTGATGAAAATATATACTAATTGATATTAGGTGCTCGGCGATCCACGTATTTCTAGCATTTTACCTGCGCTTCGAGTCATTTGTTCAACTGCTGAAGCATGTATGGAATCTTACTGGGCAGAAGCTATTTCTAATACCAAGAGCATCGAAGATGGCAAGTTTACATCTACTTTTCTCCCAAGCCATTCTTCCAATTCTCAACTAAAATCCCATCTGTATCTTCCAATTCCAATATCTCACCCACTAATAATCACCAGCCCATCGCGTGCTAGCCACCTTTCCCTACCATAAAAACTATGAACGCCTGACTCGTTTTGAACTCGCCGCTATATCCTCAACAGGCTTTTTCCTATCTCCAACTACCAAAATCGCATTTATTGGCTCCGGCCCCATGCCTCTCACAAGTCTTTGCATCCTATCCGCACTTTCAACATCAGATCACATGTCGTGCACTCTCTCGTCCAATTCCTCCATTCCTCTTCCTCTCCCACGCCAATCCCCTGTAACTCCTCCCACCATCATCACAAACATCGACAGTAATCCAACTGCCAACACCCAAGCTCAAAACCTCTGTACATCACTTGGTGGTCTCCCATCTACAGGAATGAGATTTATCACCGCGTTAGCCGGTTCTAACGATCTCGATCTCTCAGATTACGATATCATATGGTTAGCAGCATTGGTAGGAGGAATCCAAGCGGATAAAGAGGAAATTCTGAAGAATGTAGTGCGGAAGATGAAGAAGGGAAGTTTGTTGATTATGAGAGGTGCTTGGGGTTTGAGGAGTGTACTTTATTGTGTATGTTTTTTTTTTACTTTTTTAAGTTATTAGCATTGTTTTGAGGAATTCTAGGGAAAAGTATAAAGCTAATTGGATATGGAATATAGGATTTCGATGTCACGACGCAGGCTGTATCTACATATCTGGATATTTGTGTTCGCATGGATCCATTCGGTGATGTGGTAAATTCGGTTATTGTTGGGAGGGTTAAATGATTATTCATGTACGTACATACGAGTACGTACGAGTACATACAAGATGCATTTTTCTAGAATGGGAAGGCAATGGGGTTTGAAATTATTGACAAATTGCTTATACGGGATGGTGGGAGTTGCATTGGTGGATAGGTGGTTATAGAGATATAGTTATGGATGGGCATAGAGATATAGAAATATAGAGAAAGATCCCAGTGATCGAATCGAATATCTACAATTGCGAGTTTTTGAGGGAAGCGTAGATGGAAGGATGGATGAATAGAGTTAATATTCTATGACGATTTATCCTAATCAACTTCAACTATTGAGTGGGAGAGGGTATTCTCACCCGTAGATAAAAGAATAATCATAACTACAGTGTAAACGATACTCTAGGAAGACAGGTTTAATTTCTATTAATTATACCAAAACCAAACTTGAATTTATATTTATACTAATATCTGTATTTGCTTCCTACATCTTTTCTTTTCAGTATTTTATATAATATCTCTTTTTCTTTCTCTCTTGCCTCTTCCTCCTTCAATTCTTCCCCCTAATCCCAATACCAAACCAGATCCTAGGTTCCGAAGAAATTATTCCATTCTATCCTATCCTCTTTCCTTTCCTCTCACTTCAATCCACCTCATCCTACCTTAGATCCTCCTCTCCTTCTCAATCCCTAAACCAATATATTCCCCCAAAATACCCCAACATTCCACCGTATAATCTTGGTCCTAAACCCTAGAAACAAGTTATTCCTTCCTATCCTATCCCATTCTATTCTATTTCCTCTCATTTCCCCTCACTCCACCTCATCCTCCTTCACTCCAGGCCGTTTCATCGTACCTTACCTTTATTTCCTATCACCTCAGCTCGTCCTCTCCCACCCAACTTAAGTAACTCTTTCAATCCTTATAAACATCCTCTTTTTCCTCTTTTCTCCCTCTTCCCCTGCTTTCCCCCTTTTCCTTCTTTTCCTCTCACGAATTCCCCCGCACCTTCCTTCTTCCCAAAACTCACACCAAACTCCATCAAAGGACCATTTGTCCACAAATCCGCAAACCTACAAATCCCAGCCAAATCCCAAAGAGAACCCTCAGCGCAGCCCAGAAGAAAACACACACATCAAAAACCACAAAGCCAAATAAATCAATGCTCGAATCAATCCTCAAATCACCATCCCCAAAAACCTATCCTCCCTATCCTCCCTATCCTCCCTATCCTCCCTATCCTCCCTATCCTCCCTATCCTCCCTATCCTCCCTATCCTTCATCCACCATCCACCACCCACCATCCACCACCCACCATCCCAAGCTACCCCATCAAAAAGCCAATCACTCTACGCTAACTAATCTAATAAAACTAACCATCAAATCAAATCATTCTATTTTATTCTATTATACTCAAAATGCCACATCAAAAATCTACATTTTCAGCCCTTAAGCTGGATAGACAATATAAATCATATAAATATTTATATAAAAATCAAAAGAACTCAAATAGAAATCAATATAAATACCTAGATACTATAAAGAAGGAAAGAAAACACAGAGTATCTACAAGAGGACAACTTTAATATAATAATATATATACCAGATCATAAATAACATATCAAAGAAGGTTTTATATTTGAAAGAGATGAATTTACAAGAAAGAACAAAAAGATTTTGCAATAAAGTAAAATTTTGTTGATTTTTGATCTCTTGCAAGTTGAAATTTTAAAAAAAAAAAAAAAAAGAACCTGTCGCTGTGCTGTAATGTACTTCATAAAGTTGGGAATCAAAAAAGAAATGTAAAGAGAAGCGAATGTCCCGTGTAGCCACACTATCTCAAAGGTTACCGTCCATATGCAGTCCCTAGCTTCCTCATGTTTTTATCTGAATTCTTTCCCTCATCTCAATGTCATACTTTCATCTTGCATCCATCTACCACACCTCCATATGATATCCCTATCCTCCCAAGTGAACTGTCTTCATTCCTTCCATCCAAGCAAAATATAAAGCCACCCTAGGGATCCGAAAAGAAAATCTGAGAGAAAACTCCTGCCAGCCTGAAATTAGGCACATCCTCACATTGTGACATGAAAAACCCATTCATATCCAAAGTGCAACCCATATATGAAAAAACCAGGCCCCTAAAATCGCTAATGAAGTAATGAAGTGTTAGAAACACAATTGTAGGTCAAAAAACAATCGCTGTCGTGATATCATAAATAAACAATTGAGCTTTAGAATGATGAATGGCATGAAAGAAAGAATTTTCAGTTACATATTCATCCATCATCTTCCGCATCATCCTCATCCTCATCATCTTCCTCGGCACTGCCTCTTGCTGCAGCCACCAATTTAGCTTTCTTACTAGGAGTGTGATTATCGGAATCGGCTTTTCGCTTAGTTCCCGAACCAGCACCCACACTAGAAATGCCCTTAGCCGGGGTTTCTAATGATTTATCATTCTCTTCTCCACCATCACCCTTTGTTCTTTCAATTTCTGCAACCTCATCTGCTGTTAAGAATCGACCACCAGGACCTCTGGGTCTTCTCATCGCGTGATTATGTCTACTCTCGTGTAAATATGGCTTCCTACCCTTCGAAGTCAATCGTAGGGCTTCCTCTAATCTCTGTCTCGCCACGCGACGCTTCAAAATACGATGAAATTGCTTTGCGTTGACATACAAAGGCGATTCCTCAACTGCTCCTGATACAAGTTCAGGAGATTGAGGATGTGGTGGTGGTGGTGCCGACATGGGTGGTCCTGTCATGGAAGGTCCTGAAACCGATGACCGAGGCGCATGGTTCATATGAGGTTGCGCATTAGGTACGGCGGGACTACCGACTTGTTGTGTACTCATGCGACGATTTTGAGCAATTTGATTGATGCCAACCTGTGTTGGTGATCGCGGTACTCTTTCCTTCTTCACATTGATACCCGCACCTATTCTTGGCGATGTTTGGGGCAAGCTTGAGTCGGGCATACTATAAGGATAGTTACCAGCGGCTGCATTGGTTGCTGCCATTGCTGCTGCTTGAGGAGTAATCGGATTGCCGCCATATTGCATGTTCATCTGCGATATTGGGTATGCTGGTTGGTATCCCATTGTGTGTTGCTGCATGTGTCCCGCATTGGGTCCTCCTTGCTGCGACTGCGAAGAAAGAATTGGAGATTGTTGGACACCATGCTGCGAATGGACCGATGGTTGTTGTTGAGATGGGGAAGTAATTGGAGCTCCGGGATTTGAGTGTTGACCGGAATTTGAATATCCACCTTGAATATGCGTCTGTGTATGACTATGCTGGCCTTGCGGCGGTTGCTGATAATGCGCGTACTCCATCATTTGTATAGATTTGATTCCGTAAGAGGATTTTGTAAAGAAGTGGAGATTTCAATCGTCTAGATTGCGATTGCGGTGAAGCTTGCGACGCGTCGATGCAATTAAGAGAGAGTTCTTGATAGGTGTAGAAAGCGACAAGAAAGGTGCTATCGAGTTCACCGAGTTTAGTTATGAATGGAGTTGGGTATTATGATGTAAATCCGAAGTTTCGATGACCCGGAATAACGCGTTGGCAATGCTGTCGCAAGAGTCCCAGGTGGCCGTCACCGAGCTAGTGCCTAAGCCTGCTCGTCAACCGTCGACTTGGTATGCGTGGATGTGCTGGCAAGCAATATGGTAGGTGTACACCGTAATTGACCGCAGCACAGCATATGCAAGCTGATGTAAACGAAAGGTACTCAAGTGAGGCTTGCGGCGTATTAGGCTCGAAAGTTGGTCACCCCACGTGAGAATATCGGGTTGAAGTTATTCAAAGATAGATGTTGCAACAACCTTTTGTGGTATCTAGCTATTTCGCGAGCCACTCCTTGAGTAACGAAACTTTTCTGTAGTAAATATTGACTTTGTGGTATTTCACTATCCAACCAGAGAAGTTAGTTATGATGAATGGTCAAATTTAAATCAAGCTTCAGAATGATTGGAATGATTGGAATGATTGGGAGGGGAAGGGTTGGGACCCGATGTTATTTTTTTTTGGCCTTTGACCAGTGATGCGCTGGCAATGCATGTGGAGGTGTGGAGGTCATGCAAAACTAAGCTTACCTGGTTCACTGAGCTTTTTTTTCTCTTTCCTTTTCACTTTACCGGTAATAAGTGAATAAGAATTGGGAATATTATTCAATTAAAGTGACGTGACGTATTTTTGAATTGAATCTAATCCCAGATAGATAAATTGAGTCACAAACAGGTGGTTTGTGTTGCGCGTTGATATGTAAGTGAGTATGAGTTGTATCTAGTCGTATGTATTAATAAATGCAACAAGAGCTTTGACTTTGATGTGGAGTAGGATGGTGCGGCTGTAGCAGCTGTAGCTGTAGCAGTTTGAACTTTGAGGGGTACTTACTTTTATTGTACCTTGTGGTATTGGCTGAAGATTTGTAAGGTTAGATGTTGATGTGAGGGGCTGGACTGCTCGGACTGTTCGGATTGTCGGGGTAGTTGAAGCTACTGGGTAGTAGATAGGCTAGATAGCTTAAAAGCTTTGGAGCTGTTATTCGTATTGCAGTCTTGTTGCAGTCGGTTCAATAATTCCAATCCGTGTCTGAGATGTGAATTATTGGGATTGGAATTTGTAATGATTGGAACTTTGTTCGGTCGATCTAATCAATCTATTGTTTTGTCTTTGAATTGGCTGGCTAAAAGAGGAAAGACAAGATAAATGTTAGTTAGTTCCTCTATGAAATTTCCCTATATAAAGTAAAGTAGTTTTCCTCTTTTGCTTTGAATGATCATTTTAGCTGTAGCTGTAGCTGTAGCTGTAGCAGTAGCAGTAACTGGCTTGTTTTGCATAGCAGCTGCTGCAGCTTTATGCTAGTGTGACACGCAACCGCGACAATGAGTACAAATCCAAAAGGGAAAGCCGAGGATAGCAAATAGCAAGCAGCTTTTCAGATGGTGGATCTGAAATTCTCGGAATATCAAGATTTTTTCTTTGATTGAGGACGAAACTTACCTTCCAAATACGCGAATTGAAATGGATTCAGATCAATTTTCAATGGCAAGCTGTGTTTGATCCTTCCCGCAGGTAGAATCAATCACGGGATCAGGTGCTATGGCCAATTGTTTTGGCGTTGAGGGTCCTTTTTTGGTGTTGTTGATAGGGCTATGGCGATGATATTTTTTGGGGGTGGAGGGAAAACGTTGAATGATTGGCAGTGTTCTGCTCGGCTTATCACCACCGAGATAAATAAAGTCAAAGGTCCCACGATGCGATAAATACAAGGTACCTGAATCACAGTTCACTACCTGAATCACCACTGGACTGACTCTCTTGGGGTATTGAAATGTTGGAATCTTTTTCCCTTGTGGTACTTGTCCGCGTCTGTTATCGGCAAAGATAGAGAGAGATAGGTAGGTAGATAGGCAGATAGGCACTTAGGTACCTAGGCAAATAAAATAGATTGGTGGTAGTAGTAGGTTGGTAGGTAGGTATCCGTATCGCCAGCCTTTAATGATGGTGAATTTGTGAATAATGCGTTAAAAAAAGGGCAAAAAGGCACGAGCGTAAATGGATGAATTTCCTTTGCGAAACCTTTTGGCTTGTGCTTCTTTCTTTAAAGCACCCTTTATGTTGTGTTTAGGACCTTTAAGGTAGGTAAGGTATTTTAGTGTAAAGTCCGATGCGGCGATGCAATAATGCGACAAATTGAATCGACGGAAATTTGAGCTACTCGTACCTAGAGACGAGACTGAAATTTGTGCAAGTGCAATGCTTTGCTGCTTTTCTGCTTTGCTCGGAAATTGATTTCGATTGGATTGGATTGCTGAGAATTGATTCGTTATCGTGAAAAGTGCAAAAGTCCTCGATTGGGGTAACAATGATTGAAAATGGGTCGTTGGTTCGTGGTTTTGCCTTGAAATTGTTTGATTCGTTGTTGATGTTAAAGGAAGGGGAGATGAAAGGTTTTGATTGGGGATCTTGGAAATATGAGTAACTTAGTGGATTCAAGCTATGGCATGATGCTAGATCAAAATAGGCAAGGCGCACTTCCAGCTTTTTCTCTCCTCAACCACCTTTTGCTTATTATCTGATTTATTTGGTTTGTATTGTTGAATATTTTAATTATGGTAGGGTAATTTTTTTTTTAACCAACATTGGGAGCCTGCAAAAGAAGAACCAAAAGATCGGTCGGTCTAAGGACCAAAAGCCCGCCATCGCTTATACTTACTCACAGCAAGCGTACTTACTCACAACTTCACAAGTCTCTTTCTCGCCTTGAGACCTTGATGAGGCCATCTCGTGCACTTTTTCACTATCGCTATCAATATGCAGGGTGTGGAGAAAGTGAAATATTCCGCGTCAATTGAATTTTAAACTTTAAATCCTCGGTCATATGATTTCTGATTGGTTAAGAGTACTCATGGGAAAAGATAGCATCATGGTGAAAGAGAGACTGATGATCAAATATGGAATAGATCTATCAATGCTTTTTTCTAGTTTCAATTGTTGCATCTGAAGGACGCTTGGGATTTCGTTTAGAGTTAGATTAGGTTAGGTAAGGTCAGGTCAGGTTAAGTCAGGCTAGGTACGGGAGATATCTTATGATTGTTGATAATGAAAGTTTTTAGTGGGGATCAGATTATCATGGAAGTCCGGAAAGAGGGGAAAGAGAGAAAAGAGGAAAAGATAGGAAAGTCGAAGAGAGGAAGAAATCAACTAAAATCAACCTCGGAGGATAAGTTATTAATGATATCGTGATACGGATGTAACCAACAACCTCAACTTGAGCTAACTTGCGAGGTTCTGAGCCTCGAGCTTTGAGCCTTGAGTCCTGAGCCCTAAGTCTTGAGTCCCTGACCATGTTGCATCTCCAAAGTCTTTATCCCTCTCACCATTTGGGTCAGCTGTTTACTTGTCATTCAATTGGTTCCATACTCCGTCGTCAACAAAGGATCGGGTCGACTAGTGACTTCACCAAATATCAGGTACATCAGGTACATTAGGCCAGCGCCAGGCACGATACATTCATTCGACCTTCAGTTCTGACTCGGACGAAACATTACCAATGATGACATTTCTTCAATATTCAATTCTCCCTGATTCCCTGTTGGTTTGACGAACCGTATGATGACGAATCAGAAGCAAGTAAAAGTCGGTGTATCCCGAGAAAAAAACAAGTGTGTGCTCGACGTACGAAGCCTTGTTTGGGAAAGTTGAAGGCGTGAAGCACTCACTCGAACAGCACGAGGGAGTCTGAGAGACGGAATCTTTTCTGCAACTACTCTACAGTGCTACTCTCGGTCGGTGTAAAAGGTTCGGTGCTTCGGAACTCGGGTAGCCGTGAGCACTGAGATCAAAAACGGGTGAAATCCCCGTGAAAGGGTGGAGGGTGGAGGGGTTGGAAGGGTTGGAAGGGTTGGAAGGGTTGGAAGGGTTGGAAGGGTTGGAAGGGTTGGAAAGGTTGGGTTGGGTATCAAGAAACGAAGTGTGGTAGGAAAGAAATTGGAAATTGTATCATGGTGAAATGTGCTGTCTCACTATTAAATATTTTGTTATGCTCCATGTCAACAGTTTCAATAACAGTAATGCATCCTGCTGCCCCCGTTGCCCGCACTTTGCAAGAAGTCGTTTCCGGTTGCTTGCTTGCTTGCACATGAAAGCAATTTACCAAGCCATCTGGGTATCACCAAAAATTCAGACCAAAAATATCAATCAATCAGAAAATTCAGCTTCATACTATTATATCACTGGTGGATATGAAGCATTGATATTCCCTTTTTGAGCCTTTTTTCTTTGCATCTTGTCTTTTTAATTGATTATCTTTTGAATCCTTTCCAATCATTTTTCCTTGGTGTTTTTTCATTTTTATTTTGGTTTTTTCCATCTACGCGTATGAAGCCACCATAGGGCCGAAAGATTTAAAACTCCTTCTTAATGTGGAAATTGTGACCGTTCCGTTGGTTCTGATCCTTGCTCAAGATGCCATTTTCTCTTTCCTCTCTGCCTCACCTCGCCTCGCTTTTGCTTAGCGCTAAATTTATTATCACGAGCAAGCGGGAGGACCGGCCACTTTTCCGCATGAACTTCTCGACTTCCCAATCCCTTCATCACATCAGCACATCCATCAGCACATCAACAAGTTCCCTCCCCCGCTGTCAATGGCATATGTATGTGACATTACCCATTGCATTGATTGACATGCTTCAATCTTCAGCCTATTTTCACCCTTTGTATACACTCAGTCCGGGTTAAGATGGAGAAGCATTGAAAAGTTTGGTCGAAGGAAATGAAACCCATATTCCCATGTTAAATTAATGTTACATCAATTATTCCATCCGTTGGTAAATGAATGACGCCCAACATCATCATCAATTTCACGTCCCTTACTCTGCTTACAATGCCTAACCAAAACGTCTTCACTGTTGCGTTTATTGAAAGTTCAATAACACATCATCTACCAATATGAGCTTACCCTGCCTGCTTCACGCTGCTGCCATACTACAGTGCTATCCTGCACTCCGATCCTCCCCGTTCTTTCTCCATTCATCTACCTGTGTGTGCATACAGAGTACATTTTCGTCTTTATTGAATTTTGGGTGATACGGATAATACAACGTTTCTTTGCTGTTCGGGTGGGGTATTCTCGGAAAATGTCCGAATAATGTCAATCCCACTCCTCGAACACAGTAACGGCACGGGAGTGTACATATTTTATTTCCCTTATTAATCTTCTAGCGCTTCCATGCAATATCTCCCCTGTGGTCTCCACGCCTCTGCCGGTAGTCTCCCCTCATCACTGCATAATGTCGTGTCAGCGTTCAAGCGTCCAGCAGATGCAAGTACTCCACCACCACTCGTTCGCAGAATCATGTACTCTCTGAAAACCGCACTATCAATTTCATACTTTCAATATCAACTAGTCTCATGGGACGGCTAGTGTTGATCCAATTTTAATGGCCTCAGTTCCGCCTACAGCCAATCAACATTCAATATCACACTTCTTTCGTCTCATTCAGCGACTAAAGTAAAATTCTGATATGGTATTACGCGCTGTGGTTAGGTCTCATGATTCATACGGAAAGCTATTGGGTTTTTTCCGAGTACCTGGCGCTTAAACACCTAATCATCTGTGCTTTCCATACCGTCCGAATGTTTGATAAAGGAGAGTTGATGACACTACCTACTCCGTAAGGGTCCTCTTAAGATTGTGGAGGAGAGCCCAGACCATTCCCTTCACCTCGTTTACTCGCCAGCACGTGAAATATTCAAAGAATTTGTTTCTTGGTACCTTTTGCCGATTTAACCTGATTCCTTGATGACCGATACTAGTAACCCGCCCGTATCATTTCAAAGAGCCCCCCTTTGTTGATCGAGGTTGACTTTATGATTAGCTTCAAAAGACTACTTCTAAGACATATGGAGATCACTTTGTACAACTGTGCGCTGACAAATTTGTCAAAATTGTTCCGATTGGGGAACAAGTTAAATTACACGTGTTTGTGATTTCTTCAACTCGGGCAATAAATCTAGATCACAGAGTGGTCCTATCAATGTTAGACAAGTCTTGAAGCGAAACCATATCTAATCGTCAAATGATACTTGAACAACCATACTCACTCCGTACGTGTCCGAGAGTAACCCAAGTAACGTATACCAAGGACTTTCATCATTTTCGAGCTTTGTTCCAGACTTCTTCACATTCGGTCCCAAGATATACACGAATACATTTGTTGAATTTCTTGGATTTCATGCTGATTGTGGCGGTTCTTTTGTCATTGGATGTAGAAAAGATTTCATCATCTCCGATTATGGAAGTCAGCTCGGACTTTAGTTACGGACGTTGTTTGTCAGTTCCACCAAGTAGAAGAGTAAATTTCTAAGCGGTTGCTGGTGGTTGCATCGTCGATTTGACTCTGAAAGGCTTCGCGATGGTTAGATAATCATTGGTAATCAAGGAAGTGGGATTCTTCATTTTGATCAGTCGATTAAGGCGAATAGTCACTTTATTTTCGTCTTATCCTTCACTCCTGTTCAGTTCAATAAACTTGCTTTGACTTTTCGTTTTTATTTTCACTCTTCCCCTGACTCCTAGCTTCTCTCTCCATTCTCTGTCATCCACTCCTCATTCCGGTGATTTCATCCTCTCATTATCAACTTTGACACTTTCATGGCGAGACCGCAACTATCGGAAGCAGTGAAGCCACAGATATCACCTCAATCATTTCATCAACCTTGAACGGAATAAGTTGCGCCATCTAGGGGTGTCGAAGAAGCCACGAGTTCAACGGATATCACGAGTCACTCAATGTTATCACTTCCGTCTGCATGAATACATAAATGGAAAAATATATGAAGATTCGCTTGTTTCAGCGATAGAGTATGCGGGGGAGTTTGGAAGTATATGGGTATATGGATAATTGAAGGGTACGATAGGACGGGATGGATGGGAGATAGAGAGGCTGAGTATGAGTATGAATGAACATGGAATTCCACATGTGGATTCCTGAGTCGATACTTTTAGTATTAGTTATAAACCTCCAGTTTCCATTACGCATTTGTATTCTCATTGTTATTGTTGGTACGAGAAGGATACGGAAGACGTAGCACCCACGGATTATGTAGGTCCTGTATGTCTAATTGTATTCTGTCTAAAGAGCTAGCTACATATTGAAAGTAGTAAGTCTTATATAGACTTACTAAAAGAGCTAGTCTCTTTCGCGTTCGCTTAGTTCTTTATTACAGTAGTAATTTAAATTGAAGTCATTCACTTCGTTCACACAGTTATACTAATTATATACATCATACCATAAATCTCTACAGTGTTCTTGCCTTGATTGTAAAATATATCTGTAGACTCCTCGGGATTTCTTACGTCTAGATTGTAAAATATGAGTTTTGAATGATGAAAATAAGGGGTGGGAAATGGGGATGGGTAGTAGATAATAGATATTCCTCTTCACAGTTGATGGAGATGTGTTGGGACGAAATGAAGTTGGTGGATGGTAGGGGGTTGGGAGGTAGGAGGTTAGAGATGGAGTGTGAGGAGGTGAGGAGGTGAGGAGGTGGATATAGATAATAAATCTATCTTATAATTCTAAAGTAGTTAATAATATTAAAGTTTTAATTGTGGAGATCTTAATCCTAAAGAATGAAATGTAATAGACTAGTAAATATAAAATTTCTATTCTTCTTTAGTTTTCATTCTTTTTTAATAATAAATCTTACAAAAAATACTATTATTAAATAATATATTAAATTTCATTAATTTATTACTAAACGCTCTAGTGTTGCATTTAGTGATACTTTCATATCTATGAAGATAATATAAGGCTCGAGGTAATTATGTATTTATATATTCGATATTCTGTACAGGGTATAACTTCAAGTGTTCAAGTCAAAACAATTGGAGTGATGGATTCTGTATTTGTGTTTGCTTGCTTATTTGTGCTTTATTTTGCATCCTGCCGGTGTGGTGATGGGATGACATGATGTGATTTAGAATTATATGCTATTTATAATGTATTATATTATATTTATTACATTACATTACAGTAATTAACCCATTAGTAAAGAGTAAAAAGTAAAATACACTCACTTATAATAATACAACTCGAAGGAATATAACATCAATCTCCAAGAAAACAGAAATACAATCCCAAAACCACAACGTTAACCCTCAAACCGTATTTAAACCCTCCCCTCTCCTCTGTAAACACGTATCCATATCCAACCGATTCTTCCTCTCTCTTCCCCTCCCCCCTTCAAAATGTTCCCTCGCCTCCCTCTCCGCACCCTCTACATCCTTCAAACACGGCGCAAAAACAAGCTCACCCCAAATAGCCTTCTTAACCGTCCCCACCGCAACCATAACCCACAACCCCGTCACACAAACACTAAACACAGTACCTAAAATCCTAAAAAACCTCGAGGGGATTTCCTCCCCAATCATAGTAGTAGAAACGGTAAATACACCCAGGGGGAATGTAAAACCCCACCAACCCATATTAAAAGGGAAGCGAGAGCGGGAAATTGATGCGAGCGCGAAGAATAACCAGAGGAGACCGAATCCCCACATTATGAGCGCGAAGAGGAAACCGAGGGTGTAGAGGATGGGGCCGGGTGAGGGGACAAGTGGGAGTGTGTGTGTGAGGGGGAAGAGTGTTAGGGATACTTTTCCTAGTTGCATGAGGGCGAAGCCGCCTTGGCCTAGGGGGCCAAGCGGGAGGAATACAGAGACGATTACTTCTCGGGGGGGAAGTTTGTAGACGGTTAGACGTTGGAAGTAGATTACTAGGATGGTCATTGCGAGGGGGAAGCCGGTGCCAAAGAGGATGTAGGAAATTATGAGAGTCCAGAGGGCGTGTTGTGGGTTGGGGACTGAGATTGGATGTTAGTTGTTTAGTTTGGTAGTAAGGGGTTTGAAGGGATGGATTGAATTAAGTTTTTTGTTTGGTATAAAGAGGGGTTAAAAGGGGCGGTTGGATTTTAAGTTGCTTTGAAAAATAGAGAGAGTGCAAATGATGAAAATACTAAAGATGATTTGGGTGTTTGGGTGTCCAAGATCATGAAAACAAAATGAAATGTTACTCACGAACGGAAGCGACAATACCCCCTGAAGCAGATGCGACAATGGGAGCAACAATTGGAAGAAGCCACGCGGCAGTCATAGTGGAGAGTTCAACTGTATGAAGTGACATACTGGAATGAATATTAGCTGCATGATTTGTATGATTCAAGGAAAGGGGGAATTTACATTACAAAAGGGAGATAGAAACAAGTAGCTACAGAAATAACTGCATCTACCCACCACAAAGTCCAAGCCTTCACCACACAATTAGTCTCTAAACATCTACTTTCCACCCCCCAACACGCCATCTGTTCCAAGAATACTAAACTCACCAAATAAACAACCCAAGGCCCCCAAGCCGGCACACAAACAAAAACAATCATATTAACAATCGTCGCTAGTCCCATAGGGAAGGTGCCCAAGAACAGCGACTGCGCGGGATGCCGAATCATAGCTTTCCAAATTTGCGGATACAGTATATATCGCAAGATGGACACGAGTAAAAAAGAACAAAAGAGGAAGATATTAAGCACGAATATAACGATGGAGATATATTTGAGCCACGTGCCGTTATAGGGGAGATTATGTAAGAGGATGGAAACGATTCCCGTGCCCATCGTTACAGAGAACCAGCTATGGAGTTTGGGGTGTTAGAATATAGGTAGGAATGAAGAGGAGAAAGAGGAGTGGCAATCTCAACTTTGAGAGTTATTTTTTCTCTCGCCAAATAATTACGGGGGAATTGAAAAGTTACATACGAAGGAGTAAAATTTCTAACTATTCTCCTCCATCCCTCTTGTTCTTTCGATAGTTTCTTATCCACTGGGACAAACATCTTTGCAGCCGCCGAAGTGTCCAAAGCTATCTGATCATGAATATTCCCATCATTGTTATCATTCTTCTTCCGAATACCATTTTTACCATTATCATCCTGTCTAGCAATCCGAGCACATGTTCCCGCACCAGAAGGATCCATTGAAAGGAATTAGATAAATCTTTTTTTTGGGAAAAGAAACCAAAAAATAGCAAGCTATAAAATATTGAAATTCGGAATGAAGAGTCATATATATATTAACAAAGGAAAAAAAAAGTCAGATCGCGAGTAAAAGCCGAGGTACCTCCTGAAGTTTAGAAATCTCATTGGCATTATATTATCTATTATTCATCATAGAATTATCAAAACCTTACTCGCAGATATATAGATAAAGTGTTTCCTTCACGATTGAAGAAGAGACTAACCCATGCATATGAATGTCTTCATGCGGTTTGATGTATATAATCAAAGTATCTGAATAAGATGAGTTGTAAGAGTGATGACTGGCAACAAAGTCGAACTGGCTGAGAATTATATATTCCTCTTGATTGGCTAACCGGGCTTTCATCGTATGGCAGACATGACATATGACATATATACCCGCGAATTAGATAGATGGAGAGAAGCCTTTTGCGCTTTGGTAAGTATCTGGTTGGGCAAATTTCTGAGGGTTGAAAGCCGTAAAGGTCCTTCTTATGCCAGATGCCGAAGGGCAATTCATCAATTAGAAATGATATTGGCCCATTTTGGTAGCAAAGAAATGGGATTCTTCGTCTGTCTAAAATATCTATTTACGGGAATTCATTCAACGCTAACTCCCATTTAGAAGGAGCAAACAAACCATGCTATGCGTATGTGTGTGAAAAGGAGAACCGAAGGTTAAACTACAGCTGCATGAATGGGTATGCACGAAGAGTTCCTACCAAATGCTCTCCTTTTCTTTCCTCACAATTTTCCATCCTTCGGAATCGAACTATTCCTTCGCCAACCCCTGAAAATGCATTTCCGCCAAAATCATTCAAAATCCATCATTCGTAATCGTAATGCCATTTTCAAACTTGGAGATTTTTGCCGAGTACGTTTGCAAGGTCGTCGACATCCTTGTCTTCTCTTTGCGCAACAGGTTCTGTTTCTTGAGCCTCCTCTGCATCGTTAATCAATCTTTCTCTTTGCTCCTCGAGTTCTTCTTCTTCCTCTTCTTCACTTTCCTCATCACTTTCTCCTTCTAAATCTTCCAATTCATCGAGACCCCATTCATCCTCGAGAACTATATCACCCGCGAACTTCTCCTTTCTCTCCTCTAACAATTCCTTCAACTCCACAATACAATCGTGATCCTCGTCGAATTTGTTTCCATTCAATTCAATCTTCTTTAAATTTGGTAGAGCCTCCTTGGCAGCAACCGTAAAGCTTTTTAGACCCTTCACTCCGATATCATTAAATTGTAATCTCAAAGTCTCCAGCTTGTTGTTCTTGCCCTTCTTTAACGCCTCTGCAAAAATAACACTTCCCTTACCACCCAACAACGAATCTCCAACACCCAACTCCTGGATATTTGCCCATCCCCCCACAACTTTGGCCAACGCCTTAGAACCAGTAATTGTGAAGGTATTGTCCTGTAAATCGAGAATTTCAATGTCCCTTGCATATTTCAAGCCCTCACTCAACAAGTGACTGATTCCCTCCTGTCGAATACCATTCTGCACCATCTTGACCTTCTTTACACCAGTATGCAAGCTGTATGCCTTCGCCCAAGCTGTCATACTTCCATTCTCCAATCTATTGCGCCCACAAATGACAGTTTCTAAATCCGGTACTTGTTTTCCTGCAGCACGGGCCTCGATTTTCTTTGCGTGTAATGCGCTAAGTGCGTCTGCGATCAAGATACCAGCATGAGGTCCCAGTCCGTTGTTATTGAGGATGAGGTGTTGAAGTGGGGTATGCGAAGAAAGAAATGCGACGAGCGGGGCTTGAGTATTGAGTCCAAATGCATTATCATTCAGATTGACCGTATGCAAATTCGGGAGCTTGAGTAAGGCGGTAAGGAGGGAAGAAAGGGCTTGTGGGATTTCGTTAAGCAATCGACCGGTGAATATATCCGCCAAGTTTGCAACCTTGATTCAGAGGTTAGCAAAGTATAAGTGACTTCCCGTACATGCATCTATAATACCCCTTGAAAGGAATTTAGATAGAGGTTGACGGAGAAGGAACCAGACATACCTTCAAACTTGTCTTCTCAGCCAAGACCTCTCCGATTACTTTACAAGCCTCAACGCCCAAGGTATTTCCCAAAAATCTCACTTCCTGCACATCTTTCATCTCCCTCAGCAATTTGATATGCGGCTCGACATCCGCGGCGGAATCCAACTTCAACCCTTTTCCCTCCAAAGAGAATATTTTCGTTGTGGTAGCCATCTTGAGTCTTAACTTTGCGCAATAATAGCAAATTTCGAACCAACAGGAAAAAAAACACAAAATTTTGCAGGTAAGAAGTCTAGTTTGCAGATTCTGGAAATTGATGGATGCGGCAATATTTTGGTGGTGGGGGTTGCAGCTGCAGCTCTTCAGGGTCAAGAAAGGCTAAATGCTAATTTAGTGGTTGGCGGAACCGGACAGACTTTTCGCCGATATCGACGCCCGCTCGGTCCGAAATTATGTCGTGATGTTAATGTGAGGATTGGATTTCTAAAGCTTTCTTACAAATACAAGTCAAAGTACAAGCAGTCGACGAAGGAAACAAATTGAGAGGCAAAAATTTAACTAATTGTATATGTACTATTTACAAAGCCTTCTAAAAGACGATATTCGACATATGAACATGTCAGCATCTGCAATCAACATGCGTATGTCTTTTCTCCTACCTCCAAGTTTCTTGCCCCAAATTTGGAGTGAGCAAATGATTGATTTTGAAACTAGCTACACCGGCCACCAGTGCAAATATGGGCGTAGATCTTAAGCCCGCTGGAGAAACTTCTCAAAAACCAAAGGTACAGGCCCTTTCTTTTACATAATTGGGAGATTGGAACGTCAGCTAAGCCGATCTTGGGGAAAAGCCGTGCTGTGTCTGTAAAGACGAGAAAGCTGCTCGAGACGAATGTATGCTATTTAGCACGGCCAAGGATCCACAAGTAGCCTGTGCAGGTATGGTTGAAAAATATAAGACCTGTATGGCTGGCTTTGGGTTCAATTTACCATGAGTCAGTGATGGAGAAGTTGTGTACGATATACGAAAGTATTGCAATGGAGTTTGGGCATGGTACTGGCGTTACAAAGAGTGGACTGCGGATTAAGAACGATCAAGTAGAGGGATTCATAGAAGGATTACGAAGAACTTCTCAACTCTGTTTCATTATATTATATTTGGCAAACACGTTTCTCTTGTAATATTACACATTTTTACAAAACAATCGCAAGGATGGACAAAGGCCAACCCATACAAATGACTTTTAGTCATACTAGTTTCCCTGCGTACCCCCGAACGCCTCATTTTTCCAATTGACATCCATTTCGGGTTTTGGTATCATAATCCCGCAAGCACACTTTGAACTCCCACGCTACCTGAATCGTCTCTCTTCAATACAAAAGCTTTGAAGTCTGCCTTTTGCAACTTTTTGCTGGCACCACTAGCAAGTACAGCTCTCGATTTTTCTTTTAGAGCTTCTGCCCCGATAATGAACAAATTGCCAATGTCGCCGAGGATCTCAACTTCAATAACGATATCTTTAGTCAAAGGCCAATCTTTCAGCGCGGACACATAGCTTGAAATATCTTTTGTAACCATCAAACCACCAGTAGCGTTCACTTGGAACTTTTTGAAGTGTTCGAACAGCATGTCTCGAATACTGATCGCCAACTCACAGCTAAACACCTCGAGGTTTTGTCCATCAACAGCTTGCGCAGCGTTTTTAGCCACGCGCTGAAGAAAGTTGCAAATAGCAAGACATGTCGTAGTTTGTAACGTTTCGATTGAGCCGAGATCACTATCCTTCGGTCGAAAATCTGTTTTCTTCTGGCTTGCCAACAACCTCGTAATCCAATTCAATACCACTGTGATGGTAGTGCGCATGACGTCGTTAGCCTTCTTTTCAATTTTCTCCACACTTGCTTTAGTTTGTGACTCCATTCCACGTCGAACAGTGGTATTTGTTTCTGCAAGTCGTATGAGTACCGTATTGATAAAGCGCGACATAATGTTTGTAATAATGACCGCGGGTTGCACCCAAGGAAGGTAGGCCAAATCAGGCTCGGTTTTGATGTTCTCTTGAGCGGCGGCTTGATCGGCAGCAGCCTCAAGAGCTGTTTCGATGTATACCTCGCCCATGCTGCTAAGTAGAAGATTCAGAAGCGCCGAGACATCTTTAGGTGTGTCGCTTCCACTCCCCATCTCCAGCGCTCGCCGCACACTTTCTGCGAGCCATTTAAGCATACGTTTGGCATTTGCGACACTGATCACACCATCCTCGTCTGTGACTTCAATTTCATTCTTGTTATTATCAAGATCCCTGAGACCAGCAACACGTAACATCATAGCCTTCTGGGTCGGAGTGAGCTCAGATGAGTCCAGACGATCGATGTACGCATCCTTTGCCGATGACAGAAGTTGACTACCCTGTTGGGCCAAAGAAGCCATGAAACCTGTTGGAACCTTCTTTCGGCGCGAGTGGTAAATGGTGAACTTAAAGAGTAATGAGGAGAAAAGTTCTTCTAGACTTCTCCTCTCCCGATCGATGTACGAGTTTCCAACTAGATATGGGACGAATAGTTCGTCTAACTGCTGATCTAGACTTTGTGCAGTTTGCGCTGTGCAAGGTTCGGGATGCTCTGTAAGACCATGTGCTTTGAGGTCTTCGATTAAGCTATTAATATAAGTCCTGGAGGCATGTAACGATCGAAGAAAGGCTAGAGAAGAAATAGTGTCTGCCTTTTCAAGCACCATCTCTAGACGCTGCTGAATAGATTGCTGAAATATGCGCTGGATAAATTTGATGAGGACAACTTCATAAAATGGAAACGCCCGTTTGATAATGAAAGATTCCTCTTGCATGACAGCTCTGATTTCATCAATCAGAGACTGTAAGCTAGGTTCAACCCCTGGAGGTTCAGAGTCAGGATCAGCCAAGATTTCCCACGTCTCATTATCGGTTGTGACCTCCTCTGCAATGAGTTGACTTCGATCGATGAAAAATTGATGCTGATTGACAAATGTACCAATAACACTGGATCCACCGTTGAAGTCATGTAGAACCTTTGCACACTCGAGCATATCATCAAAGTTCTGTCGTCGATAACTGTTGTCAAACTGTTTTAACAGATCCTTTTCCAAGGTCTCTGAGAACTTCTCTATGATTTCCCTAGTATTATGGCCTTTGTTCCCACCAGCACCATTTGTCACCCCGTTTACTTTTTTCGAACCATTAGCCCAAGATGCTGGATCTAGTCTCTGGCTCATGCGCATGAGTTGTCTAGCGATCACAGCAGATCTAACCTTGTTCTCTCCTCCGCCTTGCCGCCTAGTCATATCCTCCAAAGATATGAGGGATCCGTTCTCGCTGACTTCTACCCAGCATTGAATCAAGAAGTTGGCATCCATCGCACGTCGTCTCTGCTTGTCTAAGTCCTCTAGCCTTTCTCCAATTTGCACCGCAATATTTCCACCAGCCTCTGGCCGCCCATACCGATCCATAGTTGTGCCATTGGTGCCATTAGGATTATTTAGTGTTATATCGAGTGACTCAAAAGAATCAATAGACTCATCCAGCTTCCGCCCTAAAGTATCTAATGTTTGATCATGCTGTATCTCGGCCCGCCGAACAGATGTGAGGAGGTCTGTTTCCTTTTCCTCTAGCTCATCTGAAAGTGTCGCAAGTTGTTGTAGGGCACCTGAAATTTTCATCAGCGTTTTGGAATACAAACAATCGAGTTACTGGGTAGAAATACTTTCAAATGTCCTTATGAATGGTTTGGCATCAAATGCAGGCTGAGCTGGTCCTGAACGCCTGTTTATCGGAATTGCACTTTCGGACAGCTCTTCCACAAAATCTCTCACGATGAAGTCCTTATTTGAAAAATTTTCCAGTGTAAAGCTTGGCCCTTTTGGATATAATGATCTCACTGAACCACTATTAAGAGAGGCCATACTTAAAGTTCATGAAGCTCGTATGTGAAGTGTGTTTTGACTTGTGGGAATAATGTATCAGCGGTCGACAAGCAGGGGGTTATCGGAGGCACGGAAAGCTCAGCCTCACTTGGACGTTGAGAACTTGTGGACCTTCAAATTTCGTGGCCTCGTATTGAATTCCAGCCTTTCCAAGGCCGTGGAAATAATTTAGGACACTTCTTTCCTCAACTTTCTATCCACTGCCTTGGATCCATTATACTCCTTGTGTCGCGATCAACATGACTAGCAAAGCTAAAGCTCTTGAAGCGTACCGCGAAGATGCAAAAGGCGGTCATACCATATTGACGGCAGAGGAACGACGCAAGCTTATCGAAGTAAGTCCTGATTTCACCCTGTCATTGTGTACCTGCAGCTAGCTACACATCTAATTCATTCGCTCACTTATTGATGCTGTACCAATGTGTAGCCATTACTCCCTTCCGATCTACCATCGCGATCAGCATCAATCAAAAGCCAATCCAGGTCAAAATCGAAGTCGAAGTCCAAATCATCAGCTCCAAAATCCCGCTCTCACCTTGGTATTCGCAACTTCTTCCGTCTTCAATTGCACGCTTTAGTTTATGCTGTTGTACATGCAATATTTTCATTGTACATTAGATTGAGACAAGCATATCATGCGGTAAAGGACCGCATATTTGCGATTTTATTTTATCATCATCGGACGCCAGGATTGATACAGAAAGATGTGAAGGGGTTAGAGAGATTACCCGAACACGTTAGTGTGATATTGAATCTGGAGGATGGGGCAAGAGGAGGAGCAGGGCTGGAGGCTTTGGTTGATGAGGTAGCGGAGATTACAGCATGGTGTGCATGTGTAGGAATTCCAATGTTGTCGGTGTATGAAAAGACTGGTATGTGATTACTCAATGGGAACATAGGTGAAGGGGCACGTTTTGATAATGGAATATAGGAATACTCAAGGGTTATATACCGGCGACGCATCGGGCCGTAGTGAGAAAGCTAGCCTCATATTTTGGACCGGATCATCCGGCATTATCTATGAGAGCTCCCCATGTCCCGTCCATGGAATCCTCTTCAGCTACTTCGACCACTGATACACTTCCTGGCTCTCTACAGCATATTTCTGTCCTGCTTCTTTCGGCTGAGGATGGCCGAGATTCACTCGTTGACCTAACCAAAACACTAACGGAGATGTCCCAACGAGGGAAAATTGAGCCCAATGATGTCAGCCAAGAGCTCATTGATGCTGAAATCACTGAGAGCATCATGGGGGAGCCGAATCTTTTGATACTATTTGGACCAACTGTTGAACTATCCGGATACCCACCATGGCAATTACGTCTCACAGAAATTTTTCACGTGCAAGATAATCACGGAGTTGGATATCAAGTTTTCTTGCAAGCATTATACAACTATGGCAACGCGCAGATGAGGTTCGGAAGATAGATTAGTTACTATTATAATACGAGAGTGTACGAATTGGAATGGTGGGTGAAGAGCAATCCGATTATGATTCTTTCCATATTCTCATTTCCCTCAGGATGTTATCCCATTTATACACAGGCCCAGTGCCGACATTATAATTATAATAGTTCTCCGTCCCACTTTTTACCATAGCACGTCTAAAGGTAATATTGATTCTCCCTCCATCGTTAGCATTCTTCCCTGTTCGTTTGGGGATGGAATGAAGCCAATTTGCCTGCGTTCTACCTCGCATCAATATCATGTCCCCGCTTGCAAGTGGGAGCTTAATAGGTTTAGTTTCCGGCGGAGGTGGAGCATTTTCATTCGGCGGTATAAGTTTATGTTTCATGACAAAATCTCTCCTTGCTCCAAGCGAGAAACTTGCAATAGCCGGTAGTGGTCCTAGAAACCTTTCGTCGTCACTATGATATGAGATCGAATCGGACCCTGATGCATAATAGTTGACGAGACAGAAGTTGAATTTGCAACCCGTTGCCGCTTCAGTTGAAAGTCGTAAATCGTCTAAACATTTTGGGATTGGCCTAGGCGGATACTTGGTATAATACCGCTCTTTCTCAACTTTCTTATTGCTATTGGTATCGATGACTTCTCCAGTATCACTAAATCTAGATGAATCGTCGAGACCAAACACCGTAGTCCACCTTCTCAAGTGTTAGTGGCTGGCTCGTATTGGAAGCACGGATTGATTACCTTGGAGTTTTGATATGAGTTGATATTCCCCCTCGATTAATATCATACTCCACACGATAGAAAGGCAACTCTGAACGAAGAAATTGAAACACTTGACGTTCCAGATATTTAGGGATATAAGGCTGAAAGTAAAGAAGGTCAAGGTCAGCTTGATCGTTTATTTCCTTGGCAATTGTGGATGGAAGAGACGCCAGCTCCGTGGATATAGATGACGGAAAATATGGTATTGAGAATGGGTATGTTGAGTGACGCGTGAATTCGCGTTTCTTCATTGGTTAGTTGAGAAGATGAAGGGGTTGAGTTGTATAATAACTCACAGTGTAAGATTTCTCTTCTTTTGGCCTCTCTTCTGTAGTTGCCGATTCTGATACCCGGGATCTTTTTGCAGGGGGTTTAAAGAAGGAATCTATGGTTCTTTTTGCTGCCGACATTCTCAAATACAACTTCTGTTATAGAGTGGTGCAATAGTCGACGCGCAGGGGATATCGATAAATATAGCCTACCATGACATCACCACTTGGTTGGACCAAAGCCATGCGTAGCCTTGTCATTAGGGTAAATCTCTAGCTTCAGCCTTGCGAAATTTATAAGTTCTACACACAAAATTTCAACCTCACGAGAAAACACCAAACGATATGAAGTTATGGAGGTATGTTCATTTTCCATATTATAAAATAATCTTACTGACACTCTACATAGAAATCTACGGTAAAATCTAATGACCAAATGTCATTATTTCGCCCACCCGTCGTGCGCTCCGCAGCCGGAGTACTCGATCGTGCTCTCTTTTCCAAAACTATACCGATTTCTGCAGCAAGACTATTGAATAATAAGATTATATCGAAATGTCGATCGCAATTGACAAAGAGCAAGGAAATGCTGGTAGAAGATAGAGTTGCACCTATAAGATCAGATCCGGATCCAGAATTTGCGGCGAAAGGTGGAAAGTGTTTGCTTTTGAATCCCAGAGTAAAGCATGATGGTAAAAAGCCTTGGGGTTTTTAAAATGGAAAAGCACATGCTTATTTATTTGGCAGATCCTACGACTTGGAGTCCGATTTTACAGGAGGCCGTGAAGGCACAGGATTTGGGAGTTATCCCATTTGATTTGACTTTGAATTATGATCATTGGAACTATAGTATATAATTCCTTGACTCTTTACTACGTTTGGGGGGCTAATTTCTGTAGTCGATATCATGAAATCTATTCTTCCTGAAGATGCTCAAGGGGAAATTCCAGTCGGCTTTGCCATTGTTGGGCATGTTGGTATTACTCATCTTTCCAATCATCTCAACCTCTCTAACAATTTCAGCCCACCTCAACCTACATGACGAGTACCTTCCTTACAAAAATCTTGTTGCGTCCGTCCTCATGGACAAGAACCCGACCATTCGCACTGTCATCAACAAAATTGATGACGTCGGCACCGTCTCTGAGTACCGGACTTTCTCTTATGAAGTGCTGGCCGGCGATGATAACATGAATGTTGAAATTCGGGAAGGAGATTGTACTTTCCGATTTGATTATTCAAAGGTCTACTGGAATAGTAGATTACAAACAGAACATAAGCGATTAGTGGATCTGTTTGAACCTGGGGATGTGGTATGTGATGTTATGGCGGGGGTGGGTCCATTTGCTTTACCGGCAGGGAAGAAAGGGGTTTTTGTATGGGCAAATGATTTAAATCCAGACAGCTACAAGGCTATGAAGGATGCAGTGGTTAGGAATAAGGTATGTCTTTCGCTTTCTCAAAATCTCACCCACTTTTCTCCATGATGATGCATATCACGACGGTCAACATAAACCACAAGTTGGTACAAATTGATGAGGATGCCTTTGACAAGGCGCTTTGATCTGATTCTATACTCTACACTTGCATCTCATCAAATTTTAACGGAACCGTGACTAACCCCCAATCACAGGTCGAAAATTTCGTTCGCACATTCAATGAAGATGTCATAATTCATTCCTCAAGCCGCCAACGATCTCCTTTCATCTCGCCTCCACAAATCAAAATATCGTAACCATCGCTCCTAAACGACCATCACGCAGCGCTCCCCCTCCGACTCAACCACTTCCACCTCCAAAGACCATCACCATACCCAACACCTTTTCACATTTTGTAATGAATCTCCCGGCCACCGCCATAGATTTCCTTCCCGCTTTCCATGGTCTCTATCACACCTCTCAAGATCTCTTTACCCCGCATACTGAGGTAAAGTTACCAATGGTACATGTACATTGTTTTGCACCAAAGAACGAAGACAATGAAGCGGCCAACATAGAGATCTGTGAGAGGGTGAGTGAGAAACTAGGAGTGAAGATTGTACAGGGAGATGAGCATGAAACAAAGGTTTGGGATGTAAGGGATGTGGCGCCAAAGAAGAGGATGTTTTGTGTTAGCTTTAGGATACCGGCTGAGGTCGCTTTTGGGCAAAGGAAGGGATAAAGATTGGAACTGGAGTTAGAGCTAGGGGTGTCTCCAGGTGGAATTGATAGTGATAAGACGTGAGAGGCAAGGAAATGTAAAAGATTATTAGACGCCTGTTTGGTCATATATTTGCATAATACAAGCAATGTCCATCTATCTAACTAGGATAATATCTGATAGCATACCATACACACAAAAACGGTATACCATGCCAAGAATCAAGTTACAAACATAACGAAATGCAAATCCACAAGAAGTTAAGACCCCTGTAATCTCACCTGTACTTCGTGTGTCACATCGCACTGCATACTCGAAAACCGGGACTCCAGCCCCGTACAAATTAAAACCGAGGAATCAATACATGAATTTTTAAGGGGGGATTTCTAGGGCGTGGGGGTCGACTCACTGCTTTATTACTCTTTTTATTCTAATTGGTGTTGGTATTGGTGTATTTGGATGGGTGCTTCGTTATGTGGTATTGTTTGTATGTATGGGGAAATATGTATCTGTATGTAGCAAGGTACAGACGGGAATGTAGGTATCGTATATATGTAAGGAGATATACCGGCATTGCAGCGGGCAGTTCTAGGTACCTAGGTATCTAGGTATTTATAAGTAGATAGGTAGTTAGTTATATTAGATTCGAGATTCTAGATTCTAGATCTAGAGTGGATGGATGGATGGGGTAATGGGTGTGTGGAATTGGTATTGCGTGCACATCTAGGTACTTGGTTTTGGGGTATTCTTTGATTGTATGATTATATTCTGTAGGTTATTTATGAATATTTTTTATATTTTTACTTTTTAGTTGTAGAGTGGGATTTGATGGAATAGGTTAGGCTAGGTACGATAGGATGAGATGGTATATCTCTGTATACCTGGTAGGCTAGTATGTATATAAAATATCGCAAATCGACGATCTAAAAACCTCCTCTAGTTCCAGTCCAGTTCCAGTTCCGCAATTCACACTTCCAGTATTCATATATACCAGTTATTTACACACAATAAAAAACAGCACAAACCAATCCAATATGAAGCAATACGAACCAACACAATCCAACGGAGACATCTCCGCAAAATATCCAATTCTCCAGATTGCCATATTATCTACTCATGCATACATGCATACATGCATGTATGCACGCCACGCCTTACAACTCCCCAAATAAAGAAATACATACATATATACATTTGGAATCTCGGTACCGCAGCTGCACTCTCTCGCAACCGGGGAAGTAGGGTTTATGTACCCATCCATAGGTTAAGTATGGTATTGTGTTACTTGTATGTTTCAAGGTGCTTTGTTTCTCTATTATTTGGTGTGTAATGAATGGATTGTAGGGTGTGTATTGGTTCGTTCTGGATATATGGTTGGTGATTTGATGATGATGATTTGATGAGAGAATGATGTCGTATGCAAAGAGAAGGGAAGGGAAATGATGTACAGTACCTACCTAGAGTACTGCAGTAACAGTACCATTAGAAGTAATACTACGGCTCACGGCACTGCGATGTCCGCTGTAAGATTATTTGCGGGCGATGGATGTTAGAGTAGCATTCGTGGGATGGATGGAAATAATTGGGTGGTGGTGAATTGTGAATGTAACTTGAGTCATTAAGGTGGAATTATGGACTCGTGAGCGTTGGACTTTCAATCCATGTTTTTGGGGAGGGGAAGAGGAGAGAGTATCGTGATTTTGATACCTACTTAGTGTTTGTGGTGCGATGTAAAAATCTCCAGATAATTCATGTGCATGTAGGTAGCTAAACCAACGTCAACAGGAATAACAGCCAACCACAAACGTCACATGAGCTCCCTTCCGCTCAAAATACGAAATCAACCTACTGCCCATCCCAAATGTAAATCCAAATCCATAAACTCCATCACCACCTCACTACCTCACCCCATCCCCATCTCCCCATCTCCATTGTGCCATCCACCTACCTCCCATGCAAAGTAGCTGTACCACATATTAACTTACCTACCTTACATCCCTCCACATCCCTCCACATCCCTCCACACCATCTCCATCTTCCTCACACAATACAACACGCCATCACCCAGCGTCCCATCCCGAGCGTCCCGCTGCGCAGCACGACGATTTGGGAATGGAAACTTATATCAAGTATTGTGCATTGAGTAGCTTGCATTCATTCAGCATTCATTGAACATCCATTGCGCATCCATTAAGTATTCAAAAAGAGGGATAAGAAAGAGAGCGATAAGAAAGAGGGTAGGAATTACCACTCTATAAGCATGAGCCTGGGATAGGCGAATAACCTTAGAGAATTAGCTTGAGAATGAGAATTAGCTTTGATTTTCAGGGGCAGGTCGGGCCAGACTAGACTAGACTAGACCTTTTGTTTTATTCGTGTGCACTGTGCAGATAGTAGGTTTCGGTACTGCTGTTTGCAGATGTGTTGGTACCTATGTTGGTATGTACTGCTTATCTAATTACCACCTAGATACTGGGAGATGTTACTTATGTTTCATATATTTATTTGTACAGTAGATAGCGGGGTAAATCAGGGGTTGGCGATCAGCTAGCTTGCTATCTAGCTAGGTATCCTTAAGCACGCACGAACCATTGTAATAATGTAGATTAGAGCACTAGATTAGGGTTAGGGATACAGTATTATAAACATTAAACATTAAACATTAAACATTAAACATTAAACATTAAACATTAAACATTAAACATTAAACATTAAACATTAAACATCAAACATCAAACACCTATATATTAGATATCAAACAAAACACGATAGATAGAGTATGAATTCGAAAGCTACATTAAGTATATACGCCATTCATTCCATACCCTCTGTTTGCATCTTCGCATAGGATTAGGATGATTCATAGACACTCATAGACACAGAGAGTTATATACGATTTACGATTTTACAATGACCGAAAACGTTATGAGGATTGCTTGCACATAATTACCTAGGTAGTAACGAGATAGAACTCTGGATTTATTTAATTCTAGCAGTATACGTACCTGTACCTGTACCTGAGCTGTGTATGTATGTATGTATTTATTTATATATTTATCCCGAATGGGGAGTTTTGGTACTAAGTGATTGATTGATTGATTATATACAGTCAAGCAAATTTTACATAATCTTACATACCTACATACATACAAATCCCATATCAATACCAAACAACTCTATCGCACGGCGCAGATGGTGATCTGTTTGTTATTTACCTGTTGTGATATAATATAATATGATATGAGTTAATGTATGGATAACGGGACGGGGTAGGGTAAGGAAATCGAAGATCAGCATGGTAAGGTTACGGTGGGCTTAGCATGAAGATCATTATGATGGGGCTACTTAAGTATTCTATCTATCTATCTATCTATAAAGATCTAGACTAACAAAAACTTGGAAGATAATCCGGGGTGTGTAATAGATGGATGGATAGATGGATGGGTGTGGGTAGGATTCCCTACCTCATCTACATTTGTAAAAGGGAACATGTGAAAGTGAAAATCAGGTACTGACTGTACCTACCTACCCGTCATATATGATACTGTTACTGTTACAGTGACGTGCGTGCGTTCAGTTCAGTTCAATTCAGGTCAATAAAGAGGGTTGTTTCTTGTTGTTTTTTGTAATATCGTATTGCTAATTATATATATATAGATAGATACATCGTGATGAGATAGTACTTACCTACCTACCTACCTAGGTACCTAGAGAGAGCGAACTATACTAGGTATTGTCCATTGGGGGGATAAACAATACAATGCTTATGTATTTAATGACAACATCACCAAACAGAAGATTCAAGATAAGGCTAGCAGGTAGGTAGATAGATACCCAGTTCGTATCAATTCACATCATATCAACTCACATCGTATCAATGTGCACATAAGAACCATCCATGCACATGCATAAAAGTGTGGTTAGCAACCCCAACCATCCAAAACGACTCATTGGTCAATTCCTCCAACCCCCACTTCACAATCGAAGGGTCTCGACTCTATATGGCGTTTCTAGACAAGAATGCTCCTGCTTGCTTTCAGCCAAAAAGAATCTTGCGCCATAAAAATCTCAGATTCGTCAACTCCACTATTTCGGCCGGATATATTACTCATAGGACTCTGCACGGCATACCTCTTTGAAAGATCGGGCGGTTATCAAGTTCCGTTTCAAAAATTAGACTACCGGTATCCGAATATTATGAATGACCCGTGAAAATCTCCAATGCGACTTTTTTTATTATTGCTTAGGTAGTCTGTCTTTGCAAGTTGAATTGGTTATTGGCTGTTCCTGAAAACTTGTGTTGGTTGCTGCTATAATTTTTAGATTGGTAGTTCTCCCATTTCCTGCACCTATGGTGACTAAATTCTTAGGGTCAGAGTTAGTTTGATCCTTATCTTGCATAGAATGACATGTAAGAATGTAGTTGCCTCTCCTACTTCATAATCCGGATTCTAGTGTCTCTTGTGATTAGACATCTTAAATCTATGTATGTTGTTGCATGACTCTGATAAGCTGATAAGCTGTAGACTACGATGACGACTTTTCGGTAAAGTTATTCATACTTCGTATATAAAAAATTCCAAGTCTCACCATACCTTTCAGCCGCTAGATGGAGGAGTCGCAGACGAATTTTCAACCTCAAAATCGGGGTACTAAATCTGGAACCATATTTCCTTAGACGTAGATTTACAGTAATTGTATATCACTACCTACTCAAGAACACACATGTGTTTGACGACTTGGATGGAGAATTCAATATGAACTTGCAGGTTACATGCGGCCGGTGTCGGTTCATTCCATATCGAGTCTTCAAAATTCTTGGGTGTCCAATACTTGCTGCATCCGTTAATATGAGTAAAGAATGCCTATTGGTCGACGTCTGTTCTTCAATTTCTCGTTAGTATTCAGATAAGATAATGACGATTCTAGATGCTTCGTAGTTGTCCGTATGTTTCGACTTGCACCAATGTTTGAGCAACTGATGCCGAAAACATACATAATACAAACCTTGGAAGCAAAACCGGTCATTAATGGAAGTGTACGTCGTGATAGCCACTGCACGCCATCGCAATAATTCACAGACTTTTGCTGTGCCATGAGCAGGATGAATTGATATTGAATAGTTGGCCATTTAGAAAGGGTGAGAGTAGTTCTAGCCCTCAAGTCTTCTCCATTGCAGTCCAATGATCATACTAATATCATATAGCGCTAGAGTATAAATAGATTGACATTAGCCGTTGCTCGACGGCACGGGTTCATCGCTAGAAATCTCAATGCGTGCCCGCTCGGTACATCACTGGTCTTCGTGCGCAGCAATGCACGCGCTGCATTTGTGCAACTTTTACCGTGCAATTATATCCGGATGATGGTGACTTGAGAAGTACTCTATCGACCAGACCCAAGTGGCATTTAATGCCCCTTAGCGGCGCAGCCAGAAAAGTGCACATTGCTTGGAAGGTTGGAACAAGACGATCTCCCGCTCAAGACCGGGTTTCTATTGGTACACTCTATGTAAGACAAATTCCCGTCGGGAAAGAATCGAATACTTAAAAATTTAAAATGATCAGCTCCAATTTTGAGAAATGTAATTGCTGTGAATCATGGGGTAATCTAGGGAGAACCGTCTGTGTCTATAGTCAGCGACGAAATCACCGGAGCAGAACTTTCTGAAACGACTTCGAAGATCTCGCTGAACATCCATTGAGAAAAGATACCTTGAACTTTTAGTCCGTATCAATGTACTTAAGGTTCGCGTCAAGTTTGGGGATAGCCAACTTCTAAATTCTGATGTGCTGCTACTTTAAAGCCAGCAGAATGTAATTTCTGTCAAAGCGTGTGGACAAACTATTCTGAGATAAGGCTATTGCGTTGTCCATCCTCAACCAAATGGAATCGGTATACGGAAGGAGTATGCATGAATTCCGGGATATACTTTGGCTTGATATCATAATGCTTGAAGAATGATGAAGTAGGGACTGGCATAACTGGCGTATAGCGAATTCCGAACCAAGATCGAAGCTCGGTAAAAGGTGGAATCTTTCTTTTCTGTCCTCAGAGTTTTAAGTAGAAATGAGGAAAAGTAGCCATTGTTCCGGACCATTCTGAATCTGGACTTATCATGCCGTGGTCGTGGGGTATTTACCGTATTTTATTTAGATTTTATTAGTGGCAATGGCAACAAGAAATTTTTTCTTTCCGAGCCAGCTGCTTGCGCCTGCAGCCAGTGACTTTTCGGCCTTGCTCATCTCCAATGATCCCCACATGGTCCCGCAAAAGTGAGCAACGAGAAGATATGAGTGGCTGATGTCACATGGGGGTCAACTTGACGACGCTTGACGACGCTTGACGACGCTTGACCACGACCTAATAAATTTCTAGGTTTCGGGACGTCGGGTTGCTGAAGTGTTTGTTCTCGTCGCCCTGCCCTTCTTCGTCGTGAGAAGCAGCTTAGCATCGCATTAGTGAACTTGGCATATTATTAGATCTAATCGAGGGAGTTAACGGCCTCATTATCTCTCAAAGCTTGAGCTCTTGTTATAGGACTGGCTCGACAATGGACATGGAGATTGATGCAATGCCTTCTCGACCTCATAGTTTTAGTCTGTCGAAGTCTCGGTGATTTGATGAACATTTCGCTTCCACCATGTCGGTCCGGAAAGAATCGATCTGCCTTAGTAGATGACATCTATAGGTGGATGCTATGCTAGGATATAAAATGTACCAGGCCTCTTCGATTCGACGGATGCCAATAGTCTTATGCAGTTATGCAGAATTGCAGTGGGAACTGATGCAAGAGGTATATCGGTATCGCCCGGTGCAGTTGATACAACATTTAAACGTAAATTGCCTAGAAATGACATGGCAATCGTGTAGCACGAATAGATTACAGGAACAGGATCTATAGATTGCAGAGGAGAGTAACAAAGCACACTAAAACGTCTTCATCCCAATCAACCATTCATTGATGGATGGATGATGACGGTCAAAGGGCAGCCTTATTGAAATGGCCAGGCGCATTGTATGAATTGAATTGATGACAACGAGTAAATACAGTGACTAGATAGCTGACTAGGATAACAAGAGTCTCCATAGAAGAATGGAAAAAGGCCGAGAGAGCCTTGGAAGACTCCGCTTGCAACGCTGAGGCCTAGACACCAATCAAGCTGTTTGATCCATCGAAATCAACTTCAAACAATGAATGTACAGTAAGTAGCACGTAACAGTGTAACAGTATAGCCGGATGAATCATAAATGTAGAGCTGATGGCAAACCTCACAAGTTAAACTCTTCACGGATTAGAGAGTGATATCCTTCCGGATGCGTTGAAGGTTGATTTCTGTCTCGGAACTTATTACCTAGCAGTAAGATTAGGTAAGGAATGTGAAATTTCCCATTCAAATTCCAATTTTAATTTAGCATTCTTCTCTTTATACTTCTCTATTTGGAGTCGATTGAAAGGGCAGAAAGGGCAGAAGATGCCTCATCAAGTTGGCTTGGCCTGGAATGAGATGAAATATGAATCGAGGTCAGATGGTGAAAGAAAGGAATCGTATACAGTAAGGTTTGATTGTAAGTAATGCATGCAATCAAATAGAAATGAATTTGATCCAAATATCGAAATACCAAGTATGCAGTCGGTATCAGTCAGTAACAGTCTGTACAAAACAACTTAATAAGTATCTAGTACCTACTCATGGCCGCAGTAAAGTTCACTCATACGGTGAATGCAATGCATCCTGCGTAATCTCGACAATCAAAGATCATTCATTTTTCTCTCATCAACATTCTTCCAACCTGTTTTGAAATTGATCGAATTAATAAATCTTTTTACTTTTACTTTTTGCTATTTCTATTTCTAACCTTCTTTGGTACTGGATAAAGAGACTAGACCAGCTCAAGTAGGTAAATTACGACAGCTCTACCTAATAATCCATACCTGATTAAGATTTCCGGCTTTTTTTAGCTACTCTCTTAAGACAAGATTCAAAAAGCGCACAATCCTCCCTAGACTACAGTAGTAATACATAGTACGTACCATACAGATTCGTCAATCACGCTTTTTTACCTCAACATCACCCACCTCCGCCCACTTATCAATCAAAAATTCCCGTACCATAAGGTCCAAAGCCCTTCCACCAAATAGTCAAAGTTTCCAAGTTCCAAGGGTCGAGAACCTTTCTCCTCGTTTACTACCTTGTACTTATACTTCCTGGTTCAGACTTCTCCAAACAAAAAGAGTCCAAGACTTCTTAAACCTACACTTCACCTCGATCAATTCTCCATTCCCCATTCTCCACATTCACTCGTTTCTTATCCTCTACACACCTAAACACCTAAACAACCTAAACACCAATTCAATTCTTTGCTCCTCTAATCGATCCTCTATCTCCCTATCGATTAATCTATTACAAATTGGAAAGCCCTTTCAATTGTTCAAATCAATTAGTCTACCGTACTCAATTCATTGATAGAGTGGACAATAGTGGAGAATTCCTACCGCACTCAATTATTGCCTTCTTCATCTCTTCCCTCATCAATCCTACTCTGCTACCAACCACAACTCTGCCAACAACCTTTAAACATCCTCAATCTACCAGGTTTTATGATTGCTACTCTAGTTACTCTTCAATTCTTGGAAGTACGAACTAGGAAGTTACCAGGCTTAGAAATAATAAAAAGGTCAAACGAAGAGGAGGCCGTTTATTTCGAGTACAGGTCGTCCTGACCTTAAACCATACACATACTTCACCACCAGTCAATTAACCCTTCTAGCGGAAGGTATTATCATCGGAAAAAATGGCTGTAGTCCTCAATTCGGAAGAAAATGTCTATTTTTCGTCAAGTCCTCTTCGTCGATCACATTCGCAGCCCAAATTCGTCACACAACCATCATCATATTCGAAATCCCTATCTCGATCAAATAGCGCAAAATTCAACCCGATAATATCTCCTAGTAATTCCTCAAACTCTTCGGCGCCATCTTCTCCACAAACATTACATGCTGATTCTGTCTCCCCCTCATATTCATCAACACCAGCTAGCAGCTTGTCGCTTGATAATTGTGACGATGAGGACGAAGAGGATCACATTTCCTTTCCCACATACGACGACATAGCATACTGCGATCAAATCGAAGACCTGGAACCACCAGCCAGTCCACATACAGGCGATTCCTATAGCGTTTCACCAACGTCAAACAGCACCTCCACCATCTCTCGACCCGGCTCTCCCGAGGTACCGCAGGCACATGCCGAGGATGATACAGCATTACAGGCGAAACCTTCACGGCACGTAGATTACCTGTCACATAATTGGAAAGAAGAGGATATATGGGCATCGTGGAAACTTATTGTGTCAAAAGGCTGCGAATACTCTAATCATGAGCGATTAGAAAACGCCTCGTGGAGAACCTGGATGAAGGCAAAGTATGGACTCAAGACAGTTTCACCAGAAACACTCAATTGGTAGGCTTTGATAATTATTCTGCTGCTATCGTAGTCAGATTTGATAGAAAAGTAACTGACATTGCATAGGTTGAAGGATTGTGATGTGACTTGGCTATATGGTCCACTTCAATCCGGACCAACGGCATTCAACGCCCCGGACACCTCCCCTGTCAGCAGCAGCAGGCTTTCAAAATCAAATTCATTTCTACAGAAAAAGCCAATCCTCAAGAAACGAAGCATGTCTGAAATAATGCTTCAGAGATCTCTATCGTCGTCGTCATTACTCAAACAGGCGGCCGCTGCAGTCCAAGCACAACAATCTGGAGATGCACAACGCCCTGGTATAATGAGGGCCGCATCGGATTACGTCCCGTACGAATTTGCAAGTAGGCATGTAGAACAAGCTGATTTAAGTATGCTTTCATCAGTTACATCATCTGGACTAATCACTCCCGGCACTGAAAAGAAGCACATTAGTTTCAATGAGCAAGTATCGCAATGTATAGCTTTGGAAGTCAAGGGCGATGATGATGATGAGCCAGACTACAATACTCAAGACTTTGATGACAGTGACTCTGATGATGGAGCTATCATGATGAAGAGAAGCACTTCTAAGCGACAACTTCCACCAATGAGGAAGAAGGTCATCTCCAGAGTTAACTCCATGGCAGACAGCAAGACCATTGCAATGTTGCCATCTACAACACTTAAATACCGAGAAGACACACCAGAGCCCCAGGAAACAGCTATGAAGCACAGCGGATTTTTTCATGGAACAAAACTATCGCCATCATCATCTCAGGAAACCTTAAAGCCCTCGAAACCATCAACGAGAATGCTTTTAGGTGACGATGATGAAGACGATGATATCGATTGGCAACCATCGAATACATTTGCCCATAGAAAGGATAGCATTTCAGTCACGCAAAATCGATTTAAAAGTCTCAGTACTTCCGATTCTATGGGTTCAAATGGGGAGCCTTCCGGCATGAGGAGGACACCATCTGGTATGTTTATGCCTTGTGAAGAAGACGAAGACGATATTGTATCTGAAGGACTCTTTGGAAAGGTTGTCGACACTGTAAATACAGCAAAGGACATAGCACATGTCATATGGAATGTTGGGTGGAGGAGATAATTTTCGAATGGGATAATCGATAATCCTAGCTCTCCAAAGAGTCTTACTGTCGTTTCAAGAGTTAATTCCTGGATTCGAATACAATTAATGATGGAATATAGCGTCGACGTATCTACGGCGACTTTTGTACATAATACTAAAGCACATATTTGATGCTGCATTTACACCAGGTTTGGGAACCACAAATTTGCATGTGGTTGGCGTTTGGAATGGGATGGTTTTTTGCTTTTCAAAGGGGATTGGGCTTGGGCGATGATAGCCAAAATTGTATTCTGGCAATGGGTTACATATAAAGGGTACGGACGGATCACGATTGGGGGTTTGGGCTTTTACTGGGCACAGAAGAGACCGGCTTGTCTTTGGTGGTGAGGAAAAAATTGGGTTTACACTGTACAATGGGGGGTTTTATGGGTTATGCGCAGGCACAGTAAACGATGCACACCACAGAAGCATATTCGCTATAATGCGAAATGATGCACGCGAGACCTGGAGAGAAGAGGAAGGAGAGAGGGGATAATTGACGAATTATTGGGTACATACACCAATACAATAGTCAAAAAAAAAGAGAAATATACAAAGCAAATGATCCAGAGTCCTAGTGTGATGTGAATATGATATGATTCAGATTGGTATGTGAGTGATGATAAATGGGCTTTGATGAAGTGTCGTCATTCCTCACACTAAGTGAGAAATTTTCAACAGCCTCTTTCATTTCATCTCATTCTTTACTCTCTCTGCTCCTTTAACTCTCCTGGAATTCCCCTATGTCCGACTTTACTTTACGTGATTCGGCTATACAGTACAGAGAATACACATTTTTCTTTATCACGAATTTATATTCTAGAACACCCTTTCTTCCCTTGAATTCCTGCATCGAGATTTGCTTTTTCGTCTCGCTTACTTGGCTGCTCCGATTGGATTTCTTGGAATTGGTGGCTTCTTTTTTTTTAAGGAAGGATTAGGACGGGGATTGGAAGGGTAGGTGTAGGAGTAGGAGATTTTAGGTCCGAAAAAGAAGGAAGAAGAAGGGAGAAGGAAGAAGGGAGGAGGCTCTTTATTGTTATGTTTTCTTTTGTTTGTTTTTTTGGTGCGGGGTTCGGGAGATTTTGGGATGAGGTTGGGGGTTGGATGGAAGGGGGGGTTGGTTATATCATTTTTTGAGATTTTTTGGTTATTTTTGATATTTTTTAGGAGATGAGAAGGTGATGGAAAGGGGATGGATGGACGGAGAATGCCTGTCGGTTATCGGGGATCTGGATTTTGTGGGTTTGGGATGAGGTTTTGGGTGAGAGTGAGAGTGAGGGTGAGGGTGAGGGTGAGGGTGAGGGTAATGGGAGGGGAAGATGGTTAGATGGATGAGTTGAGGGTAAGATGGGAGAAGGGGAGATATTGTGCCAGGCAATGCTATGCTAGGCTTGACTTATTGGGGTATATGAATGAGTAGGGAGTAGAAGAGAGAAGAAGAGAAGGGATAGGAGGGAGAGGAGGGAGAGAATACAATAGATAATAAATGAATAAAGGAAGTGGTATTTGTTATATCTTTGTTTTATTTTATTTTATTTCATTTTATTTCATTTTATTTCATTTTACTCGAATTATTCTTTTTGGGATTTTGATATTTTTGAAGTATAGGAGTTTATGAGCAATTTTACATTCCTTTGATTAAATTCTTAGATGCTGAGTCTTGGATTAGATGTTAGGTGTTGGTTGGTATGATTAGGTACTATATAGGTTCACATTGCGGGAACTATTCTTTGTACCTAGTATACATGAGTACATGAGTATAGAATCTGGGGTAATAAGACAAAATCTCGGTATAGCGCGCGCTAAGACCTCTGTGATTTTATCAATGGAAGAATCGAAGAATTTAGAAATTTAGGAAGTCTTAGCACTCTTTCCTTGCACCACCACTCATAAGTGCAATTCCAATTGTAACTGTAATTGTAATTGCCCATCTATCCATCAACAGGATTCAGGACTAAGAAATCATCGCGAAAGTTAGTATAGTTGTCAATTTCCCACTTTTATTGTATTCATCCCAAGGGTATCATTTTAAACTGTTAGATTAAGTGTCAAGTGTTGATATACTTAAAATACCTTACCATAGGTAGTATTACCATACATTGTTTTTAGTCCATAAGCAATACCTACCCCTTAATCCATAAACCATCATTCATACAGCACATCACAACCACGCCACGCCACGCCTCGCCTCAAAAAATCCTCCAAAGCTAGACATCTGATCACTTCCCCTCCCTTCTTTCCATACGCTACCCCTTCCATTCCATCCCCTTCCCCTCCCCATACCCCATTCCAAATTTCAACCCCACAAAACGACACATCTTCCTTGCATACTTTACATACATACTCTGTACAACACCCACATTACCCCAGAAAACCAAATCCATCTACTCTATATGACAAGACTAGACTAGACAAAACAAAACTTAGTACATATTAATAAAAACGCCTAGTACGCCTCACTGTACAACATCGATCCAACGCATACGCCGTAGTTTTGGGTAATAGGTACTAGATCATAGATGTCAGCCTGTCAGGTAATAGGTACTGGGTAATAGGTGCCAGATACTTTGATATTAGGTATTCATTACATATAAATTCTATGAAAAGGTCATGAGATCTTCGGGTACGTACTGGGTACCCCTATCCTAGGGAGAAATGGGGATTTGTCAACCTAGGTACCTAGGTACTAGGTATCGATACGAATGCCGTTGCCAATGCTATTGTTTGGAATTCCGAATTTTCGCCGTGGTGGTTTAGTTGGTTGGGTATGTGGATATGTGGAGATTTGGGATTAGATTGGGGCTTGAGAAGTTGTGAGTTGAGGGATGATGGATGGATGTTACAGTAGTTATATTGATTATGTAAGTTATATAACTAGGTAGTGTTTGATTCTAGATGGTTAATAAATCGATAGTTTTACTTACTACCTAGGTATGTATAGATAGATTCTATAGAGTAGATAATAAGGGAAAGAATTAGAAGAGTCTATGAAAACGACTAATGCGAAGATGCCAAGAGCTTGGGGAAGGGGAATGTCAGGTAGATTAATTAGATCTTGGTACCCCGTCTTTTACTAAATACTGTACGTACAAGTAACACGAATGATGAATCCAAAACAAGGTTACACAAATCGAAAGTCCAAATGCAAATGCAAATCGAACACGAATACAGTCCAATCCAATCCAATCCAAACACAAAGAGTCAAGAGTCAACGACTCCCCTGAACATGAAATTCTAGGGTCCTACTACCTAGTACTCCAAATGACACCATGCACGCACCCCGCAAATCATCGTCATAAGGTTCCACATCACCGATCACACAGCATCACAAACATCACAGCGAGCATCAGATTCACACGTGACACATCTCCAATCTCCAATCCATGTCCGATCAACTGCATCCCTGACACCAATCCGAGAATCAGACAATACAAATTTCCCCTCTTCTTCCTTCCCCTCTTCAGAAACAACAAAAAAAAGAAACAGACAGGGGTATACCTGTCCTGTCCTGTCCTGTCCTGTCTTGTCAATCAGCCCATTTCTATCTACGTACGCTTGTGTCGATCCATGCATGACCTTGTCATACCCTGAAAATCATATCATCAACGATCATTGGCATACTCGATTCTCGAGTTTCCATCACATAAATATAGGGAAGGGGGAAAGTGTGGGGAAATGGAAAGTAACAAGTGGATCGACATCGATTGGAAATTTGAAAAGTAATGTTGGGTAGGTAGGTAAGGTAGATAGATAGGGTTATAAAATCATCTATATGTACTATATACTATATACACACTAGTATGTTACGTCGGACAGTAACATAGGTCACGTTCTTGATCACATGATCAAGAAACCGACAAATCGAGATCGGCTTTGCGGTGATCGAATTGTCGGGCTTATAGCCATCGGTTTTTAAGGAGGCACGAAGGTCTATATAATCAAGATGGATTTCCTTTGTATAGAGCTTCGTGCTCAAGATCAATCATTTAGTATACTCTACTATTAGTTACGAATTGCATCATTGTCATTACTTAAGTCCCTGCTTGACGCCTAGTTATAAACCACCTCGAGAGCCTAGAGCACTTCCGCGTGATCTAGACGGCAAACCTCGTAACACTCTCTGTAGGAGAGCTTCGCACTTCCGTAGAACTAAGATTATGGGTGATTTATATAGAAGGCCAATATAGCCTCAGTTCTGCCCTATCAGCTTCCCACTATTCCCTGTGTAAGGTCATTCCTTGTAACATTTTTAATCTTTATAAAATCTACAGTTATTAACAAATATTTGTTTATATAATTTGAAATTTGAAATTCTAATCTACTATATAATATTTGATTAACAGATTTGAATTTTTTTTATAGCTCATTTTTAATAAATTTATTGAAAAATTATTCAAGATTTTCAAGATTTTTTAAATTTGCAGTCTTATATAAATCCTATATAAATTGAAAATTATAGTTTCAACTTTTAACATCTTAATTAATAAAATTATAAAAAATCTGAAAGTTCTAGAATCTATTAATAATTATATAGCGAGTTTGTAATTCAAATTTCATCAAATTTTATTAATTCATTGTAAAGTTATTAGTAGGTGAAACTCGCGATTCGTGATGTAAAAGAGTGGTCCGAATTAAGGTGGTCCGAAAGGGGGGTCCTAAACTTGAACAATCAAACACTCTCAAGTTTATAAATTAAACAGACTCACTTTCTCACCTCGAATAAAAAACATTACAATAAACCAACCTCATCATCTGAAAACCCTACCACATTTCTAAAAGTGAAATAAAGCTCAAAAACCAATTCGATGTTCACGAGTTTGAGAAAGAGCATTGAGTTGTGTTATGAGATGGATATAATCTTATCTATATCACGCTGTATGAATTGTCTTTTTGATATGAAATAGAGCTTAAAATTGCTAAGATCTAATGATCGAAAAGGGGAATATGTAATCATCTGGTATTATAAAACAAGCAAGCCGGTTGACAGTGAGATATTACTGGAAAAGTAAATAATACAAAGTTTAAGTATCCACGACATCAACTCATCTTATCATCATCATGAATTCGTAATACCTATCCACAACATCTTCCCTCCGTTATCCTCTTATATTTGTTGGTTTAAAGACAATTTCTCGGGATATATCTCCATGAAAACTCGCAATGACTTGCATGTTTATCCTAGAAAAGCATCTATATCTTCAAGGCCAAGATCTTCATGAAGGGATTCGATATCCAAATCGGTCATCCCCTACCATTGAACCATACCCTCTTCCTTCTTACCCCCAAACTTCAATACTCCATGTTTCCTCCTCTCCCCCAACCACCTATCAATCCATATCTTCATTCGCTTTCTTCCAATTTCAGTACCAACATTTACAGTTGGAACCACTTTCTCAATTCTTAATCCCATCACAAACATAGTCAACTCTCTAAAACTACTATGCTCAGAATACGGTACTCCAAAACATTGCGCTTCTTTCGTACTTCCTCTCTGTGGTATTAGCTCCCCCATATCATATTCTGATCTCCAATTTGAAGCATTAAGAATAGTATGAATTGGTGGAGAATCCACAAAACGAGAATTCGGTGGCTTATAACTCCAACCACTTGGTCGAAATCCTACGACACGTGTGAAGTGAGGTTTATAGCCAGTGAGATAGTCCTGTAAAGTTTCAGGCCGTAGTTCCATAAGCATCTGCATATGGATTTGTGCTTCTCGAGGATCTGATGTCAACCGACTGGTAAGTTCAGGATCTTCCAATGCCGCACATATGCGCATTTTCCCTGGGACTGCGTAGATTTTACAATCTAGAGCCCGGGCGATACCAAGAACAATGCGCTCTTTACCAATGCTATAGGTACCACAAACAACAAGAAGTCGACCACGAGCTTTCTTCTTGTTTTCGGAAGAAGTTTCTAGAGTGTTGGAATCTCCCGTTTCGGTAGGAACAGATTTGATAAACTCTGTCATTTTGACTCCAGCTCGTTCCCTCTTGACTGTTTCCCATGCATCACTCTCTTCTGCATTTTCTTTGCTAAGACTAACACACATATCTGCGCATGCCTTTACGACATCATCTTGTGATGGGAATGAGTACTTAGGATTAAGGTATGTGGTATCAAGATAACAGACATCAATCTTTTGCTGTTTAGTCTTTCCACTAAGCGTGTCAACAACGTTGGGCATTAAAAGAGGATGAGCAATATGCGCTGGGCAAGCACGAAAATCACCACAATGTAGAATGCGCTGAACTTTAGGATTTTGACCACGAGTCGTAGTCTTCTCAAAGAGAAAAAGAGAGCTTCCAGGGCAATGATTTGCAGGGATCATTGTTACTGAAACGCCTTGAGTATTAGGCACTTCAATCTTGTCCTCGAATTCAATGGATACAACCCATTTCGGATCCACTTTAAGTTGTTGTTTGACGAGATTTCCGGTGACTTTGCTGCAATATATTGGACCATATGACCAACTAGACGTCAAACCAATGTAATGATCGCTATGAAAATGGCTCAAAAAATAGGCGTTACAGCCTGTAACTGCACCATATCTAAATGCATCAACGCAGATGAACAAGCCAGGCATGATCTTGTAAAATGGGCAAGTCCTCAGATGTGCTGGCTTTCCTCGAGACGACTTTTCTTTATCTGCAGCATTCGCCCACGCAGCGTCTTCTGCATGACCTGACATGATCTTGGAGAAGGCGGATCCTCCTTCGCTATCGAGGTCGATAGGATTCGCCTGCCCTGGTCTTGGAACTGCTGATTTCCTAGCAAAACGGTTTCTGGCGATGTCGGGCATGGTCAATTTTGTTTCGTTTGATCCTGATTTGACCTTTGCTTTGATCTTCGTTGGTAGAGGAATGGGCTTCCCGTCTAAACACGCATTGACATGCATCGAGGCTTCATCAGACGTGATACTACTCAGATTCGCATCGCATAAAGGGCAAGTAGATACATTTCCTTCTCCTTCATTACTGTTGACTTTATCATCATCAAAACCATTGAATGAATCTTCGTCATCCTGTACTCCATCGAATGCTTCTAGGTCGTTTTGCTTTTCCATCCATTTCCGCTCCAAGAATTCTTCGCCATCGAGCTCCTCATCAGGAAAGTCACCCATATCCTCAAAGTCTGCCCATGCATCTGCACTTGTATTTTGATGCTTCAAAGCTGGAATTTCTGGAATTGCACTGTTCCTTCTTTTGCGTTTTCCTTTCCCCTTGTCCTTAGCATCAGCCTTGTTTGGACCTTTCGATGTCTCTTGCTCATCGTACTCGGATTCCGACTCTACTTTTCCTTTGCTCTTGCTGTCGAAGTACTTAGATTCCTTTAAAGTTTTTTGTCCCTCATCTTCAGATAATGACATAGTCCTTGTGTTCCTTGGTTGTAATGCTTCCCATTTCGCTTGAGCTCTTGCAACAGGAACTCTCTTTTTAGGCTTGAAAACACTGCCCCCCAAAGGTAGAACTGTTTCAGTAGATGATTTGGCGGCAGTATTACTGATAAATGATTCCTTCTTGATATCCAATTCTGCAACGCCATTTTTCAAAGAATCTTCAGTCTGAATTTCTTCTCTACGTGTTTGCGCTTGAATATGATGCCCAGTCTTGAGGCCTCCCATAAAGTCTTCATCGCTATCGGAATCATCTAGAAACGGTCCCGATCGACGAGGTGCTTTGATTACAGGATCCACCTTTTCAGTTGTCATAGGGCTTTCGGCTGGAGGAGGGGTACATGGCTCGGTCGATATCGAGGGCGTGGTGGAATTTTCTTCGGAATCTTCAATTTTCGAGTTGTCTGAAAGTTTGCGCTTCTTGATCGATCCTTCAGCCTCATTGTAGCGCTCATTAATTAAGCCGTCACTAGCTCCATACAAATCGTCGTCTTCTATTTCTGGACTAGATTTGCGAGGAGGAAGCTGTGATACTGCGCCAGTTCTCTGGGCTACAAAGAGAGAGTCATCGTCTTTGAGTGGATTGTCCACTTTCTTAAAGAAGTTCAGAATATTGCCATTGGCCCTCACTGGTGTTTTTGTCATCGCACTCTTTTTGACCGGTTGCTTGCTAAAAGCAGAAGCAATGGTATTTGAGTTAGGTCGCGGGGTAGTTGGTTTGTTTGTGTTTCGAGGGGCCATTGTAGTAGCCTGTCGAGCAATTGAAAGCGTACCGGGTGGCGTAGGAGGTCTACCTGTGGAAAGTTTCGGTGCAGAGCCTGTAGATTTAGTTGAGCCTTCTCGAGAATTTCGAAACATAGTAATTTACGTGATGTACTATAGCTGTGAAGCGTTTGCCATCGATATGGCTTGTTCGTTCGTTTGTTTATGAAGATGAAGGATCAAGGGTAAAGCGGGAGATATTTGTCTTAATCATTGAAGAATAGACAGTCCTGGGTCGGTCTTAATTGAATGCCATAGATAATGCAGAGTTATTGACAGAATGAATTGAACTTGTAAAAGGATTTTGGAGATTGCAGGAGAGTCAGAAGTGGTTCACGGAAAGCCGCCAAATCTAAGTGGATGATGCCGATAGACACGGGAAAAAGCGCGTGGCTTCACGTTATCACCTGACAAACTTTTATGGAGGAGGGGCAGAATAGGCTTTTATATCTGTTTGCATTTTGTGAAAACACCTACTTTGAAACCATGTACTCATTTTATTTGCTTTTGAGAACCTCGAATATTTGGGGCAAATTTTGGATTTTGATTTTTTTTTCGTACACTTTATGGCAATTCATGGCCACGAATTTGCCAAATTTGTTATTCCGTATCAGCTTCCCATAAAAAACCCATAACTTAAATGTATGGTGGATTACTGCGGTGCCCTTTACTGTTCTTCATGCCCATCCCCTCAGCTGTTATCCATAAAGTATATCCTCCGTGGAGGAATGTGCCATCCTAATTACTATCCTCAGGTTTGAATTCATGCCTTTATTTTCCTTTCGACGCCTGCTGTGCAGCCTCTCTCCTTGTAGCTATAATGATCATTAGTCTCTGTATGCACTGTGCTGCCACTATGAAGGACCCCTACCATCTTCCAAAAGTGTTGTATCAACTGCGCCACCAGGAAGATGTACGTATCTAACGACACTTCCTCGTATGAAAACATTCTTGACCGACGACTACGCGCGCATTATCAGTATCACAAATATTCGAACCACATAGTCCATCGCATCTAGTGCATTGCTTCCGCACAAATTGGACAACTGACCAGGTGTGGATATTTCAGCTCCTCCACTACTTGTATATCATCCAGCTTAATATTCAGGTATTGATCGACCGATTTTAATATGCCTTTGATTTGAATATCGTTCTTAAGCTCGACCGTAACTTCAGAATCCACCAAGGTCTTGAAGAAGCTATTTGTAGAGGATATCCGTTAGTTGCTGTGGCTCAAAAGCTTGTCATAAAATCGCACACACCTGAAGAATAGCATTTTGGTAGACTTAAAGATAAATAAGTCTCGACGTTGCAGAGTCCTTGTAGAATGCAGAGGCCCAAAAATGGAGTTAATCACTATAAAGTGACAATGTCGGGATATTGATGCCTTAGGCAGCAAAATGTTGAATTGGGCACGGTCCAGAACCTCAAGCTTCACCCCGTCTCACCGGGAGTTATCTAACTCACTGTAGATGGTTTATCTTGCAGCAATAACCCAAAACATTCAAAATCAATCCAACACCGTTTTTTTTTTTCATTCTTCCCGTGTCTTTGCTAGCCTTTCATATCCAGTTTATATTACAGCCATCAAAGCGTCTATCTTGTCTCCTAGCTTAACAAGCCGGATGGAGATTCATATATTCTGCATCACTGGTTGAAGTTCACCTCGATGAATGCTCATAGTCTTGTCCCTTCAGAATCACCGCTCTAGTCCGAGCAACTATTCAGGAGAGCCGGTGAAATTCAAGAAAAATATCACGTTGTTAGTTTTCGAATACCAAATGATATTCTTGAGCTCTCTCTCCGCTCCTTTGATAAGGAAATGGAATCATTTCCGTGGTATTTCGCTTCAGAAGTGGGAAAATAGTTTTTCAATCTTCATTATTTCTCAATTTGTTCGTACATACTGCAGAGCTGAAATAGTAGGCTACTGAATGGCTTCTAGTTGCGTGGAAAGAACTTTGCTATGTTGGGTGATTTTCTCATGCGTGGCTGGCTAAAAAAATTAAATCTGGGAAAGTTGGGGAATATGGAACTTCCGCTGGTTTTCAAATGTTTATTTACATACCACAACAGGAAAAACTCAATTTGAAACGCGAAATAGGAATTTTCAAGTCACGATATGGTAATGTTATTTGTTGGAGCATCAAAAGCAAAATCATGGAGGATGTCTCCATGCGTTCTGCTTAGGCTGGTGGATGATAATGTGTCTGAAATTTTGGGGGTTCGATTCTTTGGCTGGGCATAGATAATCATAAGTGTAGGGTAGGGTGGCTCACGGAACGGTTCATGTCTACTTTTCTCTCATCGTTGCCTGCTATGATAAGAAGCTTGAGACATGAATCGTCACATAACGCTCTTTGTGACGATGAAATCGCTAATCATTTTTCTCTCCACATAACATAGTTATCGTGATTCTAATCATACATGTTGGTTGATACGTATATACGCCTATAGTGCGTTCATACTCATAATTCCCTGTCCCTCTCCCCGCCTTGACTACCTTGACCTATCCTTTCTAAAAATTCACCCATCCACTCTTTCTTTCCACTTTCCGTCCCATAAAACTCTTTCCCATACCATGCCCAACATTCATCATTAACAGCATCACCATTACATTCCTTCTCACCCTTCTGAACTACATCCACCTTCGGCCAGACTCCCAACCGCGCACCCATGCTTTCATCCAAGAAATTGTCCATCAAAAGTTGAACGACACGTTTACGGACGACATCGTATTCAATTCCAGACTTTAAGAAGACGGACTGTAGGTATGAAGTACCATCTTGCTTCAGGAAAGACTTTTGGATTTGAGGCGATTTTAAGAGGCCACTCAGGGCTGCTATTTGAGATTTGAGAGAGGAAGGTGACGTGTTGGGGGCCGATAGCTTTTTCTGGAGTGCAGAAATAAGACTTAATCCTTTCACGCGAAGGGCAGGACAAGTGGGCGCCATGATGCTATCGTGGAACAAAGACAGGGAGGCGACGGCAGTAGGATTATTCTGTAGAGAACTAGAGAGAATTGCAGACGCTGAATGATCACTACCATCTTCAAATGAAGATTCCTTGGCCATGAGGCATATTAGGGCAGAAACTGCCGCCTCATCAGCCATGAGTTCCGATCCGTAGTAAATGTCGTGTGACAGCTCCGAAAGAGAAGTCAGCGCTGCACTGAGAGATGCATCTTGTCCTTTCAAAGAGGCAAGAGAAGTCCGGAATGACTCAAAGTCAGATGATGAGGGCGGTGGCGGTTGTATCTTCCCATGGCCACTGTAAGCCGGAGGGCTTGAGGATGGTTGCGGTTCTTCCGAGGATTTCACTTCAACACCTTCGATCACGACCATGGCTTGTTCCGTAGGAATATCAAGTTCCAGGGTGACATCATCACCTTCCATTGGAATATTGAGACGGGCTTCTTTCAGACCGGAAGATATGTTTAGCCGAACGTGAAGGCCTGGTGGAATATCTTGCCCAGGCTTGATAATTTGAAAGTCTCTCGTTGGTTGAAAAATACGGGGGTAACATTCCGCTTGGTTGTCAGTAGGGCATATAAGCTCTGTATCTGCAGATGGTGATGCTGCTGGGTTTGCCGAGAATGCCCTCGCAAATATAGGAAGACTGAGCCATGCTAGGCTCAGTATACTGCGTATTTGCAAGTTGACCATTTTGAGGTTTGGATGAATGTGATGTATAAATCGAGTGCAAGAATGCTCTCTTCCCAAATTCGTCCTTCAATCTGCTAAAATTGATAAGATTCGTTTGGCTTTTCTTCTAAGCCGCCTCAGATTTCTCCTCTGTCTTTCTGCCAGGTCGAGGTCCTTGCAGGCTTTATCAAAGGCTTGCAAGTCAAATGGCTGAATTCTTCCTTCTATTTGACTCTGTTTATCGACTAACCACTGATCCAAAATCCAAGGATAATTTTCGAAGCAGGCTTCTCCTTCCCAGCTCGAACGTAGAAGAGGACAATCTTTCCACTTCACAAGATACCAGATGTGGTTGTTCTTCCCCACTATTTCGGTGAGTATCTTCTCCGGGGGTCGCTCTTCAGAATCACTTTCTAATGAAGCAAGAGATTCTGCTGAAGTTGAATCTTCTGCTTCACTATTTAAATCTAAAGCATCGATATGAACCAGTTGATCTGCTGGGTTATTTGTAGTCATCGTAAGGACAAGTGGCATCCAGATAAGTACAGATTTACTCATTCATTTCGCTCGGCGAGTTGGCAGAATTCACTTGCCTTCCGAGGTTGGCGGCGGTCAATGGGTTAGAATTATTATTGCCTGAGGATCTATTAATCAGCAAAGGTCAATCAAGTGGAGGGTATCCAAACATGCCGGCTTCCCAAGAATGACATATTGAAAATCAATTGATACACAACAAAATGTTCGCCCTCAGGAGAAAGGCGGTTCAATCTGCCGACCGAGTTGGAAAAGTAACTACTCGAGTTTCGCGACGATGGGCATCTGCAGAGCATGGAAAGACTGGTCATGATAACCACCATTCCGCTGGATCAAGTACAGACCATGGGCATCATCATGCTGGTCCAAAAAACGAGTCGTTCGGAGTGAGCTTGGAACACTCCACTTGTAAATTCTACGACTAATGATGATATAGACTGGGTTCTTTGTTGTTCTCGCGGCTATCCCCATCTCGATCGGAGTGTATCAATACGCCCAACCATCTGCCGATGGAACTCCCTCCGGCCTTACGAAGCTGATTGACAGCTATTCATACTATACGGAGAAATGGGCCGCAAGAAATGCCCTACACGTTTCTATGCTCGAACAAGCTGCTTTCGACCGCAACCTTTTTCAGAGTGATACAGGCAGTGCACATGTCAATCTAAGATTCCCCGAGTTGGTCTTTACATCTCCTGTATCTTTGCTCAAGAGCTAATTCCCTATAGACAATTTAATACAGGATCCCCTTGGAACGTACCAGCAGGTCATAGAGCTAGAGACATGGAACAGTTGGTAGCGCATTATGAGAAGTTCAACAAGGAAAACGAAGATAAGAAGCGTTGAAGACCGAAATACAAAAATACCCGTACATATCGCTTTAAAGGAAATCTCCCATTGTATAAAGTTTACATACATTTATGGTCACCAAGTTGGTGATCAAATTTTGTGCAATCATGAAATTATACTTACGGCCAGCGGCCGAGTGGGACGTTAAGTTTTGAGTGCAGCAAAATTACCTTGCAGAAGCGTACCGGAATTCCTGAACAGGGTATAAGAGCCGTGAACTAGAGCCAGTCTTAGTTGTCGAAGCCGCTTCTTTCATAATTCTATATACATGAGAGCAGAACATAAAGATTCTCCGTGAACTCCAGATCCTAGACTATTTTCCAAACGCCACCAATACAGTATGTTGCTCACGCAACTTTTTTCATTCCCCTTGAATCTTACTACTCAAATGTCTGTTCCTCCCTAGTCCCACCATAAGCAAGGCCCTAATCCAACCTCTTCCATCGAAGCTACTATTTTATAAGGTGATTCAACTACTCGTGATTCCTCATTCTCATCTTGCTTGTCGGGGCCCAATGGTGCTTGATCATTCCATTGCTCAGAATCCACCCGAAATCGCACTGTTTCCTGGTTATCGAAGAAAAGTTGTGTACCGTCTTCGGTCTGCCAGACAAAGACTTGCTCGTTATGGTCACTTGGTGATGATTAATAGCCGGGTGTGGAGAAGGGGAGGAGGAAGCAGACTTACAAGTGTGAACCATCTGGTAGCATTTTTGCGGGAACGAAAATTTCATCGAAGAAATGAGTACGAACTTAACATTGTCAGTAGAGCTTAAGATAACTGGCATATCATATGTACACTAACCTCTAATACCACTCTCAATAGAGCTACTGATTCTCCCTGTCATAATTTCAAATTTGAACGGTCTGAATACAACAATTCGGAATTCAACTGCTAAGTGGTTAGCAAAACATAAAGGCTGTGATGATTTTCAGGACCCATGTACCATTGACATTCACCAGACCATCACCATGTCCAATCAGACCTTCTGAGGCCGAGAGCAGATCATAGAAGCATATACAAAGACCAATCTTTTGAATCACTTTGTTGGCATATTTAAGATTGATATTATCCTCAATTGCTTGACTAGCATTCTTTCCCAAATCTTGAGGCGCGATCTGGACTAAATCGGCAATTTTGGTCTTTCGAAAATGAGTGTTAGAATTGGATTTTTGTTCCGTAATCTAGAAAGGAAGTACTCACGAGAATGAACATGATAATGTACCCAGGTATCCCGTGGCCTAGGGAAAGTGTTGCTTTTGCTTCTCGTATGCCTTGCTCCTCCCCAAATATCTTCTTCCCTTATGGACGAGTGATTCTCCAGCAAGCCGCCAATTGATGTGAATTTAACTTCTAGAAAAGAAAAGAAAAATAATAGAGAATAGAAGAATGAGAAGGATTCGAATAGCTTGAGTAGGATCTTTGCTTCTTCTGATATTCACTTTTGTGAGCTTATTGGACAGAATGGAACGATAAACAAAATTCAACTTTGATAATGGATTTTTAAAAAATCCAAGTAAATTTGTTCTTTTTTGTTCCTTCCCAAATCTGTAAGATTACCACTTTAACTGTACTCTGGAAGACCCTTTCTCTAAATTTATCATCAACAACATCTGAGAATTTATCTAGTAGGTATGTTACTATTTGAGACGGTCTTTCCAATTTTCACAAGATCTTTTCACCAGTTCGAGGTTCAAAATCAATAAATCGATCAAGGAACTTACATAAGCCGATTTATTCAAGATTGGGAGACTTTCTATTGGCTGAAGTTGTGCGACAATTTCCACACTAAATATCCTCCGGCCAAATCATGGTTGCGCAAGGCAAGGCTTTCTTTTCCATCTCTTCATCCTCCTTTTCCAATAATTATTATTTCATCGCGCGATTGGTTTTCATCAATTAACATACCGCTACATCAGTCCCATATACAGCACCTGCATATCCCTCTACCCGACACGGTGCACCCGGTATCCAGCCATCAGCACAAAGCGGTTTGCGACAACCTTTAAACGCCCCTTCAAATCCAGTGCCTTTAGCTAGTCAGTACAGCAAACCAAATATCTACCAGGTTGTCGGGGATTTACAACATCGCCCCCCACATCAACACATCAACTTTCAGGTCAAACAAACAGCGCCATCTTGGAATCACTACGGTCAACTCAAGATTCCCGTTCCTGCGCGGCCTCCAATCTTCCAACATCCCATAAGTCGAGACATTCAACAAGACCATCAGCTCACCAAATCCACGACACATCAAACACTTACACAAAACAATTTGCAACCTCAAGCCGCGCAAGTCACAATGGCTGGAACGCAGCAGTATAACTTTCCCCCTCCTCCACCTCCTCCCTCCGGGCCGCCGGCTGTAGGGTATCCCCAACAAAATCCTCAGTACGGATATCAACAACCTCCCCCATATCAGCAGACGCGCAACAACGGTCCCCCAAGAGGTGGTGGAAGAGGTGGTCATTCTGGTCCTCCTCACCCACATCAAAATGGTTACAATGGTCCACAAGGCCCTCCGCAGATACAGGGCCCGCCAAGTGATCAATATAATCCGCATAATCCGGCACCTTACATAGGGCCACCAAACAGTTCTCAAGGTCCTGGCCATAACGGTCCACCCAGTAATTACCCTCAGCAATGGCAACAACAAGGTCAGCATGGCCCCCCTCAGCATAATCATGGTCCACCTCAACAAGCGCACCAGCCACCACCTCAGGTTCCTCTTCAAGCTCAGAACTACCATCCTAATTATGCTCCACAAGGCTTCAATCAAGCACCACCACAGTATGGTCCACAGCAACCTCCACCATTTCAACAACCTTATGGACCACCTTCCCAGCAACCACATCATGGTGGCCCACCCCAACAATGGCAAGGTCCACCTCAGGGACAACCTCAGTTCAACAATAACCATAGAGGCCGCGGTCGCGGTGGCTTCAATAATGGCCGTGGTGGTCATGAAGCACCTCTCATGGGGCCTCCGATCCGCATGGGATTTGAGAACGAACGTGGAGATCATATGGCTCAAGCGGGCACTGGTTTCCCTACTCCCCATTATTCCACTCATCAAACTCCCCCTGCTCCGTTTTCTCAGCCAACCTATCAAGCGTATCCCCCACAAAACTTTCCTAATGGAGGTCATGGTGGACAGCGTCCACCAAATGATTCTCATTCTTTCAACTCGAGCTCTAATCGGGGCAGAGGAAATGGGAATTTTAGAGGTAGAGGTCGCGATAATTTTCAATTTCGCGGCCGGGACAACAATCGTCCTTTCAATGGCAATTCACAATCTCCTCCGATGCATTTAAAGCCTGCAGGTGCAGGGGACAATGCGAAGAAGAATAAGAAGAAGCGCAGAACAAATACCCTTGGCTTGACACCGAACGGTGTAGACCATGAAGATAGCGATGATGAAATTGACGATGTTGATGAAGAAGCCCGTTTGGTCACTTTGCTTGGTCCCGACACTCCACAGTATGTTTTGCAGGCGCAGAAGATTAGTTCTTCTTGTTCTATCGCTAATTAATTTTAGGTTACCTGCAGATCTCAAGGCATGGCTCGCTGAGCGCAAAAATCGCTTCCCTACGAAAGCTCGTAGAGAAGCTGCTGCTGAGGAGCTTCGCTTGAAACGTGAGCAGAATAAGACCAATAGGTTTAAGAGAGAGCCTGAAACAAAGGTCGTCAAAAAGGATGATGGAGAAACCAAACTCGAGAAACAGCAACGCAAGGCCGAGAAACTCAGATTAGAACTTGAGAAGGCTGAACGTAAGATCAAACAGGAAATGTCCGGTGGAAAACGCAAGCGTGAAAACGGCGACGAGGGTGACGAAGACCGTGGCCAAGTGAGTGATGATGACTCTGATTCATCCAGTTCCGACTCAGGGAAGCCGGATGCAATGTCGTCGCGAAACAATGGTCATAATGGTATTGTACATGCACGAGCACCACCAACAAAAGCTCAGCTTCAACGTCACTGCAAGTACTATTCTACTGGTGGCACCTGCGGCAAGAAGGGCAAGTGTCGCTTCGTTCACGATCTGGACGTCCGTAACCAAGCTTTGCGAGAGAAGGAGTTGAACGGTGGTAAAATGACTATTGCGCAACGTCTCATTCTCAACGATACCGCCAAGGATGATTTGACCATCTTGAAGTCTATCAAGTACCTCAAGGAGAAGGGTTTGATGCCAGAGTCGTCCTCTGTTAGTGCACCACCAGCAGAAGAAACCGAACCCAAAACTGAGGAGAACGATTACACCGACGCACCCGAATATGGAGAGGTCTAATCTTGCTTGTGAAAATGTTTCTTCTGAATCCAATCGATTCCAAGCTGTCACACATCATGAACCCTCAGCATCTCTCTCGATATGCTCGCTCGATATGTATTTGGTAGCCATTGTGGCGGAGCAGATTGAATATCAGGGACAAGATGTTGTTTAATGCGTTTGACATATTCACATCAATTTCTACCGACGATACGCGAGTAATCATCGAAAGTCTGATAACTCAAAACTTTTATCCTTGATAGTCTACCTTTTGCAGTTCTTGCTTTGTATTTCAAATTAATGGATTGGAGAGGAAGTAAGGGAGCGCTAAGGGGGGTGTTCTTTTTCATCTTGTACACTTCTACAATCCTTCGAGGCTATGCTTCATTGGTTCCCCGATTTTTCTTTATTCGCGCTAGCCTTTCCTTGTATTAGTTACAGTTCACTTCAGAAAAGCAAACACATTTTCATATTATGAAACCTTCTATCGGATTTAATCAAGATCCGTTACTTGTCACTCTTGTGCGAGTTTCATGCCGATGAGTCGGAGCATGAGTTCGATGGCAAGTTTGCTGGAAGTCAACCAAACTGAATGTAATATAGTTTCCGTGGTATTGTGGAAAGAAAGATGTGTCAGTAGGCACCAACTTAATTAATTAGGCTAGAATACGAGTTCCCGAATCAATCTACTCTTCATGATTGAGTGAAGATGCTTAATTGAGCAAGATGCTAAGAATCTTGTGGATGTAGAATCATGGCCGACTACGAAGGAGTCGGGAAAAGCGAATTGTCCCGCCTTCCGCTTTTAATATCAACGCCTTATATTCTCTGATTTTTTTAATATTGCTCTAGATTTTTGATAGATCATATATGTGACGCCTCACACCTCCGGGTCACGTGGCATGCCCCGTTTGTATTTAATCACAGGAAAACTCTCTACTCTTGTTTTCCTTCTTCTTTTTCTCCTTAGCTTAGTATTTTCTAATACAAGATACTTGTCACGATTCATTAATTCATGTGACCTCGAGGACCTTGAGGACCTTTTGGACCTTAGGGTCCCAGAGGTCCTCAAAGATGATATAGGGTATATAAACATTCATTTAGTCTCGTAGTTAAGGAGCTTCGTGCTCAACTTAGTTATCAATTAGTTTACCTACATTCTACTTGATCTAGTAACGACTTCACTTCCAAGTGAATACCAGTGATAAAGCCTTAACCTACAACTACCAACCAGACGAAACCTTAGGCAGCCGCTGCCTTTAGTACAGTATCGTTACAATACTTTACCCAGTATTCTTGAGTGACAATATAATAGCTTTATTATATTTGCTTTTTTTGTTTTAAGATATATTAAGATCATAAAAGAAACTATTTTATAAATAATGACATGATTTTTGAAGATTGTAATATATATATATATTACAATATAATTCAATTTTATAAAATTGAAGCGGTGTTACGTGACGGTTGTTACCTACTAGTGGCTCACGTGCACTAGCCCTTTATATAAAGACCTTCTTACTTAGAATCTTCTTAGTTCTTTAGTTTTAGATTCTAAGTAATTGAATTGACTCCGTTTACGACTTTTCCGTCACAAGCGGGACAATTCGCTTTCCGCGGATATTTGACTAAATATAAAATTGGGGCCAGCCCCTCTTTATAGAAGGTTGGGGGCCCCTGCGGCAGCCGGCAGATGTTAAATGCTACCCTCATCATCATTATTATCATCACCATCGTCCCCTGGTTCCTGGCACGGAATTCCGGTGTTTCAGCCCTGGAATCCCGCTTTACCCGACCTAACCGGTCAATTTTTTGGGCTGGTATTGCGGGGTTCTGTGGAGTACTACTGTATGCTACTCTGCTTCAGGTGAATAGTCTCGCGTGACTTACTCTACTCCCTCTATAAATATAGAGAGTACTCTCTCGAGCTCTTTTGCTAGAATATCTTGAGTTTCAGTTCAATATTCATTATTATTTCTTGTGGACTCTGTATCCGTGACATAAGTCTTATATATATAAAAAATCGATCCCAACACGCTGTCAAGTTTAATTGTTCAGCTTGTACTTTGGTTTTCCTTCAAGTATATGCTGTACTAAGAGCTCTTCATATACTGGACTTCTATCCTTGTGGAATCTTATCTCAGAATTACTCTTGATCTAAAAGTTCCAGAAACCACACACGATCTATTTCCAAAAAAAAAAACACATCATGGCAACTCCATCAACCGAGGGTTATGCGCCCGAATGGCTCGAGGTAACTATATCCTTCCAGCTGCCGCCTCAAATTCACACATGAAACTCACACACCACAGGTCGAGAAAACCCTGGGAGGTCGTCCTCTCCTCGAAGGCAAGCCACTAGAAATTAGAAAGCAATACAGCGAACTAGTCCGCACCATCGCAGCGCAATCCGCAGGCCCCGATTCCTCCGTCCAAACTCGTGATATCTCCGCCGACGGAATCCCAGTTCGTATCTACACCCCTCCAAATACTTCTGCCGGAAACCCTCTTCCTCTAGGTGTATATTACCACGGCGGAGGCTGTTGCCTCGGGGATCTCGATTCCGAGGATCCGTGGTGTCGTTATATCGCTAAGACGGTTCCGTGTGTTCTCGTCTCAGTCGAGTATAGATTAGGTCCTGAGTATAAGATGCCGGTCATGTTGGATGATAGTCTTAAGGCTTTTGAATGGGTATGTGCACTGACTGTGATACTTCCATTCTAACTCTTTTCTTTTCTGTTCCCCTTCTCTATTTTCATGTATACAATTCCCTAAACCCATGCGGTATCCACCCACATCACTCACTCACTCCCTCTCAAGGCACGAAACCACGCCTCAGAACTTAACGCCAACCCGGCGCAAGTCTTCACAATCGGCGGTTCAGCAGGCGGCTGTCTATCTCTCACCGTAGCAAACGATCTCATCGTCGCTGGTAAAAAAGACCACATCCAAGGCATCGTCTCCCTGGTCCCCGTAACCGCCCATCCATCTTCCATCCCTGCCGCTTACAAGGAACACTATAAATCGTACGAGGAAAACGCAGCTGGTGTTCCGATTCTAGATCGAGCCGCTATGGATGTATTTCTTGGGGCTATTGAGGCGGATCCTCATGATGAGAGAATTTGTATGTCTTTTTTTGTTTCCTTTACCCTCCAAGGTTTTGGTTATATACGTCTATATCCATCTCTGTGATTTTTTTATAGTCTTATATTTATATCTATGGGGAGAAACAAAAATTAACACTCCATCAATCTTAGTTACAACGCTTTCCAAGCATCTCGATCAATTTCCTCCTACGTATATTGCTACGTGTGGGAAAGATCCTTTAAGAGATGATGGTACGGTATTGGAAATAATGTTGAAGGAGAAGGGGATCAAGACGAAGAGTGATTTTTATGATGGTGTGCCGCATTACTTTTGGATGTTCCCCGGTATGAAGGGTAGAGATGAATTTTTGGACAATGTTTGTGCGGGCGTGAAGTTCGTTTTGGGTATTTAGGTTCTTGGATGGCTATTCTCACGCAAGAGTCCTTTTTTACATTTGGTTCAGAGGTTTTGTAGAAAATGCAAGTCTAGCTTGTGTGTTGTGAAGAGTTCAATTTTTATCTATTTCCCAACCCTCAAATAAGAAAACCCCATGAAATTTGGATCAAGCTAAGAGATCCGTGTAACGTTATCCAATCATCTAGATGTAAGATTTGAGATAGAGAGGTATTTAAGATGATGCCCCAACGCCAGCGCCCATGCATTTGCAATCCATATGCATATGCGATTCATGGAAAAAGCAAAACCTAATCTAGGACTCATGAAGTGTAATTTTCCAAGCCATTGGAGATTTTGGGCCAAACGACGGCTTTTTCCAACGCTTGCAAAACATCTGCTTTCAAATCCTCTGCATCTTCAACTCCGCAACTAATACGGACTAAATCGTCATACACACCAATGGCCTCTCTGTGAGCCTTGGGAATGCCAGCATGTGTCATGCTGCTTGGTACTTCTACCAAACTCTCGACTCCTCCCAAACTCTCTGCCAATGTGAAAATGTTTGTCATTTGACAGAATTTTTCAGCTGCAGCAGAACCTCCCTTAATACGGAATGAAAGCATGCCACCTCCCATACCATCTCTATGTTGCTTGAGAGCAATTTTGCGGTGCGGGTGGGAGTCCAAGCCAGGGTAGTTGACGGCGATGACGTGGGGTGAGCTTTCCAATGTTTTGGCTACCAATGTCGCATTAACTGTGGCTTCCCGAGCTCGGAGATGCAATGTCTTCAGACCACGGTGAGCGAGCCAGCTGTCAAAAGCTGAAGGTATGCATCCAATGGCATTTTGCAAAAAGCCTAATCTCTCCTTCATAGCGTCTGAGTTGAAAGCGGCCACTCCCATCACTACATCGGAGTGTCCATTGATGTATTTAGTGACAGAGTGAACGACAATATCAGCTCCGTGGTCCAAGGGTTGTTGAACGTATGGGCTCATGAAAGTATTGTCAACCACAACCATGATGCCATGTTCGTGGGCCGCTGTAGCCACCGCTCTAATATCCACAAGACGCAGAGTAGGGTTACTGGGAGTCTCGATCCAGATGAGTTTTGTCTCTGGTGTAATATGATCCACAACATCCACCTCGATCTCTGGCGTAAATGTAACCTTCACACCATGAGCCTTAGCTACCTGTGTGAAATATCTGTGGGTTCCACCATAGACGTCCGATACCGAAATAACATGCGAACCAGCGGCTAAGGACTGCAAAATGGTAGCCGTGGTAGCAGAGCCAGAAGAGAAAGCTAAGGCGTATTTTGCGTGTTCGAGAGCTGCGACAGCCTGTTCGAAATTGTCACGATTGGGATTGGAGCTTCTGCTGTATTCATATGCACCAACGGGTTTTCCGACGGCGGTTTGCGCAAATGTTGTAGAAAGGGAGATGGCTTCGATGACGGCGCCAGTGACAGGATCATGAGGAGATCCAGCATGAACTGCTAGAGTGCCAAATCGATGGACTGGCGAAGGGGCTCGCGGAGGAGTTTCAATGGGATGATCGAAGCTTGGAATAGTCATTGTGAGGAGGAGCGCGGGTTGGTAAATTTACGGAGGATTTTCTTTTTCTTTTTCTTTTCTCCAAACACTTTTTTTTTCACTGATGGGAAAAGAAGAAAATATGCGAAAAGTTTGATAATTGTTTGTCACGAAATATAGAAAAAATAGTTGCGGGGAAGTTTAGACTTATATTATTCTTCTTCACTATATTAGAGGAAGAAAATATGAAAATATGCAGGCGTCTCTTGGTTATGGATCAAATTGGTAATAATGTGAGATGGTTTGAATGTCGTGACGGGGTAAACCTTATTTGTAAGAACAAAGGCGGTAAATATAGATTCTAGATCAGCAACTAAAGCACGCAATTTCTCTAATGGAGCGAAGGGATCTTCTAGTAATATCTAGTTTTAAGTAGGAATAGGCAGGAGGAACGTATAATATGTCATCTGGCTGCTTATATGCATGTGCATGATGTTGGTAGGCGGAGGAGGTGAGCAAATGGAGATATTATGAAGACGTCATGACAAATAGCTATTGTGCTTTTGAGAGTGTTTAGGTTTATGGTTAACAATTGGTGGAATCATTGAGCTCTTTTTGAGTCATGAGAATTCAAACACAGGAGACGGTGAAGGTTGTTTATTACTACTAGGTAGGTATATATAAATAACGAGAACCGTAGAATACTGAATTAGCTGTAAATATAAGATCTTAATATCTAGGATGGTAAAGATAAGATAGATTGTGGGGCAGAATAAAGGTTATTTATTGTTGGTGAATTTAACCGCAATTAAACGGGTAGAGCCGGAAATAGCCGGAAACCTCTTATCGATTAAGATTGAAGTGCCGTATTAAAGTTGGCAGAACACTTTTTGATTACTTAAGACCTGAGGTAATCTCACGTGCCCAAAATATCGGGGCACTTTTAATCCGTGATCCGTGATTGAAAACGTTGTTGTGGGTCTAGATCGAGAAGGCTGAGATGCTGACTAACACTAAGAAAGACCTCCGTGAGGAAAGTATTTGATTGGTTGAATGAGGAACCAGGATGCCACAATTAACTCAACTTCCGATGTTCCGAATTCCGATTCGTAACTACCCTGGTACTCAAAAACAGTCTCGATGGTAAACAAATCAATGCAAATCGAAACACTAAGGGATGAATTTTGAACTTATCAATTAGATACCTCTGCTCAACATCCTTCACTCAAAAGAGATCCAAATTTCTATCTCCATTGCATGTATTAGGAACAGCTCCTTTTCAATATGAACATTTATCGAAATAGTCAACCTGCTCGCCACCTTTGATCTAACTTCCATCTTGTATTTGTCCCCTGGTAGTACAATACAATGCCACCAAGAAGATCGCATAAGAAATCCAAAGCCGGATGCCAAAGATGCAAACATAGGAAGATCAAGGTAGCCAGTCATTGTTAATGGTATCATGAGATGTCATGAACATATGCTAATTCTGAGTCAGTGTGATGAAAAACATCCCTTGTGTGGAAATTGCCAAAAACATGGTCCGTATATCTTCACTAACAAAGAGCAGAATACATGTTGACGTTGATTATTAGGCGTTTCCTGTGACTTTGCCGACAACCCATCGTCACCTGACTCACCAGCCTTCCAGCCTCCATCGCTATCTCACCAAACTTCAGATGAATCTGTGGCCCATGTATCATCACCAGCTTCTACCAATTCGTCGATAATGCCATTCTATCGGTCCCCTGCACAGATGTTCAGGGGCCATAGTAATACGGTACATGATCGATCACTTGAGCTCAAGCTTATGCACCATTATACAGCAGCGACTTCGAAAACTCTATCTAATGATGAAAGTCAGGAAGTTGCTTGGTCTGTCAACGTACCGTCGCTCGCTTATAATTCTCCATTTTTGATGGATGCTATTCTTGCTGTTTCTGCTCTACATTTACGTATATTACAACCCGATGATCGAAGTCTCGTACGTGCTTCACATAGTTACATGGCATCGGCGCTTGCTCAATATTCTTCCCTGTTGAACAGAGGTCCATCCGAAAGCAATGCAGAAGCTCTTTTTTGTACAGCTGCTCTCATTGCTTTTCAAGCATCGGCATCCCGCTGTGTCGAGAATGGAATTGACGGTGATTCTGATAGTGGTTATGTCTTTCCACTCGCTTGGTTTCATTCTTTTCAAGGGGTGAAGACAGTCGTCATAACTTCCTGGCAATGGTTACGGAATTCCGAGAAAATATTTCCCATCATCAATGGGCAGCCTCCATTAATACTGGATCTTGATCCTGAGCGCCGAGCTTTCTTTGCTTATTTACTCGAAGGTATCGACAACGAATCAAGGTCAAATGATGCTTACATAAATGCGGATACGAAGCGGGCATACGAACATGCCGTTGCGATGCTAAACTGGGCCCACCAAAAACCAGAGAGAGCTCGAATCCTTGGCTTTGCGGCCACCGTATCGCGCCGTTATATTGAGCTGTTAAAGGAACAGGATCCTCGTGCTTTAGTCATTTCTGCATGTTTCTTTGCTATGACACGCGTCGTTGATGAAATTTGGTGGCTTCAAGGTGTTGCCAAGAAGGAAGTGGCTGGAATTTTCAGTTTGTTACCGGAAGAGTGGTGGCCTAAGATGGATTGGCCGATGAAAATTTCACATTTTGAGGGAAAGCTAGATGAGAATACTTGGGGCACTTGTTGGCATTCTGACGGAACGCCAAAACGAGAAGAAGGCTTCAATGGCAATCTTATCTCGCATATTGACATGTTGGCACAAATTTTGAACCAAACCGCACCGCCACCAGATTGAAACAATTCATACCTAAGTTGTAAATTTGCAAGCGCAGGAATGGGATCCCTTCGTTTAATGCCGGATTATTGCGGTTATCGAAGTGTTGGGATTGAGATAATAGTCACTGACTGGGAAAGAAGCACTACTTACTATTATGCACGCTTCCTCCTAGGCTATCGGGAGAACCCCCGGGCATATATATACATACGGCCAAACAACACAGCCGATTACTGATGCTGATGATGATGTACAGTACGAGCCATCGAGCTCCAAAACTTTCAGGCTTTAATGTGTAATCAATATGTAGTACAACTTCATGCATGGGCGCATGAAGCACAAAGGATGCTATATTAATCAATAAAAGATCTTAAGATCTTAAGATCTTACATTCGTATAATCTTATGTCCCTCTTTACTTTTAAAATTTTGTGAATCTCATGGGAATAAAGACAAAGGCTTCTTCCTTATATTATACTTATCATGTTCTCCTGTTAGAGATAGATGTGATATTCTTCGAGCTTCTTACATTCACTTTATGCATATAAAAGACATCATGAATGAATGAACTAAAACATTCTCGTCTTGAATTTCTTTGTGCTTTGAATAGCTAGATAAAGAGTAACCCTCAGTCAACTTCGAACCTTAAACCTCAAAGATCGTCAAATTGCCTCTTCACGTTAATTATTTTACTTATATTATACTCGAGTAAGCTTCTGGATCTATGGAGTTGTAAGATTGGATTTTTGAGGTTGGGGAGTTATGGATTAAGGATTAAGGATTAAGGGATGGAGGGACGAGGGATGGGGGGATGTTGAGGTGAGGTTTGTTAATTGGGTACGTATGTCTGTATGTATGTGTTTTATATTTATATTTATATTTATGTTTGGGGATATGTTTTGGATATGGGTATGGGTTGTGGGCTTTGAGGGGAGGAGGAGAAGGAGGAGGGCAATGTACAGGCATATACATACCTTAACAAACCATAAGTAAACAGAATCTAGACCTCACTGTCCTCTCACAGGAATAACATTATGCAAATATATACACACACACACACACATATATAAACAATAATGCCGAATCTACTACCCCTGAAGTCTAAGGTAGACAGACATACTGAAAATACAGAACAAGCTAGTCCAGAACCACAAGAACATTTTGGCGGTCCCTCTCCATGGCTATCAAAGAGGAAGTTTTGAAGGAGCAAGTAGTGAACCCTGACCAGGAAGACCGAATCATCTTAAATAGAAGTTCCGAGGGACGCTGTATATTTTTTGATACCCCAGTTTAGTTTCTGATTCGTGGTTTTATATATATAATTGTACATATGAATACTTGAAGTTCCAATTATTGCGGAGAACTTGTATACTTCCTTTTTGTATGATGAAGATAATATTATATGTAGAAAGATAATACTGACATACTGCAACCTTATTATCACTGACTGCTGCTACACCTGGATTGAGGTCATGATCGATATTGTAACATATATATGACACAACAGCCCTCGAATTTAATGGAGGAGATTCATAATATTAAAAGTATTAGGTAAAGAGTTCATATACACGCTGCCGGCATCCCTCATTACAATATGACCTTCTAATATCCATAAAGGCTATGAACGTATGGAAAGCAAAAGACAATCAGCGTGAAGTAGCAAAGCAGCCTTAAGGTATGTTACGCCTGCAATGCCTGTGTATCTCATCTTCCCCCCAAACTCCAAATCGCTAAAATCAAAAAATGCATCAATCCATAGCATTCCTGAAGCAAGTACCCATCCGTATCAATCCTTGAAAAACATAGCCAATATCCCTAATTGGTTAATCATCTTCTGGACTTGGCCATAGCTGCAAGCCTTGCTCGTTTTTCAGCTTTCTCCTTCTTGAGTCTGTTCTCCTCGGCAAGTGCCTCAGCATCTTCCTTCCTTGCAATAGCAGCAGCCAGTTCTTCTTCTTCATCAACTTCAAATGTTGCTGCTTCCATATCAGAGGATACATCAGATGCATAGTCATCCTCCTCAATATCTTCCTCCATATCGTCCTCGTCCTCATCAGTGGCGTAGTAGCGATCAAGATTCTTTCTACCATTTTTATATCGGTCGTTACCTCCACTACGAGATGAGTATGAAGATGTAGCAGGTTTGGAAGTAGTTGTACCACCGCCTGGTCTTGGGCGAGCAGTTCCAGTGTATCCAGTTGTCGCTGTTGCAGCCTTTTTAACCTTCTTTTCAACAGCTGGAGGCGGAGCCTTGGCAGACTTCATTGCATTTGTACCACTTTGACCACCTGGACCATTCCGACCTGAGACCTGGCTAGACCTCTGAAATTTAGAATCCGGTTCCAGTCCCTTTTGAATAGTCTTCCCTTTTTGCGTCCTTGCTTTATCCATCTCTCGTTTCGGCGGTGCTTTTTCGATGGATTTGTGTTTAATTACTCCGACCTGTCCCATAGAAGCTTGAGCGGCTTTCCCTCGTGCCAAAATCTCCTGAAATGACCCTTTCTTGGGAGGTTTTGCTGATTCGGTGGAAGAAGGTGGAGGAGTTGGTTGTCCATTCTTGAATGTAGTGTTGGCGGTGTTAGCCGAGCGCGGAGCCGGTTTTCGCGAGTTTGTGTCAATCCTCATCCTGCCCATACTTGTATCAACAGCTGTAGGACGTTGCGCTTGGGTGATCGGTTTCGTTGTAACCACAGTATTTGGCTTTTGCAGTTTGTCAACCGGCTTCCTCAAATCATCGTTTGCTTTTCGCTTTGGTGGGAGAGTGGCGGTCGGCATCGTCATCGTTGGGTTTGGCCCCCCGGAAATCTGGGCAAGAAGATCACCGATCTTGATCAAGTCAGTATAGAGATAATCTAGAGTATAGGAAATGAGCAAGAATGGACGTACCGGCATGTTGAATGATATGCTTGTGGTACTCTGAAAATGCGAAGAAAGGAGAAGATCAAAGAATAATGAACAACTCAACCGCTGATCGCGTGGATTTCTCACTTCTTGTATTGCATCAGCACTTGTAAGTTTATAAATATAATGCTAACAGCAGGAATAGAATTTTGAAAGCCGCGGGATCGCAAATAACTGCGCTTCCAAAGGAAATGTTGTATGTGTATTATTCCTGTAAGTTGTTGTTCAGGCACTGAGTGAAAAGCAAACGGCGGCTTTAAGTCCAATTCTATGTCACGTGACTGACTGTACAGGAATAGCTTAGTGCAAAGCTATTTGCCCACACAAGAAACTTTTTGATTTTAATCGAAATCGAGATCCACAATCGAATCTTTTACAAACTTCAAAACTCTCAGAACTTGAAATTTCAGTCTCCGTCTCTTGCGGTTAAATCGATTGATATACCTGTTCTTCTAACGAAACAAATAAATGTAAGAACTTCTTCATGCTGCATACCATACAGAATTTATTCGCGTTTGAAATCAACTTTTAAAATCATCGACTGACAGCGTTTGCGCATAGCATTCAAAATGAAGTACCTCGCAGCTTACCTCCTCCTCACCATCGGTGGAAAGGCCTCCCCTTCCGCTAAGGACATCACCACCGTTCTCGAGTCCGTCGGAATCGAGATCGACCAAGAGCGTCTCGACACCCTCATCAAGGAGCTTGACGGAAAGGACATCAACGAGGTTAGCACGATCGAGAGTATGCGCATATGTAACGGTAACTGACATAGAAAACTAGTTGATCGCTGAGGGTTCCTCCAAGTTGGCATCCGTTCCATCTGGTGGTTCCGGTGCTGCTGCCCCAGCTGCTGGTGGTGCTGCCGCTTCCGGTGGTGCTGCTGCTGAGGAGAAGGCCGAGGAGAAGGCTGAGGGTATGTTCTACTCTATTCATATAATCAGGATACCTACTAACGCCATAAATAGAGAAGGAAGAGTCCGACGAGGACATGGGTTTCGGTCTTTTCGATTAAGCAATCAATTGACACACCCACGAACTCGATGCTCTCGACCTGCCGGAACATCATTTCGACATTTCTGGGGGAACTCGTGCAGGCTTGGCCTGTTATTTGTATGCAATTTGGGTAGAGGGATGGATTTTCACCAGCATTCCCATGACAAGCATTTATTCATGCAAAATAGAGCAATAAAGACGTGATTCTTCAATTACTATCATCTTCGAATAGATGAGTATCTATGAGAATATACAAATGCAAGCGAAATGACTGAATATATTTATATCTGTAATAAATCGCTTGAAAACAAGTGCTGGAAGCCTTCTAAATTTCGCGTGAACGAAACTTACGCAAATTGATCCCTCCATTTTCCGGATAGAAGCCTGCAAGACCTTGACACACAGCATGTACATCATTTTAACGGTCAAAGGCCAATCAAGCTGCTCATACCGTACCAGACTATTCGACAGCCCTCCAATGCCCCTGCATACTGATCATTACTGTACCAGTAGAGAAGGACAAGGCTGAGAGGTTTTTTTAACCATTTGCCCTATTTTAGCGCCAAACTTTAAGCGAGAGTGGAATTTCCAAAATTCTTGCCTGACATTGGAACTTACTTCGCGACGAACAATTCCACCACGACAACTCCATCCTTTCGACAACTTTCGAAAAGCACCCAACCGTAAAGATGGCTGACGAAGAATATGTGAGCAATCAATTAATTTTCCCGCGATCGTTTGAATCGTGTCATATCTCTGCAAAGGTCGGAGATGACTTCGATGAAATAGAAGGCTAATTATTTTTATCAATTCAACAGGATGCCCAAAAGGCTGCCGAGATCAAGGCAAAGAGAGCATTCCGCAAGTTTTCCTACCGTGGAATCGACCTCGACCAGTATGCCTACCTTCATGAATCCACAACATGAATATCAAAGGGGATCTCATAGTAGCTAACCCTCATATTCTTCGAATAGACTCCTCGACCTCTCCTCCGACCAACTTCGCGATGTTGTCCACGCTCGTGCTCGCCGTAGATTCAACCGCGGTTTGAAGCGCAAGCCTATGGGTCTCATCAAGAAGCTCCGCAAGGCCAAGCAAGAGGCTAAGCCAAACGAGAAACCTGACTTGGTCAAGACTCACTTGAGAGATATGATCGTTGTCCCAGAAATGATTGGCAGCGTCATCGGTATCTACTCCGGAAAGGAGTTCAACCAAGTCGAAATCAAGCCTGAGATGGTTGGTCACTACTTGGCCGAATTCTCTATCTCTTAGTAAGTCAAACTCAACTTATTCTCCCCTCATTGAAGAAATGCCCATACTGATTTTGCAACAGCCGACCAGTCAAGCACGGAAGACCCGGTATCGGTGCCACCCACTCTTCCCGTTTCATTCCCCTCAAGTAAATTATTGGGATGCATTTGCGATGTATCATTTGGGTTATCAAGGATGAATGGATCACATATTTGCATGGGATTGTACGGCGAATACGCCTGCAACATCAACCTGCTTTTTGACTACGGTCGGAAGACAGCTACGACAGATAGCATGCAATAGGCCAATATGACAATAACGTCAAGAACATGTCGTCCTTCCTACGCTCCGCCGTGAAAATTCGCTTCTGTTCCTTTACTCGACCTTGAGGAATTCCCAAATTGTGATCTAAAGCTCAATTATGGCCCGTTGTTTTCCCTGGATATGAACCTTGTGCCCTGAATGAGGCAATACTACATCCACGCTCAAATGTCTGCTCCAATGATGCATGATTGTAGAGCATTTTCAGTTATCGAAAATCTGGTGCTTGTGGTGCTAAGAAACTACGTCCATAAATCCTAAAAAAAAATGTTTATGACCATTTCCATTCACATGTACATTCCTCCTCACCTATGGAAGTTCTGCAATATTTTGTAATTGTGCATATTTCCTACTACACTCTCCTGTTCAATATCGCCACCGCACAAGGCTTCACATCCGATCCCGTCCAATCCCCTGATTACATTGTTTTTTTGAGATGCTCGTTAATTTCATTGCACTACACTATATATTACCCACTATCCCCAATCCCGAAGCCTGTGCCAAATGTGCTTCTCCAAGTTGAGCTCCTCATCTTTATAATCTTTGACCTAACGTATACTCTTTGAGACCTTTCTCAAAATCCCAGTCTTTATCATGCAAGCGCGATCCGTTCTTTTTCTAATTTGCTCGTTTTTCTCTTTGTCTTTGATTTTTTTATTCTGCTTCCCTTGTCGCTGCTTCCTTGATATAAAAACTCCAATTCATGACATTGTTGGTGTATTTGTGCGTGATAGCACAGAAGTGTTAGAGTTGTTCCTACAGGGTTGGAGCGAATGACGCATACCAATATTTCAGGTAATGGTGTACGCGAGTCTTATGAGGACGGCGGATGTAGGACTGTTGGAGTAGAATTCGTGTAATTCCATTCTTTCATTTGAAGAGGTATTAAATATATATCCTCGCGATTACGCCTCCTGTGCACAGGAGCCAACCACCACCGCATTATCTGCTGTGATGTTAGACCATGGTGCGGTGAAAGTAAGATTTGAAATGAAAGGACATCTAGTTGAATATTCATTCCAGAAGTACCTAGGGAGGAATCAAGTGGTAACTCATGGTCGAGATTATTTCAAAAGTCTAAAGTCACAGGTCATTCATAGACAGCAATGGAATATATCCGTGAAGACCTATTCCCAATATCAATCACTTCAGCCCGCAACAAGCATGTGGGTAAACTCACGGGGACATCATGACAGATCTAGTTTGCACACTAGAAAGATTAGCCAGATACCTTTCCAGACCATCTCATCCACTTATATCAATGGTCAGTATCCTCAATATGATAGCTACGGCATTTTTTACACTTGTGTTTGTCTCTGTATAATGCCGAGGAAGTTGTCAAATGATTTCATGTCAGTAATTGTGCTCCAACAACGGACGGGTAGTATCCATCATCTCTAATACTCCTCATATTTCTATCATTTCTCAATATGCTGAGGAAATACTTCGAATGGTCCTTAGCAATTTCGAAGAAAATATATCAGCCAATCCTAGTCAACTTTCTTCTCCTCAAACATCCAACTTACTCCCAATAACCGTTATTTGACTATTAAATACCTCAAATGTCGTTGAAGTGCTCAAGTCATCTTCAACACCTCACAGCTCTAGAAACGCCGAAATTTTGTCACTGTTTTGTTTCTCTACTTTCGGCCTTCGAGCTAATTTCTAGCACGAACGGAACTGGTCTTGAGGTCCTCAAAATTATCTGCTTTGTCACGAAAACATAGTCCATTGAATCGCTTGAACGACTTTGTCATTTTTCCTGTCTAACCGTTCGATAAGAGGTAGAAAAGGTTTTTCCCAGAGACATTTGCTCAAATACTGATCGATCCCTCAAATATCCGGAAATTGTCACTGAAAGTGCTATTTCAAATGTCGGCTTGCTGATATGGTCTTCTATCTAACTAACTTAGTTCAGCTCTGCATGTCACTGGTCACATATCTCACCCTAGACATGAAAGTGATCAAAGATCCTGATCTTCATGTTCGGCCTTCCAATGACTCAAGCTTCAGATTTCATACCATCAATGATATATGTCACAGATCTAGAGCTGCTCAGTGCGAAGATATTCCCTTCTAGAAGAGCATCATTGTCAAACGTTAAATCAGTCTCGCTTGAGCTATCGAATTCTCTGTAACTCCATCTAATTCATCATCCTCTTCATTCTCTGAGCGGACTTCATCTCGAGCCGCATTGTTGTGCCTGTGAGCAGTATGATGTTTCTTAGGGTTTGACTGGACATTCCGTTCTTCTTCATTTTCTGCAATATATATTAGTCCCTAGTCCTCGTTCTTCTAGTGGAAGACTAGGGGACACAAAATTGATTTAGTGAAAATTTTAGTTTTGCGAAGGCAGCAAGGCGGGCAGTAACCTTTTTTCTTCTTCATGTGAGGATTTATTGCAGTGAATACCAGCATCAAACGGGCTGAGACATGAAGTTAGAGACAGCTCAAATCCTCTATGGCTATGCGGACGCCCGGGTTGGTCTCTGTGTCATCAGTTTCTATTTGTGGCCTCAAGATAGAGGATCGTGAGTTTGGCACAATGCCGAAGCCATTATGGAGAATTGATAGCCACCGTTTAGACGACACACGAGTATTGGATATGGAGTGTCAAACGCACTTGGATTTGAATGTGTGGCTGGAGGTGAGCCGTGCAATTTTAAATGGGCTCCTACTTCTGCTGAAATTGCAAGTGTATTGTCATCCACATTGAAGGTTGTTACCTTTAACTCGGGTTTGCATTCACCCCCCTTGTACAATGTCCGGGCCATTGATGATGAAGGTTCTAGTGGGATAAAAGCAATACTAAATAGAGCAGGCAGAGACGAAACTTATCCTGTTTCTCTTTTCACTTCAACGATATCCCCTATGGTTCTCGCGCTGATTTTGGCACTCTTTAAGGCGAAGGGAAAGGGTTTGAACCATTCTTAAAGAAGTTGAATGTCGGCATTGACTTAGGATTCAAAATCACTGTTTACCCTGCCACTGAAGTGACCTTTATTGGTAGATAAACAGCACGAATATCATAAGGCAGATATTGTCCGCCACCAGCGTGAATGTCATCTTCACCCCTTCATTCCCTCGGCTGCAGGAGCTTAATTGAGCCATCTCTTCTGGTATCCCACAACAAGCTAATCGTTAACTAGACTTGGAATAAGGCTCATTCATTAAGAATATAGTAGTACACCAATAAAAGCTATCAATCTCCACCTCGACCTTGTGCTCGACATCTATATCACTGTGTGTGACTTTACTTAAGTCACAAGCCTTTATGGCAAAAGTAGCAAGCGCTAGTTGATAATCTTTTGCATTTATACATGTCTTTCCACGGAGACGAAGCTGAATACCACACACATGACATGAGCATCCACTAATGCTTAGATACTTTCGCATATTGTTGACCTCCTGGGATCTTGGCAGCATATGCATATATATTGCATGATGCATATAAGGAGCAAACAAAACTCAACTTTTAATTCATTCTTTCCTTTTTGGTATACTGTTTGTTTGCTTTCAATATTTTGATTTCAAAGCACTTTAATTCCGAAGGCTGAATACCTAACCTTATTCCTTCATTTTTTTTTGAATATATACTCGCAGCTTAACTGCTTAGCTAGAGAATCAATCAATTCAATCTGATGCTCTTTCTGGTCTCAAGAAACCCAATACATATAGACTAAACTCTAAGTGTTGCTAATCCGATAGATATGATAAGTCAACGATAAATGTTCCCTTGAAATACACTAAATAAGCTTTAAATCTCACATCTCAAAAAACCCTCACGCTTCCAGTTTCGACGGCAGAGCTTCGAAGTTCTTTTCATCTTGTAAGTTGTTTCAGAGAATGACGATCGATTTAACAGGAACTGCTTTATAATTATTATAGATATTGGAATGGAAATTCTCCAGATAAACATAAACATATAAACCCACGAACATCCCCCGAAAACCTGGTAGTGCTAAATAATCTGAGACTCCATGCAGTGTCCCCATGATCTTTATGCATTCGCAAAGTAGATAAATACTCGAGCCCTTGGTTGTTTCCTACTTGGGCATACTGAATAGTATTAACACCAAAACAATCACTCATTACCAACCAAGTCGATATTCCTTACCAGCTTCTACGATACTCTTATCTAAAATACTAGTATCTTGCACTACGTATACATCCGATGGAAAAAAGGTGATGAATGCCTGAAAGTATAGTTTAGCGAGACATCAATTGTAAGATTACTAGGTATCTTAAGATTAAAATATTAAAATTCATATTCCCCAGTAATTATATCCTACTGTTCCTACCTGCAGTAATCTTTACCCTTTATTTCATAATCCCATCTAAAATCTTTTCTTTTTTTTTAAAAAAAAATAAAAATTAAGAAGTCACCAATCTCCCGTAACCATGCTCATCCCCTCCCCCTCCCCCCAAAAAAGTAAATTCGATTCAAGTTATATGTACAGTAGATCGATCCTTCGCCTACAATACAGCTCCAAATATCACAGATGATGCACGAGCACGCAGACTCCATCCCAATTCAAACTTTTACAATTATCTGTTTTTGCCTGCCTGCCTGCCTGCTAGGTATATAGGATAGGTATATAGGGAGATAAGACTTATGTATTAGAAGGAAAGCGGGGTGGTTGTTTAATATTTAATCTACTCGTAGTAAGATCACACTTGAATCTTATAAATATGGCATGTTAGTCTACATAATATGGTGTATTCCTACCTACTCGTGTGATTGTGTCTATGGGTTTTATTTTCAAGATTCCGATCTGAGAGGTAGGATAAGTACTAGGGCTTTCTTTTATGGCATTGCTGTTAGATCTGCTGAGAGAAGAGCTGCTTTTATGATATGTTCAGTCAGCGCACAATGTGGTAATCTTACAAAATCACAATCACTCCAATTTGTTATAGTTGGGACAATAATTGTGTAACCACGTCTTTATTATTAATGCTAAGTATCTCCTTCCATCCACGGCATGCAAGCCAGCGCGACAGTGTGAGCAAATATATATATATAACCAACTTTTCCAAATCCTGTACATCACGCTGTGCAGGAATTTAGGGGAATCTCCCAAACCGCATAATAAAACCTAAACGCCATAGAAGGACTGAAACACCAACCGATGTCCATCTACTTCTCCCTCGTAATTTCATCGCTCGTAGTTTCAGATGTATTCTCAACGCGAGTTGGCGCGCGAGTTCGTCTAGGACTGTTGTCGGAACGGAAGTATTGGTGAATTTCCTGACTCCAATCATCATCGTAGGTTGCAATATCTTCCTCATTCTTGCCTTTCTCAGTTTGCTTGAGTTCCCATTCTTGGCGCATTTCGAGAATCTTGTCTCCGGCATCCAACTTGGGGTCATAGCTTTTGCCAGCCTTCATCCATCTCTCCCACATCGACAAGTGTGCTGGGTGGATAGCAATACCATGATATTCGGATGCTCTACCGGATCTGATATATTTCCACCTTCTTTCCTGCTCTTTGAGATCGAGACCAGTGGTGTCTGGAAGGAAGACAAGTGTTAAGAGCATGCCGGCGAGACCGAACCATGGAACGATGTAGAACTTTTGCTGAGTTGTAATAAAGTTGTAAAGAACTGATGCGAACAAAGCACCTAATTTGCCAACAGCTGCCGAGAATCCATGTGCAGAGGCGCGGATAGGTGTTGGGAAAACTTCCGCAGCAACGAGGAAGGTAACACTGTTTGGACCGAATTGGTTGAAGAAGGACGACAAGAAGTACATGGCCTGGAAGGATTTGATACCAGCAATGCTAGTATATTTGGCGTAGTGGAAAGCTGGAATAACAAAAAGAATGAAATCTAAAGCGAATCCAACTTGCTGCATCCACTTTCGTCCATAGAGTTTGTTGTCGATGAGGAACGACGCGCAATAATAGCCGGCAAGAGATACTCCGACGTTACACAAGTTCCACAACCACCCTTCCATGATTGATGTTGAGCCTGGCGAGATGACTTTGATGAATTGAGATTGGAATAGTTTGTTGCCGTAAAAGAAGACATCGTTGCAAAACCAGGCTCCGGCTGTAGCGACCAAGCGTCCTGAGAAATGTTTAACTGTTAAGCTAAGAGATTCTCTGTCGTATCCAGTAACATTCGTCTTCTTTTTGGCGAGGTCCAGTGTTTTGGAGATGAGGGGCATCTTATACATTCGGTAATAGACAAGCCACAGAGTGCCGACGGCGGGAATGGCGAATGAGACCCGGAAAAGCCATTGTGCTGAGACTGTGGAATAAGGTGGATTTCCACTTCCGTGATGGAAAATGAGAAGTAAAAGGATGAGAATGGCTTGGTTGAAGAATTGACCCCAACCTTGCATCAAGAAGGCCATGGTGACCTTGCGTCCACGATGCAGGCGGTCCATTTTAGTTGTGTGGCGATTTGGTGCGGTGGCACTTTCCATAGCAGCAGTGGCTGTCATTGGATATTCGCCACCTACACCGATACCGTAGAAGAACAATGACCAGGCGTAGCAAATAACCCAACCGTTGAGAGTTGTGCCCCAGGAAGCGATGAGCATGATGAGACCAAGGAACATAATGACGGCATCTTGGATCAAACCCCAACGACGACCGATCTTATCGCCCAAGTATCCGACGAGGATTTGACCAACAATGATACCAATAATTTCCAGATAAGTGACGGCATAGGTCCACTGCTCATTACAAACTTTAAAAGTCTTCCAACATTGTGGCCAGACAGCCGAGAAAAGGGGGGCCAAGTTTCCGATAGAGAAAAGAACATATCTGGAAACATCATTAGCGTGGAAAAGTACAAATCATGAAAATCGGCATACCCTTCAAGACCCAGGCCCGCACCAGGGAGAACAGCATTGCTGAAGTACCAACTGACTGGACTCAGTGGATCCTTTTTCATCATCGACCAGATCGTTCTTAACTCTTCCTTTGCATCGGCTCCTTCAGTTCTAGTAATGAAGGAGATTTTGTCTGTGAATTTGAGATCCGCCCAATACACATGCTCTGCTGTGAAAATATCATCTGGGTAAAGAATTTCGTTAAAAACAGCTTCATCAGCTCCCAGATCATATATCGAGACATGATCATCACCCGTTTCCGGACCATGAGGAAGACCAATTATGCCCATGTTGGTAGGGTTATGGTGTTCATGGGTATGAACAGGATTCGCCATTTTGATAAACGACGAGAGGTATCTCGAAAGTCGAGAAGTTGAGGAATTTAACGGCAAAAGCCCTTATTGCTGAGGCAATGAAGGGGGAATGAAGAAATTTGACGATGAAGAGAAAGGGAGTGAAAGGGCAAGTTTGGGGAAGAGGGGAGAAGGAATAAATAAAGAAATTCAATTAATCATTAATCATTAATCATTCGTTAATCATTAATTATGGACTTCGCAGTTAACTTTTCCTTCCTTGGGGATTATTTTTTTTTCACACTACGGTAGACCATGTGTCCTATTCTAGATTAGCATCAAGAAAAACTGGATAGAGCAGGTAGGAGTACTCCGAGGTGGGGCATCATACCTTGAGGCGGGGCAAAGTGGAGGTTTCCCAAAGTGCAGGTGGGATTTGAAGACCGAGGAAAATCCATGTTAACTTAGATTGGCTTAGTACGGAGTATATGCATTTCCACCGGCTCAGTTTAGTAGTCGACCAGGGACTTACTAATTGTATGGCTGGGGCGGTAGCGAACATTCTTTGCATTTCGACACATATGCTACATACCACATGTTACGAGAATCTGACCTGATGGGTTGATAACCTTGGCAGAAAAAAGAAATGTTCGTGGAAGATCTTTTCCATTTCTCTATTCCATTGTTCATATTTATGGAAATTGGAAATAAATCGGGATTAGATAAAGGAAAGAAAGACAAGCTTCATGAAGAATATTATAATTAACGATGAAATGAAGGGGTATGACGTTTCATTAGACTCAGGTAGCTGATTTGCTTGCCGAAGATAGGTGCTACGCAGTCCAGATATCTACCAATTAGTAGATAAGTGACCTTACCAACTGAGAAATGTTTCAGTGTACTAGGTAACCTACAAGTAAATGGTTAGTAAGGTCTTCATGAAATACTAAATCTCAATAATTTTTGCCGGTCCAATTACCCCTCCAGTCCTTCTCCAGCCAACGGTCTTTCGGTTACAGATGCAGCAGCTAACAACTGTTGATCTAGACTGTGTGTTGTAACTATCGCCTCTCAGATACCACATTAAATTTTCAGCAAACAGTTGTTTGTTTTAAATTATGATCTTTGGTGTGTGTGTAACACAACATAGGGACCGGCGGAACTTTATCGAGTCTTGTCATACCAAATCCTGAAATATTGTATAGCAGATATAAAATTGCAAAAGCTGTTAGAGTTAACGCACAGCACTGTGATACCCTATGGCTTTTGACACTAGCTGTGCGCATGCTTTTACCTCATCTTGATTTTGACTAAGTCCATTACGATTGCGATTGAGAAGGTGATGTCCCCCACTCTGGACTTGGTTCTACCATCCAAATTTGGATATCCGGGGTCAGTCGATGTAGCTCTTTCCAGGGTCGCCTGCTCCAGAACATGATTGAGCCGCCCATTTCCTCGGATCCATCATCCAATACCGTTTCATGGAATGAATTTCCATGGGTCGCCTCATTGTGAAATTGTTTGCCGTGCCTCCTGTTAAGATTGAAAACGGGAATATTTCTCCACTTAGCTGCTGTATCGAGGTCATATCGTTCATACTGTGACCATCCCCCACTGGGGAGTATCAAAGGACACGTGCGGGCGCCCCAGATCGTTTGTTTTACACCACTTTGCGATGGTCTTTTTGATATCATGGAGTATGTCAAAGCGATAGCTTTTCCACCCTCAACCACCACAAGCTTTCCAGGACGGCAGGTTTCGTTCGAATATTCTTGTAATGAAATTTTCAAATCTGTGGCAACAAATAGTGCATAAAAGTAACTTGGCGGACTTCATCCGAAGACTGGCGTTCAACATTTTTTGGTGAGCCCCCTTCATTTGTTCAGAGATGAGGTTACAATGGACCAATAGAGTGGCGAGAAAGCAACACGTTTTCATCTTTCAAATTTTCGCAGGGGTTTGGCATTTTGGATTAAGCGTTGGCTCTAGCGGCGAGGTGGGGCCGATGGATCCAGATGGACGCAGGTTCTGGGAATATCGGTGAGGCTGTAAACCCCTGGTATTGATACGGCGACCGATTAAATTTTTACTGCAGTTTGATATTTTCAGAACACAACATCGCCCACCGAGAGTCTAAAGATGAATAGATCATCATCCATCACATAAAATTGGACTGCTTATACACCACTCTACTAACGAGGATTGCCTCCTCTAATCAGTTCAATCTCGCTTAGCTAATTCTGCTTGAACAATGCCTCCCACGTGCGCTGGCCTCGAAACGAGAGACATCACCACAAATAGATACTTCGCTCCTATCTCAAATTGTGTCTTACTGTATGACGAGGGTGGATGTGATGCGAGCGCCATCAAATGAGCCGAATGTCCCGACAGTGCGGTTCCTTCCTTCCCTTCCGTGAGATCTGCACCATCATTTCACCACAGCGATTGTGGCACGTTTTGACATTCTTGGCGATGAATGGCCAAGATCAAGCCATGGGTAAGGCTGGATGGGAAGGATGTGGACGCCTATCACACTCATTTGGCTCAAACGGGGAGGATGTATTCCTAAGACCGGTGTGACCGAGATCAAGAAGGGAGAACTTGTGTGAGACCCCAGCAAATTGAGCAGCAATGTCAAATTCATTATAACTTGATGAGACGAATGTTTTTGTACTGTGCCGCTTCAAGCCAAGTCAGGCCACCTTATGTACTCATCTCATGTTCATAGTTCTGCTAAGTGATGCATATTGGAGGACCTACATGCATTGCATGGCGATCAAGTACATGCAAATCGTTGCAATGCTGTACATTAGTTTGATGTATTGGAATCTTATTCTCCGTAGACTCATACTTGGATCACGTTTGCGTGCTTGATTGAGCCACAGATGTCAGGTGCTCATTGAAATAGGCATATATATGGTCACCTAAAATGATTGAAGTATCCTAAAAATCCGTGCAGTGTTGCATCCGGATGTCTCGGCTGATGAGTCTCTGCTGCCTTTGCACGACTGGACTATGTGCTCTTTTTGTCCTTGGTTGATACGTTGATGCTGTCGCCTGTGAACCTTCAAATTATCTCGAAAGTTGGCGCTTCTTTCTGGTAGGTGCCCACCGGCTAATATTCTAAACAAGCTGGAGAGTCCTTTGAGATTTCCAAGTGTGAGTGTTACATCCCATCATCATTTGTGTTCCAACACGGTGGTAGGCAAGACACTTTCACGTCACCATACTTCAATACAATATGGTGGGATACTCAATAGGTCTTATATAATATCGAACAACTGCAGGACAAGCAGCTTAACCGGCCTCTGCTCGTACTGGGGAGCGTGGTGTAGTGATCCAGTTCTGCGCTTCCATCCTACAGAGTACTAAAGAAATAGCCTTGAGAGTTAAGTACCCGTGATGGATAACTATCCGGCATTTGGGCGGTCCCGTTGTAAATCCTATACCTTGGTGTTTATACTGGGGATAGGTGTTTTGATATTTTGGTGTTAGCTATTGTTGTTGCTTCAGGGTACCTAGGTATATTTACTTTCTTGGCTACTTTTTAACGTCGAAATTCGGGACCTCATCTATGCGTATTGTTGTCGACTCTTTGTCCTCTGAGATTTATCATGATATCAAAGTAGCGTGTGAGTATATTGTAGGCTAATTTGGTAAAGCCTGCTGTTGTGTTGATTCACTACATAAATTCTTGTAATTCGACAGTGCACTTGAGCGAGACGTCCTCTTATGCCGACGACTTGAAATGCACCGAGTATAACATTCATAGGCCATAGATGGAGGATAACATATAGTTTGAAATCTAATACTCCCCTGGATTGGGCTAGAATTTGTTATGATCCATTGTAAGCTATTTGAGGGAGCTCCATAGCGTAGTTGTCCACTATCCCTGTAGCAATGTTAAAGTGCTAATATCTGACTGACCATTCAAATTCACCTAGGCAGGCAACGTGGAAGACAGCGTTTAGCACATTAATGAGGGCGTAGAATATTGACTTGAATTAAAGCTCGAAAGTAGGGTCGTGAGCTTGTAAGTTTTGAGTTTTCCTCGAATAGATGGAAATGACAACTTTATGTGCATCTGTATATGTTTGATGATGAAAGCCAGAGAGATATATTTCATCCCATCGTAGTACAAAGATCGGTGGCATAACTGTCTTGGGTTGTTTTGAAGCACGCCATGCGTTCGATTCTCGGCATAGTCTAATGCAGTATTAAAACATCTCTGGAGATACCTAGTAACGAGGGAGATAACCTGATGTTACAAAGGGAAGTTAAGAGTCGATGGTTTCATTGTCGGCAAAGGCAGTTCTTCGATTCTTGAGGAGAACGGGTTAAATACTAAAAAAAACATGACAGAACACGACTTGTATCCCTGGATCTGAAGGATTGGCCCCTTGTAACCACAAATGAGAGAAAAATCGTGGGCTCCAAGACCAAAGACGCAAGTAAGAGAAGAGGAGAAAAAAAGGAATGATGCGCGAGGGCGGAAATTATCATGAAGATGCCCTTATTTAACAACACCGTTGCGCATCAGGGGTGGAACGAGATCATAGCTGCAAGCTAGGTGACGAGAGACCTCAAATCTCGAATTTGTTCATTGTTCGCAGTTATTCCAATTTTCTGAACTAATTGAATTTTTTGAATCCATCAATTCTTAGAAGGCTTTTGTATCAGACCACACTAGAGACTGATGGGAAGCTGGTTGGCAATCGGTAAAAGTAGCTGATATTCTCATCAAATATCAAGTCTTCAGTGCTGTCGTTGTGGATTTCCACTGGCAGTATAAACGTTTAATGAATTTGAAAATCTTAATTTCAGCCTGCTTTTCTGACTTCTATCACGGCTCTTCTAACCCCATCGGACTCTTCCCTGATCTGTTCTACTAGAGCTCCCTTCGACACAACATCTTCGATGAAATCTTCTATTGAACCACCCACTCCGAAATACACCTTCTTGGCTCCTATCAATGCCGTCTTATTTGGCCCTGTGCTCAACTCCAGCAATGCCATCAATGTCTCGGCGAAAGCTTTCAAAGCAACGGGGGAGTAAATGGTTTCTGCCCCTATGATAATTGTGTTCTCGCACGATAGATGCAACTTATCGGTAACTAAAGTTACAAAATCCTGGGACCAAGCACCTGAGAAAAATGATAAGTTAATGTTACGGGAATTCAGCGCAGAGATGAACTCTGAGATAAGTGTTTCGTCGATATCGAGTTCACCTTCTGCTTCCCAAGACTCAGGCCTGGTGACTTGTGCCCAGGAAAGGAGAATATTAGGTAAGGTGACGAGCTGGAGGACTGTAGGGTTGTAGTCTGCAAGTCCAAGCTCTAATCCGGAAGCGGATGAGGTTTCGTTTCCCAGGAACCATTGGAAGACTGCTAGAGATGGAAGGGCAGTTCCACAGCCGAGCTATTTCTTTTATTAGTATAATTACACTTGATATCTGACCACACCAAAAGTCCCATCAACACAATACACACCTCCAAAACTCTTCTCCTACCCTCACCCACAGCCGTCCTCCCACTAAGAACCTTAACCAAATCCACCGAACTTTCCCAGCTTTTGAATCCTCCCTCATAAACACCAGTCTTCACATCATCATTCCCTAACCCCAATAAGCCTTCTCCATTTCCCTCATCCTCAGCCATCAACTGCGTTCTAACATCCCATAACTCCCTCCTTGGAATTCCTATCTCCTTGCAACTATCCAATTTGACAATCAACGTAGAATAAGCAATCTGAGACGGTAGCGTTTTTAGTAAATCTTCTAAAGCGTGATAACTCGGAGGTAAAAGAGGCTGTCCTGCTACAGGAAATGCCCCGCTGGATTTTCGCGGTGCTAGGGTGCCGGTCTCTGCAGCATGGTTAGAGACAGACGGAGATACGTCCTGGGTTGAATCTATTTCTATATCATCGCCGGCGAATGAGAAGTTGAAGCCTGACATCTTCAAATCTGGAATAATATAATGTGGACGTGAAAAGAAAAATCTCACGTTGTTTCCTAGAAAAATGATCGTGAAAATTGGCATCACGTGCCCCGCATCTTTTTGAATTCATGCCCCGCACTTTTGGGGGAGGAAATTGTGATGTCTGGAGCGGTTGACTCCAAGTCGTAGCAAGTCATAAACAGGAAACCACACAATGTAGATAAAGCATTCTCCAATGTAAATACAGACATATTTACATGTACATGTAATCGTATTCATAATTTGACAATCAAAGGTTGTTCTGAATGTTGCAATTCTCATAGGTATTTTATTCACCGTTACTCCTGTCATTATTCTAATTACAATGATTTAAGCTTACTTTGAGCCTCGCTTCTTCCACTCTGCACCTCTGTTCGACGACCTTGTTCTGGGTTTACTCTTTTTCTTTCCGCCGCCTTTTCCTCCCAACTTTAAATCCTTCGGCTTGCCCTTGCTCGCGCTGGCTCTGTAACCCTCAAAGACAAAGCTCTCAGGTGCTTTTATGCCAGCCATTCCGCTCTTGGCTTCTTCACTTCCACTGGCCTGTTTGTCTCCTCTGGTACCCAAAGTGGTATCATTAGCGCCAGTTTTCTTGAACTTCGCGCCACCTGCTTTTCCTAATAGTTTGGTAGCTCTGCCCTGCAAAGAGGCTTGATTTGGATCAACCTTTGGATTGTAAATCTGGGATGACTTTGACGATTTCGGTTGGCGAGCGGTAGGTCGGGAAGAGACTTGCTTGTGTTGGGCTTTGGCGCGAACGACGCGGAGAACTCGAGGGAGCATCGGTGGATACTTTTTTTCGTTGAAAAGTAGGGCAGCCTCAACTGCATTTGCATCCTGTTTTTCCACGTTAATAAGAGCTCAAATGTTGGTAGACCATAGGGGAGTAACCTTGAATTGGACATAAGCGAATCCCTTTCCAACACGAGTTTTTTCATCACGAATGACTCGTACACTCTCTACTTCACCAGCTTTTCCAAATTGCCTCCACAGACCTTCTTCAACATCAGAGGGTATTTTTGACCGTTTCCGACTGTTCTCCCCATCTTGTTCAAGAAGAGATTCATCATCTACAAAGCCTAGATTTCCGACGAAGACACATCGGCGATGATCGGTTTTCGCAGGATGCGCCACACCATCTACACGAAGATGGCGATTTAGTACCATAGTTCCGTTGAGCTTCTTGACGGCCTCTCTGGCTGCAAATGCTGTAGAGTAGACGGCATACGCATTTGTGCTCTTCGTGGTAGCAGTCATGATGTCCTTCTTAGCAAAGGCGGCTTTCTTTGGTAGTGCAGCAGTGGCGTATGCGGTTGAACGGAAGCGTAAGGATTCTAATTTATGGGATGGTTTGCCCGAGGGAGGAGGGGGAAGATCATTTATGAAAGAGGATAGATGGGACATAAGGATCTTTTTGTCGGCCTTAGAAGAGATAGTAGAACTTGCTACGTTTCCAAGGAAAATAGTGCGAGATGCCTTTTCAAGCTCGGTCGCGTCTTTATCCGGTACGAGGGATTCATGTAAAGGAACATCAGATGGTGTTTTTCTTTTGGAACCTTTCGCCTCAGAACCAGACCCTTCTGCATCACTCTCAGCTTCAGCCTCGTCATCAGACTCAGCATCCTCCATCTCCTCATCAGAATCGCCTTCCTCCATACCTCCCTCCACAACTGGGTTTTGCTCCTTAGCTAACTTCTGCCGTTTCAGTCGTCTTTCGGCTTGGCGTTCTTCCTCTTCCTTTTCCTCTTCTCTTGCCAGCTTCTGAAGGTATTTCCCTTCAAGATCCGGCTCGTCGTTCTTCCTTTTACGTTTTCGTTCCGGTTTGTCGTTTTTGGCTTTGATGAATTTATCCAATTCGGGTGTCTCGTCATCGACTTCGTTGGAACTCTCATCCTCAGCTGAGAGACCCGAGATTTCGGCATCCTCAAGGTCGCCGTCAATGCTACTCAAGTCATCGTCATTCTCATCCATTTCAAGATCTTCATCGTCCTCAACATCGTCAGAACCCTCGGATGTTTCTACTTCTTGCATTTCCACATTCCTTCGAGGCGCAGGCGGTGCTTCCTGATATCTTAATTTTGGAGGGGCTTGCACTGGGCCAGCCTATTGTTGATCAGCAAACATGCGGGATGCCAGGATTTCGAGACTTACACTGGACGCGAATAGCAAGGCTAGAGTAGGGTCGACAGCCTTGTTTTCTGTGAGAAATGATTTACCGGCGGATTCTTTGCTATTGGTCTTCTCCTCCCCGTTGCTACTATCGTTCCGGCTCCGTTTACCCATTACGATTAGGATGTCAGTCGTTTTGAGATAATTGATGTAAAATGCTATCTCGTGCTGTTCCGAGATGCTAAGATTTCGGGGCTCAGATTAAAAAAATTAAAAAGTTGCAACTTGCAGGGATTACAGAATTAATACTGCCACCCAGCTCTGGCGACCGCCTTTGATAACCGAAGTTCTACCGTCCACAGCGCCATGATTCTATTCTAATGCTTTGGTTTGCGACAAGGTAATACATGAATATCACAACAAGTTTAAGCAATATTTGATTAACACTCAAAATGAGCGGCGAAACTCAGCTTGAGATGTCGGTTGACCCCATCATACCTGACGAAGCTTCTATTGACGACGAGCTCAGTGATGTCGAGCTGGAAGAAGATCGTTCCAGCAGTTTGAGTGAGATTGAAGACAAAGATGCCGAGCAAGAACACGAGGATGATGCTGAGGTCTCAGACGAGCTCAGTAACCCTTCTGAAGATGATGATTCTGAAGCAGAGACAGAGCGACTGGAAGTATCGCCGCATAAGCTAAGAGTACAAAGGAATGTGGTTCTTAATTCCCATAATAGCACCGATTCGCAGGAGCGCAGCCCAAGCAAACTACACAATCATATCATGGCACACGAGGCAGAAGAAGACGAAGATGACGCCGATCCATTATCCGACGACGACGTATCCATTGCCAACGATAGCTCTAAAAGTTCTCGCCATGACGATGCGGAGATGGATCACAATGCGGAGACAGCTGCTACCTCTTTGGAAGATGCTAAGGGCGAAGGAAAGAGGGCATTATCGACGTCTGAAATTGATTCAAAAAAGCGCAAGCGATCGATAATGGGCAGTGGCGGAATCGACGAAGATTTTGATGAACCTTTGCCTAAGCGGACGGGGGCTATCATCGACCAAGGCGATGACTATGCAATCGAGGATGATTTACCCGTAGAAGAAGATGTATCAAATACAATAAGCGGTAATATTTCAGGCGAAGAAGGCGACGGACCACAGGAGCAGGTACTCGCCGATGCGACAGAAGCAATACTTCCCGATGACGAAATTGCCGAAACCGCTAGCATACCGACGTCACCCAAAAGGCGAGGACGGAAGAAGAAAAAGGCTCTGGAAAATGGCACAAATATGGAGGACGAATTAGATGGTTTGCAGAACGGCATGTTGATCAATGGCGAAGATGGTACAAGGAATGGTGAAGAGGACCATGTAGAAAATGAAGAAGATGACGAGGCAGATCTCATATCAAAGACGGAGGAAGAACGTGAGTTTGTTATGCAGCAAGTAAAATTCGAAGATGTGCAGTTTGTTCTAACACAGATTTGAACAGTGGAGAAAAAGATGAGCGCTTTTGATCAGTTAGGTGGTATTGAGAAGAATTTCTCCGTCTTCAGAGACAGGTGAGATTGCATTATTCTCATTGTTTCAATCGCTAATATGATCGTAGATTGTATGATGAACGCCTCGAGCAGATAAATCGAGAGGAGGCTATGCTCCGACAGGACAATCCCACGCACCCGGATCTTCTAGCGATGATGAACGCCGTGGAGGCACGGAGAAACGAGAGGATTCGTGTCGCTGAGAAACTACGTGAATATGAGCTGCAGACTCTCAAAACCTATGCTGTTGCGAGAAGGAGTCAGATTCTGGTTCAATATCGACAAGAAGCGAGAGAGATTCGGGAAAGCAAGATGGAGCAACTAGGCAAACAATGGTACGAGATACAGCATGATAGAAGGAATTACTCTACCGGAGTACCTGAGTACACTCTGAACTATCCTACTCGGAGATCGCAACAAGTCCAGAATCAGGTAGCATATTCCAATGAAGTTTCTATTCTTTCGGGTATCGCAAAACATGTCGGATTTCCAGCTGCTCCATCCATGGCCCAAGCAACACCTGCCGAGCTCGAAGAGGACTTCGAGAAGATGGGAGTAAGTGCATTATTTTAAAGTCATGGTCAGGATTTAGTCCAAGAGATATTTTGTCGAGAGGGACAAGCTGACGGGGCTTTTTCATAGCGGACTACACATGTGCATCAACATGCAGCATTACCTCTGCAGGAATTAGCGGCCTTACGAACAGCAGGATCGACATCACGATTCAGGCCAGCTGAAGAACAGTTCATTGAACAAACACCCTGGGCAAATCCGCAGCATCCCTCCCACGTTCATTTAATACAGCGTCAAACATCAGCCCAGCATACCCCAAGAACCACGAGTCCATTGTCTCAAATTCAAGTACAACCCCGTCGACATTCTCATCAACAAGGCGGCCCTATATCTGGAACGTTTTCGAATATGTCGACATCGGTCCTACAACATTCTAATGGATACATGATGTCTGGTGGAAGAGTTTCCCCACACAATCCATTTTCCAACACTTCTCACTTACATAAGATCGTACCGTCGCCATTGGGCAGTCGACAACCATCGTTGTCGCCAAAGCAAACCAGACCTCCTCATATACCGTTACACATTTCGAACGAGCAACAAAGCAATCAGGCTTCACAGGTAGCCAGCAATCAAACCCATCAGACATCACGCGCCGGACTTCACGATGTGGTCCGAGAGATGGCTCGTGAATCCCCCCCTACAGAGATTGCGTCCAAACGGGAATTGGTTGGTCGCTCTTGACTAATAATTTTATGACTACGAAGGCGCAAATACACGGTTGAAGGTGCATGGCGGGAGTTACGGAAGAAAAGCATCTTGTTTGGTTCGGCGTTTAGGGAAGTATGGTATATGATTCCCTTTGAGAGATATTGCAATCACTCTACATCCATCTGTATTTTTAACGTATTGCTACAAAGCTACAAAGCTACAAACTCGAATTTCATGCAAATTCGAAGAGTTTCCCTTCATCCAAAACGCCTGCCTCAGAATCCATACCAATCATTGCATCTCCTGGTGACCTCATGGCGTGTTCAACTCTATCTTCCTCATTGTAAAGTCGCCTTCCCCATATATGTAGAGCCTAGCCCGCAAGAGCCGTTGTTGATCCTAGTCATATCTTCTCAATTGAGTCAAGAATCTCGTTTGGTTGGTGCGGCTGGTACTTTGACATCTTCAAATTCGTCTTGAGATACTGCTCGAATAGTGAAAGCAACTGTAGACAAATTATTACCGTGAGCTAGTTCGAAATGCTCCCGCGGATACTTACAAACTCCAAGAGCGAATGCGAAAATGCCAGCGCCTGTCAAAGCATTCTTTACAAGATATGGTCTTCGAGCTCGGATGAGAGCGGCAGACTGTTTGTAGTTCTTATCGTAATATGAGGACTTGGGGACTCTATAATGGGTCCTTTGTTAGTATGGACAACTCAACTATTGGGAATTAAATCATGAACTTACAAAGGCATTTTGAATTTTGATCTTTGCAATTTGAAGTGATCAATGGCGCCACTTTCCCAAGAGAAATACAAATGATAAAGTTTATGAGATCCAGCCTTATCGATAAGGCTACCTTGAAATCCGAAACCAGGGCCGCTTTGCTTTTCATTCGAGATTTGGAGCTTGAGGTTGGTTACTGCTGCTGTAATAATAATATCTATCGCGCAAGCTTAAAAAGAGTCGCGTCTACCTTCGAACATCGCATCAAAGAAACACAATTCGTCTGTCAACTTTGATTCTTTCAACCACAGCGCAGAATGGTTTAGAGTCAATTTTACTGCATACTCAACGAATCGATTTAGTGGATATCAGTGTAGTCCTTTCTCACATGCAGCTTGTACATTACAATCAATCAATCCATCGTAGTTCATATTCGACTTCTTTCCCCACAGCTCCTAAGCTTATCCTCCTGTCATCATCATGGCTACCTTGACTGTTGAACAACAAATCAATCAACTGAATGACGCTCGGAAACTTGTGCTCTCAGATGCCAACTATTACACTCAGATCATTCAAGGAATATTACCAATTATTGGACCGACGGCGAGGGTAGAATTGAGAAGATGGGGTGCAGATTTCCTAGCAGAGACCTTTTCAAGTCCAACCATACCTTCATCACAGAAAGAAACTCTGAGCTTGGTCGTACTTGATACATTGAAGGATATGATTGAGAATCCGCACGAAGATAGTGCAGTGGTTAAGAGTATTGTGCAAACAGCAGCTAGCATATACCCGCTTGTCGTTCGATGGATGTATGTTAATTTCTGTATCTCTACTAGCTTATGACTATGACTGGACTTGACCATTCGAAAACCCCCCTCTCTCCTCATATGTATATTGTTGGATAGTGTCAAGCAAACGGCAATCGGAGATGGTTCTAACCTGTGTGCTAAATAGTATTAACAACCCTTACGACATACCAACCTGGGATCGCATGGTCGCAATTAAGACTCGAATACTTCGAATGTGGGATACTGCGAAGCCAGGAATAAGAATATGCTGCATAAAGTTTGCGCAGAGGGTTGTTTTGGTTCAAACAACAGGCGCTGATGCAGATTCGAGAGTATGAAAGACTCCTGGTATTCCTAAAAGACATGATACTAACATTATTTTTATTTCAGCGCGGTGATCCTCTGCAGGTGTCGCTGTCTATGGTACCTCCAAACCATACTCTTCTTCCCCCGCGAAACCTTGAAGCTGAAGCGTCGGGATTGCTTGATAGACTTCTGGGCGTCTTCCAGGAAAATTCTAGGTATGTTGATTCTCTTCAACATCCCTCTTACCTCCACCCCTTCGAAACTGACATTTCTAGCGATGCTGTACTTGTTGATGCAACTTTGAATTCCCTTTCCATTTTAATTCGAGCCCGTCCCCATATTGCAAATAAAATTTTGAATGTTCTATTAAACTTCAATCCCCTGAAACTTGCCAATTCTCCAATGACCCCCAAATTGCGCGTTATGGTTAAATCTATGGAAAAGACTACTAGATCACTACTCACCCATATCAGCAAGCGGTATGTTCCTCAGCCCCTATATGAGTATGTAGGCTGATGGTCGTAGGGACCCCCACAATCCTCTCAATGGGCGAATCCAGCAGTATGTTGAAAGAATGATGCGCTCCAAAACAGAAATATTTGATGAGGCAAACAGAAAGCGTGGACCCCCAGAACCGGTGGACGGTCTAGATCCCGCCAAACGACAAAAGCTCGGTGCCCAAGTTACACCTCCAGCTCCGAATAGACTCCATATACCACCATTAGCACCAGGAAATCACACAGTTGCCGAGCTCTTTACAATCACAACCGATGAAGCTCTAAAAGGATTTGATGTTGCGCTACTATCAGAAGATCTAGTTGTTAAGATTGGTATAACAATCCTCCAGAAGATAGATACTGACACCCTTGAACAAGCTATCAGTGTAAGTTTTGCAAGTTTAATGAAATATCTGCACAAATACTTATTTGGCAAGTAGGGTGTGAAAGGTAGGCTTCAAGCTCTCTCGGAGCCTAAAGCTGAGGAAATCAATGCCGAAACGGCTCCCTTGGGCGTAGAAGATGATGATGATGACTACGAACCCGATTTCTACAATGCCGAGGACACGGAACAAATTTTGAACAAATTAGATAGTTCACCACCCGAGGAGCTTAAAGTGGATATCGAGAAGGTTGCCAATGTGGCTCTTGGACCGTTCACGTTGCCCGCCCCTCCTTCTTTAAATGCCGAGGAAGCGGCGCTGGTTGGCCAAGGTACTGTTTCTCGAGTTTTCGGTGTGATGCAGACTTTAGATGAACCTGTCGCAAGAAAGGCAAAGGCTGGCATAAATAGGCTGGCAGCTAGTGCGTACGACAGAGATGCATGGATCACTATCATTACACGCTTAGCAACGCGCGCTGGGGCTGGTCTCGAAGAACCCTCTGATGCTGTCAAAATGGAATCACCAGATGTTGAGCGATTATCATTAAGTAACACTATACGGCAATCTCTTCTTGTGTACATTCTCGAAGATTTCCGAAAACGAATCGACATTGCAGTTGCCTGGCTGTGCGAAGAATGGTACAATGACAAAGTACAAATGAAGCTTGGAGATGGTTCAGCAGTGTTGCATTACGAAAAATGGACACTCAAGGTATTAGATGGAATTTCCATCTATCTTGATGCGAAAGATAAAGTTTTGACTAGGTTCTTGAGCGAGATTCCAGGATTGAGCCCAGAGGTCTTGAACAAGATTAAAGGGCTTTGCAAAGATCCCACGATGGTCAATCTGTCGCTTACTAGTCTACTGTATTTGGTCATGATGCGACCACCGGTCCGAGAATTGGCCCTTGATGCTGTGGAAGATATTTGGAATACATGTAAGAATTCATTCCTGGTTAATTAGTGGCTATACTAACAATTTTAAAAGATGAGAATGCTAAGCCCATTGCCGCCAAATACCTCAAAAAATGGCGGCCAGGATTTGAGGAGCGGTTACTCAAAAGCGATTAGGAAACGAAATCAAATGGCATGATTGTTAGTGCTTAACTGCATCGAACAAGCTGGGGTTTAACTTAATTTCAATGGACATGTCCTACTTGTATTTTAGTAACCCTCGCATTTAAGCATTAATCGGCGTATAAAGGGAATTTCATAGGACATGAATTAGGTTGGAGGTCAAAAAAAAGGTCAAGTACACATTACTGTCTCATCTGTGTTTTTTTCCTGGGAGGCAGAAACAGATACAGCGGTACATATCTTGCTCGAATTAGCAACTGGATCATATTTTTTTTAGTACGATCTGTATAATCGATAGACAAAACTAAGATTATAATCTATTTCTTCTGGCGAAATCATTGTGTGGTGAATTTTGTGTTAACCCCGGATGACATCCTGAGATAGTCCTAAAAGATCTTGGGCTCATTTGTCAACAGCCGAAACATCATGAATCGTAAGAAACTCGAAGAGAACATCGAGCGGATGCCCTTCACAACGATATATTGGTAGCTTTAGCAAGCTTTTACCTTGACCATCTATTTTTGCGTCCTGCAAGTCAACGGTCAATTGTTCTTCTCCTGCTGATTAAGCACCGAATCAAAGGAGAGAACTTCTGGTTGTAACCAACTAAGCGCAAGACATAGGCCAATAGCTGGGAGATAAAGTCGAACTCATATCGCTCGCATAGTCTGAAATCATGGTTTCATGGCCGTTAGACCAACAAATGAAGCATTCAGATATCCGGTCTGATACGTGTGGAAAATATCTGGAAATACTGATGCCCAAGAGCACCCCTTTTTTGAATGACATCAAATAATTATCCTATGCTTAAAATTGTAGTGGAACTTCGCGACAATTTCAGTGGCTTCAATTCGCAGGTTTTTCTTTCAAATGATGTGATATAAAGGTGCCTGCACCCTTTGATGACTATCTCTGGACTCTCAAGTAAAATCCGGGGGGGCATAAGGATGTTTCGGGAGGTGCTGAACGTCTGACGCCTTCAATCTTTGGGCTTTGAATACTTCCCAATTGAACTCATTGAAGAGGGAATATTAAGACTTCAACAAGATTGGACGAAAAAGCGAAAGATAAGGCAAAGGCTAAAGCAGAATGGAAGAGAGAGAGAGAGTGATGACTTAACTTTAGATATTTTAAAGGAGTATTTGCACATCTCCAAGCTTTAAGAACGGTATGTAAATGAGTAGGAAAATAGATAGGGTCATCGTTAAAGGGTTGTTAGACCTGCTCTAGCGGATTTACCGGAGAAACACCCTGGTTATTGAGGGTTACGGGAAGAAAAAGCATAAGACATCGAATCTTCATATCATGCGAAATGGAGCCTCCTATAATTAACATCTATTTATTCAAAACGGTAGCTTTTAATGCTTGGTTAGGATTGGAATAGGCGAATGGATATACGGTAGGCCGAAATTGAATAGAAGGGAACTCTTGATTTCATTCAGTACTGTACTTGCTCTAATAGATATCTAAAATTTATTAGTACATCTATCGCTTGTCAGATCTGGTGAAGACATCGAAAGTCTAAGGGGAATGTTTGTTAGCAAGTCTTTGAACAACTGACCGACTTCATTGGTAGTGTGATTAACTACTTGGGGTATTTTTGTAGAGTTCTCCATAAGGTGGTGGTCACCGATACTTAGCCAACTTATTATTCCGTAGATATATCAAAATACCCCCTCCGCTCCACTTCATTGTTTACTGACGTATAGGTACGTATAGTCTATCAGTCTACTCCATACCTACAGAGGAACATCCGAACCCCTTACCGGCATTGACAGTAGACCGTTTTAATGCGGGACTTGTCCAGTTCGTTGCTCGGCCAGCCAAATTCATTGGATGGGGCGTTGCATGATAATCCATAATCCTCCATACAGGGTTCCGCTATCTTGTAAACTCAAAAGGAACTTCCGAGAAAACATACTATGAACCCCCAAAAACAACTACATCGTCTTGTATGCATCATAATTAATACCTAGCAACACTTAACCGGGACCTCATTCTGGTCATCATTCAATCTACATTCTATTTATACCCCCCCACGAAAGAAAAGACGACACCGGTAGCTTTGTTTTCGTTACACAAAGAGCATAAAACAACTCATGGAAGTCGTGTATTGCTTGATAGGGTTATCCTAGATTTGAAAAGGAGAAATGAGCAATGTCAACTCTAGCAGAAACTCCTCCCTCGGATTCATCCTTCAGACGAGTCCAAGTTCATACCGATTCTTCAAGTATAGGTAAGCTTACATTTCCGATTATAATCCATAAGATTCTTTTCGCAAAGGCATCATGGTCTGCGCCTTAAATTTCAATGAAGAATTGGAGTTACAGGAAAAATATCAACATACATTGGTCTGTCTGTTTGGTCAATCGGTCGTCTTTATCCGAAACTCCCCTCATTTACTGAATGAATATTTACGAAACCCAGTGCGATCGTGAACAATGACTAACCAGCCTTTTTACCAGATTCCGAATCCTCCCACGTTAATAGGACACAAAACACTCCTACACATGCCCCCCTCACCATACTCTCTTCCAGCGCAATGAATATGCCTCACCTGAATACGGATCCCTCTCTACTCAAATCTTCAACGGGCACAATTAGATCCGTACCCTCCGACGACTCTAGACTTAATGCGAATTCTCAGGACGATAGCCCGACTGCGCAATTCCCATCACAGAACGACTCCAATATACCCATCACTCCAAGAAAAAGTAGCTATAATTCTATAAATGGCCCAAAATCTCCACTTAGTCGACAAAATCCGCCCGCGCTAGGCATGACGAACGGAGTGGTCAGGAGCATATCTACTGAATTCGGCTCTACCAAATACTCAAGCAGCAATGTTCATGTTGTAGGAGAAAGCCTCGCGAATGATGGCGAAGATTTTAACTCTGCTATTGGAAAGGCAAACTTGGGAAAGTCAGGAAGAGTGATAGAGCGTTTGACCAAGGAAAATGACATGTTGAAGCGCGATGTCAAGATTGAGAGGCTGAGAGCAGAAGAGGCTCTCGATCAGGCTAGACTAGCTGAGAGCAGATTCGCCCAAGAGAATGAGGAGTGGGAACGGAAGTTACGTGATGCTGCTTTGAATTCAACTGTCTTGAAGAGGAGAGAACGACAACTTGCGGATGCCAAAGAGAAAATCGAAGCAGAACGACTCAAGGCCGAAAAAGCTAGTGAGAGTGAGCTCTTTTGGAAGAGTGAGATGGAGAAAATACAGAAGGAATGCAAAGCGAAGGTCGAAGAGGCTCAGAGCCGAGCCGAGCTATACGAAGGGAGAAACAACGTGATGACCAACCATTGGAAGGACCAAGAAAAGCAGGCTAGTCAAACAGTGGCGAAGCTGGAAAAGGAAATCAAAATAATTGTGAAAGAAAGGAGGGCTGATGATGAGAAAATTACCATGCTAAAACGCCTCGCGGAGCAACAAGCGGATCAACTAAAAGCACTACAGAAAGAAAAAGATGACGTTGATCGGAAGTATGAGGAGTATAAGGCAGAGAAAGAGCAGTCCCTCGCGGATATCAAAGAGAATGCTAGGAAGCAGGAGAAGGCCAACGAGGAAATTATGGTGGAGGCGCAGAGAGTTCTTGGGGAGCTGAAGTGGGCTCTGAATGTCAAGAAGCATGTGAAAGGAGCTGAATAAAGAGCCCGAATATCCACCCTGAGTCCTTGGACTCGCCAATTTCACTGGTTCGAACTACTCTTCTTCCCACTTGGATCTTTTAATTTTCGACACACATCAATCACTTGCTTTCAAACTACAGTACATTCCGTATCTCTTGAGCGCTCTGGCGACCCCAACGACTGCATTGCATTGTCAGGATACTGTTGTATGTTCTGCGCTTTTGTACATTAGACACTATGGTTTTGGTATCTCGGGTTGAACTTGGGCCAAGAAGCCCAGGGTGTTAAGGAGTTTCTTTCTTGTCTTTACTTGGGCCTAAGCATTGTACATTGGGGCAAACACTGGGAAGTCGATGAGAGTTAGATTTTGCCTGGGTTACTGGTGATGATTAAATGAACTAGATTTATTTTTGATGGTTTTACAGTGCAAAATTTGCTTTCAATCTTTTTGGTCACAGTCTGACGCAAAGGTAACATGTAATATCCTTGATATTTCTGGCTCCAATAATGGTTGCTTTTCTACCTTTTACACACGCCGCAGCGGCAGGCAGCAGAAGTGTGAAGCCATTTGCCGGCTCTGAAACACGCAAGTACCCATGTGACCGGCTGCTGAGCAAACAGCCGAGTTGGTTAAGATGATATAAACCTCATTCACTTTTGCTGTTCAACCGATAGGTGTTCTGTGGTTTTTGCCATAGGGCTCCAAGGTTGTTTTTACTAGCTCCGTTTTTGATATTTACTTCCTTCCTTCCTCGTTTACCAAACTCTCTCCATTGCCCATCGCGAATTTTCTCCACGCGATCACATAACAACAACACCCCCCTTGAATGCTTTCTATCTTCAAGATCTCAGCTGCGTGTATTTGATACTACATTCACTTTATTTCTTCTCTTCTTCCTCATTCAACGACTTTATCCGGGCTGTGGTATACGTGCCGAAAATAAGTTCAAGGTCTGCCGCAAAGGTTATCTCTCAAAGATGAGCGTAGATATCCAGAGAAACGGTGCGCGTGGCTCATCCGCTACTGCTGCTACTGATCCCTTGTCCGATACTAGTGATCTGGGAAATCTTGCCAATAGTAGGATTTCAACAGTTACTATTGCCTCCGAATGGCATTTCAAGCCAGCAGGCGTTATGGAAGTCGAGAAACGTTTCGCGAAGAAACGAGACCGGATGCGTGCTGTAAGTGTCTGTCATTTTAATTCGTATGGTAGTACTCTCTCAAAGTATAGTTCATCATTCTTCCCAAGCCTTCGAAAACTCTTTCCAGGTTGCAGTTGGGTTTTTGGGTCTCTTTGAAGGGCTGGCTATTTATATCTTCACATTCGCACAGGCAGCGCAGATTTTATGCCACATTGTTTCATATATTTCTACGTATTCTCTTACATTCAAACACTACTATTAATAAGACTTGAAGGATAATCACTGAGGGTAAACTAGGACGGTTATATTCAATGGCACGACCAAGATCACCATTTCCTGCTCTTCTCGGAGAGACATCTTATACCTCTTTTAGAAGAATTACGTCAGATCACGAGAGCGATTATTGTACAGGAGGGCGGCGACAGGGAACCTGATTCAGAGGATGATGATGAAGATGATGAAGGTGATACATATAGCGACTTATCAACAGAGGTGTGCTATTTGAACTGTATATTTCATTGCAATAAACGCTGACATTTCCAAAGTTCCAGAGCAAATTGATCGCGAAAGTGACCCACTACGAACAATTTCAGCACACACGCCCACCCAACCCGGATACTGACGATGACTTTTACCCAGATACCATCAAGAACTTCGACTATCGCTCCGTCTGGACCTACCCTGCAGAAATATTGATGGACAAAATCTTGAAAGTGGCCGTTGTTCAAGAGCTAGAAGCCATGACGGATAGCAAAATTGACGTATCACCCAGCCAGTCGACGGTTTATATCGGATCAGAAAGGAATCGCAGTGTTGATTTGGTAATCATTAAACTCGAAAATATTGCGAAGTATAGTGTGAGTGAAAAATCTAAGCTCTTTCATTTCATCACAAACGACTTTTAAGCTAACTATCTACGTAGTTGACATATACCTCTTTCGATCACATCTTCTATACAGAAGAGGTAGAATCGTGCAAGTTTATTATTAAAGCATTTCCCGAGATAAAGAAGAAATTTCTTGAAACTACTCTTTTGGAACGAGTTCTTTTTCCTAAATACTTGTCTGAAAGACTCACAGTTCGAGCCTGTCCATGGAACATGGCCAAAGTGACGTATACCCCGTTTAAGATCGCTAAGCATACTCCGGCAGTACCCAGTCCAGGAACACAAGTCGCTGCAACAAAACCATGGGCTGGGTTTGTTTGGAAGCCTCGAGGGACTCCAGCAGATGATCCTGTGAAATATTTCCCCAGTGGATATGCAAAGGAAATCAAGAGACAAGAAGATGAAGAGGAGCAGCCGGAAGATAAAGCTGATAGCTCCGCGCACGTTGATATTGAGGGCTGGGTGGCAAATGCGACAACCACTGCCGATCCTTCACAGAGACTAAACGGTGGTGATTGGGGAGGCACCATTGAGACGCCTAACAATTCCTTAGCTCGCCTAGCCATGGCCTCGGAACCAGACGCGAATTCAAACGGTAAAACGAATACTGAAAGGTTGAAGGATTTCATTCAACGAGAGACGAGAATCAAGCCGGGCATGCCTCTCACTGCTGTAGAATGTTTAAGCACACTAGCTGAGTCGGAGACGAACCTATTGGATGGTAAGTTATATATCATGAACCAACCAAAACTAAGTCTTGTGCTGAGTAGTACATAGGGGAGTTGCCGCTACAAGTGGGAACAGACAAGAAGGGTGTGTTGCAGTCAAGCCTTCTTGATTCTGCACTTGATGCGGAACTGACAAATTCTGATTGGGACGCGTTGAGGCACAACGCCTCGGAGAATGCACTAATTGATGTTAGTTCGAATCCAACAAGATCACCCAATCTGAAAATATTCGATATGACAGACAGTTCGAATGCTTGGGGGACTCATCAATTTACAGCATTGGAACCACCAGCATCTTCATCGTCTTTGTGGTCGCTTGGCCAGCCACAGCTTCCGTCCGAGGAGCTGGAGGGTCTTATGACTACGGTATCTCCTTCGATGGAAGATTCAACATTAAATTCTGGTAATGATTTATCTAATCTAATTGGATCTTCCTGTTCACCTAGATTATCTGGTAGTTCTGGGCCTACTTTGATGTCTCTCAATAATTGGCAAAGACTGCACTCTCCGCAAAGCGTGGGGCTTTCAGAGTCGGAAGCAAATCGCGAAAATAGATTACCACCGCCTCGGCGTCAACATGAGGATGAAGTGAATACTCGAGTTTTTCATAAGACTATGAATCAAAAGGCATCGCCTAAGAAAGAAGTATCGAAGCCGAGGATTGTGGCAAGACCACAGGAGTCTTTCCTGAAAGACGTCGAAGGAATGTTTAGTGCTTTAATGACGCAAGTGAGAGGTTTTCGCGGCGAAGTCAAGGTACATATCGACTTTGGTAAAATCTTGCTAGGGAACCTTCCCGTAAAGATCGTTTCCAAAGAACAGAACATCAAACCATATGATGAGCCTTTTATCACTAGGCAATTGCGCCCACCACCCGAGATGAATGTCAGAATTGGAGATGGCCCTGAGCTTTTCTTCACCGATATATTAACTACATTAGAAGCCGACACCACATATCTCTCTAATCTCAAAAACAGAGACGATGCTCGTCTCTGGTCCGAAAATTGTTCGGAGTGGAAGGTTACATATGAGTTTATGTGCGAAGAGTTACGCACTGAAAATTATTTCACCATCGAAATCGATTCAGAGACCTTCAATACCCACATTGTAGTGTTGAGGAAGTTTGGACAAATCTATGTACATGGCACAATGCGCCACTGGGATCTCAAACTTACAGTAGATGGGATTGAAGACGAGAAAGAAATTCGCAATAGCTTGCCTGGCTACCATAATCTAGCTACAGAAATTCAGCGAAACCTTTATATTCCGTGAGTTTGAAAGTATCATCACTTAAGCATTTAAACTGATGTCGAGCATTCTAGTCCTGAAAATGAGAAACCAAATCACTATTTCAAAATCCCGAAACAGATTGCGGACGAATTTGAAATCTATCATCTCAAGATCCGTAAGACTAGAACGTTCAACAGTTTGGATGGAAGTTCTAAGTTACATATCACGGAGGTTGATAAATCCTGTGGACACAAATTGCCAGTCAAAAATCAAGAAATCGTGGTCTACATTTTCCCTGAAGAGAAAAAAGAACATAACATGGAAAGGAACTCGGAAGAAGTTTCTAGTTACTCTGAAGAGAAGAAAGATCCCGGCATGGAAACCAATTGGCAAGAAGTTTCTATCACATCTGTTCCGATGAACAACCTCCTTCAACAAAATATGAAGCTCGAGCTTGGTGAAGAAGTACAATGGACAATCCAGGATCTGGCAGAAAAAAACGTTTCCAACAGCTTTATCAAACCCGCATGTACCATGCTTGTGCAGATGGACGGTGTCGGCTTTTATAACGATGGCCAAGATCTCAAGGCTTAGATATGGATTTCATTTCACTGCAATATAATGCTGAACGTCACTGAATACCAAATTGCTCTCTCATAGCTTCAAGGGATAGATGCGTGGTTTGCTGCGTCGAGAAAGGGGATGATGGGTGTTGGCTTGTTTTGAAGTCAAAGATGACGGCATTCTATTGGCTATTATTGCTATTTTCACTGGGATTTTACTCGGGATTTTATATTCTCTAACACAGTTGTAAAATAAGCAAAATAAAGCCATCATAAAATTGCTTATGCGTTGAAAATTCACAATTCTCGTCATCCACAAGACAAAAGTAGAGCCCCGAATGAATAAGTTGATGTATATTTCAAATGTATTTCGTCAATAGTACCGAAAGATAAGAAGCTATTTCTTATACCTTTACGTTCGTGTATATACTAGGTAGACATGACCAATTGAGCCGAAAATGAGATCGTGAATTGTATGATGAATCATATATATTGACCCAATCATTTGAAATGAAGTAGCATTGATCATTTTGACCGTTGTAAAAAGGAAATATGGACTATGATTATTATATTTTGTATGGCGATAGGAGATAATAGATAATTATTGACCTACGTCATCGTGAAAGAGCGTCACCACTACATATGCATCTTTTGGCCTCTTCATTCCTCAACATTCACAATTCCCCTACCAACTCAACTCCAATTTTGACACTCCCAAACGATAGTATATCCTCTATCAAACTATTCACGAAAAGAATCCCCCCCTAGGTATATCTCGAAAATCAAATGTCCGACGATAATCCAGCCATGTCGAAGACGACTAGAGATCTTCTGACAAAGGTTAGAAAGATTGTGCCGCCAATGCTCAGTCACTTCCACAAAGGTATATCCCGATGATTTGGTACAGCTACGTTTAATTGACATATCTAAGGGCAAATGGGTAGAGTGGCGGTTATTGGTGGTAGTGAGGATTACACTGGCGCACCATATTTTTCTGCAATGGCCAGTGCTAGACTGGGCGCAGATATGGTATGGATTCCTGCGATAATTTATCTCTATGATATACGCTTGTCTTTGGCTAACATGGAGATATCCAGAGTCATGTAATCTGCGAGCCCCAGGCCGCACAGGTTATTAAAACGTACTCGCCAAATTTAATGGTTCATCCATTAATGCGACAATCGTCCCATGCCAAAATGACCGAAACAGCTGGTTCGATCGCTCAAAATGTTATCGATATGTTACCGCGATTACATGTCATCGTTGTGGGACCTGGCTTGGGACGCGATAAATTAATGCAGGATACATGTGTAAAGGTTCTTCAAGCTGCGCGGGAATATAATATGCCCTTTGTTCTCGATGCCGATGGTTTGCAGCTGGCTTCGTCGAGACCGGATCTAGTCCAGGGATATAGGGAGTGTATCTTGACGCCGAATGTGGTGGAGTTTGGGAGGCTGTGTAGGAGTAAGGGGATTGATGTTGAGGGGTTGAATGCGGAGGAGGGTGCGGAGAAATTGGCTAGGGCGTTTGGTGGTGTTACGATTGTGCGGAAGGGTCCGCAGGATTATATTTCTAATGGGGATGAGACGTATGTTAGTGATATTCAAGGGGGGTTGAAGAGGAGTGGTGGACAAGGTGATACGTTGACTGGAAGTTTGGCGACGTTTTTAGGATGGAGAAAGGCTTATTTGGATAAATTGTGGGATCATGAGGGTGATATTGATGAGATTGAATCGTTAGCTCTAGCGGCATTTGGAGGTAGTAGTATAACAAGAGTTAGTACCCTCTCCTTTCCCCCCTAGCACAACGTTGGCAAATACTAACCTTCGATAGGAATGTTCGAGGCTAGCGTTTGCTAAGAAGGGTAGGAGTTTACAGGCTAGTGATCTGACTGAAGAAGTATACGCCGCATTTACAAATCTTCTTGATCCGGAAGATGCGCCTGCTAAGTTGTAGATTAATATTTACCTAGATAATACATGACTCTCTAGTACTTCCAACCTTGACGTAAGATTGTATCTATCCTAACTACATACCTACATCCTAATTATTAATTCCCAATACCGTTACCAACCACGCACGTGCGAAAGCAGAGTAGAGAATCAAGAATTACCTACAAGTATCTAGGTAGGTAAGATTACTTCACGCATGCAGTCTATCTCAGAACTTCTGGAAGTAACTTCATCCGTTCGTTCCAGCTACCCTTAAGGTTAGGTTAATACAGTAACGAAAACTAAATATCAAAAAAATACAAAGCTAATTTCTAGACGTGCAACGAAAGGAAAGGAAAGGAAAGGAAAGGAAAGGAAAGAGAAGCTTTAGGATAGGTTTGACGCGTAGCTGGATGCGAGGGTCTTCCTGTAGGGGTAATATGTTGTTGTGGAGTGGAGTGGAGTGGATTGGATTGGTGGTTGTGCGTATGTCTGGGTTGGTAGATTGGTTGGTTGGTTGGTTGGTTGGTAGGAGGGAGGTTGGTAGTAGAGAGGCACCTAGGAGATTTTCTTACTGCATGTTTGAAATGAGGGGGTGGGAGAGGGGGGCAAGGGAGGGGTGCTGAAATAGGGCTGCTTATGCCGTGGGTGTTTTTGTGTATGTTTGTTTCATGTTGTGATTTTTGGGTTGTTAGGTAGGTATTGTCATGTTGGGTTTTTGGTAGGTAGGTAGGAAGGAAAAAGCGGCCAATCGGATGGCTTCGAATGTGATGGAACTTTACCGGGATGGCTGGATGGATGGGCTGATCCGGGGGTAGGTAGGTAAGGTATGTAGCAGTAGGTCTTGTGGATGCATTGAGGAAAGGTGGGTTTATGTATTAGCTGGGCAATATGCAGTTGATTGATGGAAGGCTTGGAGGGACTAGTAGTAAGCTATGGGAGGATATTACTGGCCACTAGCTAGTAGATATATTGTTATGCTCACGTTTACAGTCTTCTACTCCCTAAATTAAAACTCCTCGCAATTGAAATATTAATCCCACCAGTTGATTTAAGGAAATTTTCAGCGCGATAGACTAAGTGGCTGGAATCTGCAATATTTTTGTTGTTGCTGTTGGAATGAATTTAGTAAGATCTTATTGTATATTATAGTTTGAATAAGAATAAGAATACTAGAAGCTGACAGTAGGTATTGACAGTAGCTTAGAAATAGCAATGGCAATGTTAATATCAATATTATCTTCTAGATACTTATTATGAAACTGACTATTAGGCAATTACTAGGTAATTATCCTATAGCTATCGTCGTCGCATCAATATTTGATCTCTTCTCATCCTCTTGTTATACATCTAGTATTCTTACTATCGATTCTTACTCCTCACGAATTCCCACTTCTCGCTGTCATTATCACCGTCATTATCATCATCATCTATCCCATCCCATGCCAACAATAAAGGAGATCTAAAAATCGTAATCCTACAATTAATACCCAAATTCAAATCATGAAAAGATATATCACCTGCCTCCCTACCCAGTCGGTAGATAAATCACCGTCCACAACGCTATATCTCTCCTATCTACTCAGTAGCTCCATGGCCCACTTGCTGGGAAGAGCTCGCATTTAGATTGGGGGTTGGAATTGGTTGGGGAGGGGTGTTTTATATACAGAGAGGACTTGGGGGATGGGAGTGGAAATATAGGAGAAGGGATATGTGTTGGAGTTAAGTGTTGGGGGTATTCACTTATTTGGGGATTTGAGGTTTGAGTATTCACTCATTATTGAAGAGGGGTGGGTAGGAGAGTAGGTATTGGATGGTATTTTAGTTGGTGGATGGTCTTGTTTTTTCTTATTCTGCTTTTTGATAGAGGATTTATTGGATTTTGGATAAGGTTGTTACATGTTGCTTCACACTAATATGGTGTGCGTATTGGGTATATCTAAACTTATTTAACTTTCCATTGTCAAATTGATAATGTTAACAATCTACCATTATGTTTAAGCACATTTAAACAGTTTTGACAGTGATTAAAATGTGAAAGAGCTCTTTGGCATCGATATAGAGATCTCTTTCACATAGATCTCTTACCATAGAATACCTATTTTCGAGCTGACAAGCTGACAAGCGGGAAAGTACGTATAAGTACGTATACGTACGTTGTTGACCCGAGACATATTAAGCACAGGCACAGCTTACAACTAATAACCAATAGGAAACTAACATCAGAACATGGGATATATGTGGAGTAGATAACCCAACTACCCCGCGAATCTTATCTTACCCCTCTCTATCGCTGGCACAATCACTTTATATGTATACAGAATATATTCATCTAATGAATTTACCATTGCACTACCCATCCTTACAGCAATATCACCTATTCCCAATCTCATCCCAACCATGAAATCGCTCCTCAAGCCCTTTCACCAGGGCACATCTGCCATTTGCACGATACCCAGAACCCGAATCCGCATTAATCCGCATCATATCAGAATGGCAAGTAGTACTGCAGTAACGAGAGACTATGGAAAAAGAACGGCAATTGTTACTGGATCCGCGCGGGGGATGTAAGATTTCGAATTAATCCCTCGTGAAATCATCATGGTTAACAAGTATTAGAGGTAAAGCTATCGCGATCAGATTAGCCGAAGATGGTTTCGATGTTTGCATCAATGATATTTCTGCAAATCAAGCGGGTATTGATGAGGTTTGTCCTTCGGCCCCGGGAAATATCTCCATTTCCAGAATAGGATAGTATAGTGTACTAATACATTCAAGACGGTGAAAGAGATCCAGAATCTGGGACGAGCATCATACGGTCACGTTGCGGATGTTTCCAAACGTGCCGAAGTGGATGGTTTGGTTGAAGCCTCGGTTAAGAATCTAGGGACTTTGAATGCCATGGTTGCGAATGCTGGGATTGCGCAAGTCAAATCGCTTTTATCGCTCTCTGAAGATGAGGTTCGGAGAATGTTCGACGTGAATGTTTTTGGTATTTTTAATTGTTATAGCGCTGCTGCCAAGCAAATGATTAAACAGGGTGGAGGTGGAAAGATAATAGGTGCTGCTAGGTATGTCCAACTGAAAAGAAATCCTCGCATGGTTTATTGAATATTTTCATAGTATTGTTGCTTTTAAACCATTTGCCTTGCTCTCACACTACAGTGCTTCGAAATTCGCCGTAAGAGGCTTCACTCAAGCCTTTGCTATGGAAATGGCTGAACATAAGATTACTGTTAATGGTTATGCGCCTGGAATAGTTGGAACAGCCATGTGGGATTTGATAGATGAGGAACTTGGAAGGACAAAAGGTGTTGAGAAAGGAACGACGATCAAGAAGTATACTGATGAACTTATCTTGCTGGGAAGAACGAGTGTTCCTACAGATGTATCGAAATGTGTTAGTTATTTGGCGAGTCCAGATAGTGATTATATGACAGGACAGACTTTGATTATTGATGGTGGAATCGTTATGAATTAATAACTTTGTAGTAATTTATCTGCCTATTGCTTATTTTTTTTGGAGTAAATGAATGAATATTCACCTTTGACCATGATCTAGCTCACTCTTCTGCAAGTTCTTCCAGGCGAGACGTCTCCGGTTCTAGCCCTAGATATACCAAAAAAGTTCTTTAAACGACATTCTTATAATACCTTTTGTACACAAGTCGTGATTGAATCATATCATATCATTGAATAAAAATAATAAAACAGAATCTGGTACTTGAATAAAATCAACTATTGATTAGAACGAATATACTTTTTAGAAGTTGTGAATAGTTTGAAGAAATTCTGCCCTCCCTTTTATCCACCAACAACAACATTCTTTTTGAATGCTTGATTATCATCATCGCAGCGTAATATCACCGCTAGAGATTAATTAGACTAGCTCAAAGGCAAGCTTCCAAAAAATCACCATTGTTATTCATAAATACACGGGTGTCTCTTGGCCTCGAAACTTTTAAGAACTATGCTAATCTGTCGCCTACCAGAAGAATAGAACATAGAAGAGAGATATCCAAAGACCGTAGGAGTCTGAAAATAATATAAAAAGTAAAATAAATTTAGCCAAATCAAAAGAAACTTAGGTCTACTATATCAAAAACTCCATCATTATTGTTGTTCTGAGAAGCAGATCAAAAAAAAGAAAAAAGAGAATAACATATCCACCACACTATCTCCATTCACAAAACCGAGTATCTGAATAATCATCCAGATCTCTAGAGATTTCTAGATTTTTATCTTTCTCTAATTCTTAATCTTTGATCTTTTAATATAAAATTTCATATTTATATTTCTAGCTAGGATTTGATATCACTTTAGCTATTACCTCCAAGCTTAAGAAAGAAAAAATATACTATTAAACCATACCTAGTTATATCACAGGACCAATCTATATCCAAACAAACCATCATACCATCTCAAAATCAAATCAATTTACTACCCAAATCACCAAAAGATGAAGTGGCTTAAAGGCGAATTCATAACTAATGAAAATGGTAAAAATCACGAGCGAGAACTAGAAAATATACTACTACCACCTCTTCAAGAACAAATCAAAACCAAAATGAAAATCAAAAGCAAAAGTACAGCAGAAAAAAAAGAAAAAAGAAAAAAGAAAAAAGAAAAAAGAAAAAAGAAAAAAGAGGTTTTGTTGGTGATGCATGGGATTGAGACTACATTGGTAGAATACACGGCAGAAAAGTATGGGAAGGACAATGGGAGAGGAAGAGGAGGTAAAACAAGGGGAAAATTTCAATGTATGAAGCCGAGTCCGTTGAGGAAATGTTGGACTTTGGTTTGAAGAGGCGAAGGAGATGGGAGGAAGGAGATGTGACAGATGGGATGGAGATAGATAAGGTGCGGAAATGAAATGAACAAGTGCTTGCACAGTGCAGGAGATAAAAATTGAACGAATTCAAGAATATTCAAGACTCGTTCCTACCTCTGTCTTTTTATCTGAATCTGATTTACTTACTACACAAATATATACACATATATATGTATCAAACGACAAAAACATCAAAGCTTAAAAAACTTATTAAATAAAGCCAATAATCTTAACAACACAACTCTTTAATTCCATTTGAAATATCTAAAATGTACTAAAATCTCAAGAATATTCAAATTTCTGTCAAAATAAATCAATAATCAATTACATCACCGAATCATTCCTTCCCAAGTAAGACCACGAAAAATAACTTATTCCCTAGAACTGTGAGACCTGTTCTCAAAAATCTTGTATAATTACTAGGTAAATCTTACCTCACTAGAGGTATTATCATCTTTCAGCGATTTTATCATCTCACATAATATATGACAGGGAGGTAATCTTACTATAACCCGCGCTCCTGTAAAGCAAAAATGTTTTCGAATATTCTCCTGAACAAAATCCGTGCATTTAGTCGATATAATCGAGATGTCATCCCGGCACTAAAGCGTCTAAATTACATATTGCAAATCTTAAATATTTATCAATAGTGACCTCTTACAGGAATGATGGGAAGCATAAGGCCTAGAATAAGGAGGCATTCGGAGTAAATCGTATTGACTGAAGAGGAAACTAATTACAATAAGAGAACTCTATATATATAGAGTTCTACTAGTACTAATCGGGGCTAGCTCCTCTTGCGTTCTAGCACCACAAGAACCATCCTTTCAACAATATTAGACATAGAAGAATAATGTTGCTGGAACATTCTTCAAGTAAGTAAGCCCGCTGTCACTCGTAGTTTACAAACGCAACTAAAGGTGCCAGCCAATATTTTATCACTCAAAGGTCGCCAAAATTCTTCCAAACATCTCGGCCATCCTCCAACACCTCATTCCCCTCAATCCCCTCCCCGCCCTCCTAATACCCTCCATCACTTCCTCCTTTTCCTGAGGCCCTAATCCCGTCCTCAACTCCTTATAAACCCAGCAAACCAATCCTCCCGTAAAAAGACACAACGCAATCTCATAGCTTGCTTCTTCCAATGTCCTGCCGTTCAGTCCCATGGTACCTAGTACTCCGTCTACAACATTTCCGTCTCGTATGCGAATGCACTCGTAGGATAGATTGAGCATTCCATACACATGTTTCATTGTGCCACTTACAATATCCGAGTTGGCCCAATACCGTAGATTGACTGCTGCGAATTCACAATCTTGACGACTCGAAGATCGACCTGCCATTAAGTGAACATCACTGAGGCTTACATCCAAACTGACATATCCCAAAGCGCAGAGCAATCTTCCAGCTATGGAATGTTCACCAGAACTTTCTCCATAGCATTCGTTCCATGAATCTAATGCATCGATTAACCATTTCCTTCTGCTCAAAAGCCCAGCGCCTATGTCTAGTGCATGATTTCCCGTTGTGCCCATTAATCCGGTAGGATTTAACATAGATACCGATGTACGCCAGTCAAATATGAGAGTATGTATACCATAAAGAACAAGGGTTTTGCCGAACACTGTAGTCGAGATAACAGGTGGAGGAGGCTTAGTCCATTTATGGAGAAGGATGCCGTTCAAGGCATGGAGATAGTATGTTGCAGGTGGAATATCAGCTGGCCCCAAAAGGATATTCCAGGCCTGTGGTGATGGTGCTTCCCAATGTTGTTCTGGACATGGGAAGACACAATTTGTGGTTTCAGCTCTACTTATATATGGCTGAACATTAAATAGGCTAGCATATTGGCAGTCGAGGATCTTTCCAAATGTTAGTAGGGAAAACAATCAAAAATCGGAGAAGCATACATAAATGGATAATCCAAGCCTCTTTCTTTTCTCAGTCTCTATCCAGGAAAACCATTCAATTTCCTGTGGCGAATTCCTAGGTAGCGAGCTCGGATCGAGCTGTACTCTAGAAATTGGTCTACAATCTAGCAAACGCGCTCGTCGGCTAGCTGTTATCAGGATACCCCTCACACCTTCTGCAAATTCAAACATTTTCTTACTACCTCCCCAAGCTCCAGCGAGTAAAAGGTTAAATAAGGTGAAAATGTTGTCAAGAATTCGGAGCTGAAAAAATGTTAGCTTGAATCGTCAGCTCTGCAGGGCTGACTGACGTGTTTTTCTTCAATTTCATGCAATCTCATGCTTGCTACTCTTCCGCGATTGTGGAACAGTCGCAAAAAGAGACCGCGATCTGCCCTCGAATAGCATGAACCTAGAAACATCATCGATGATACTAAAAGGGGAGAACTGGAGAAAATATCGAAAGTTGGGATGTGGGTAATAGGAAATCGTGGGTGCACATGTTTAAAGTAAAGCCGAAGAAAGTAATCCAGCACTTCCGATGGTGGAAATGTAGAAATATTTATTTGCACATAAACCGCATCACCTGAGTGAGCAGGAAGCTCAATCTGTAGCATGCCTAATAAGGTCGATCGTAACACATCGTTAACTTTTTGCCTTGGACCTATTGTCAATCCACACGATATAGCTTCTTGAGCAACCGCATACCAAGATTCTGGACCTAGTTTAGGAATAACCCTCGGGCCCCATCTGGGTGGAGTTTCTAGTCTACTGACTTTATCCGGCCAATCTTCCTCGTCCCCTTCGGCATCCAAATCACTCGATTGACCAGGGGCATCGGACTTGATAAAGTCAAGACCAAAGTCAGAATCAATATTGCTCAAAGGATCTTGGCTGAAGCAGTCCAGTGTCCAAGATATATCGGCATCATATGGTCCCATGTAGATACTTGGATTATCATTGTAAAGCATAAAACCATCCCATGCACTGGGATTGAAATTTTCTGGAGCATGGAGTGAGTTATCAGGAGGGAGTGGTGCCAAAGCAGCTTCAACAAGGCTCGAGAGACCTTGGGACTGAGTCGCAGCTGAGCGTGAATCGGAATATAATGCCTCCTGGATACGTGGTAAGCTGTCATGAGGAGCCACCTGACATCGCATACTGGGCGGTAGCGTAGATACAAACTCATTATTAGACTTCTCATCATGATGGACAAGGTTGGAAATAGGCTGAGGTTCAGATGCAACAGGCGAGACAGAATTGTTCATCACGTGAGATCCCGAAGGACCAGCACGTTTGTCTGGGCCATTATGTATTCGACGATGCCGACTCAATAAATCACTTCTCGTAAATCTCTTCTTACAAATCGGACAGGCAAATTTGCCCACCACATCATCTGATTTGAAAAAGGTTATTAGCACGTGACTTGGTAACTATCAAACTTAACGCTTGCGCAGTTGCTAACAATTGAACAAAGTCTGGAAGTAGAATGTAGAAAAGGGAGAGCAAAAGAACACACAGAATGTAGATACGAGTACTCACGATTTGCTTGATGTCTAGTTAAATTCTCAATCCTACTAAAGTTCTTTGGACATTGAGGACATTGAAATCGGTTTCCACTTGCTGATTTAGCCTGGGGTGCTCCTTTTGGACTTTCTCTCGTAGAGCTTCCTGAAGTTGTAGTATTTTCTGGAGTCTCGGCAGTATTGGTCAATTTTGCATTGGAGGCGATATCAGATGAAGCAGGTGGATGATCATTATCCATAATTACACAATTATCTTAGAGATGATAGGACTGTATCCGCTGTATCCGCATCTGTATCGCTCTCGGTCTCTCGGTTTCTCGGTATCGTGTCTCGGTATTGTGTCGTTATCGATCGTATGATATATCGACTTACGTTCTGATGGTCATACCTCATTAAGGTGGACGGCAAAAGACGGAAACTTATGAATGGCAGATGGCGAATGGGCGGGTCTGTTGGATGTATGTGATATTTGGGGTACAATTTGTGAAACAGGTGGACGTTGTTGTTGACGAAGATGTGGGTTGGCCGCTGGAATTTCAGTATTGGCGGATACGGGTGACCGGAAGTGGACGGAAAATATCCGGGTAAATCTTTTAGGGTGGATGAAAGGGATACCGGATCTATACCCTCATACTACCTAGGTATAATACACTAAAAATATAAAAAGATATAATGAAGATGGTTGAGATCGGGAAGATTGAACGCAGAATGTTGAATCTAAAAGTGACTCTCCTGAACTACCGCGAAAATGTTCGATTCTCTACAAACGCTGCATGCTTCTATTGCAAGACCCCTAAACGAGTTGAGTGCCTTCATTGTATCAGCCGATATAAATTATGATCTGGATCTTGATCTCCCCCTTTCTTTTCGAGGGAAGCGAGAGTCAACAGCAGTGGCATGGCGGTCGGCGTCATTCAATTAATCAACCAAGGAAAGAATTGCAAAATTGGTGTCAATTGGTGGTAACAAGCCAAAGATCAAGTCATTTCTCTATTTATCTATAATGAAATGTAGAATTGGTACTCCACATATGATATCTTCGATACCCAGTATCGTTAGCAATAATCTCAAGCCAGACGGGGCTTTGCGCTTTTCGCTTTCTCATTCAGCTGCTATTTGCGATTCTCATGACTGCGCCTTAGCTTTCCAGTCCTCATGAGCTTTCTTCTGCCTCTCCCAATCCTTCTTCAATTTCTTCAATGCGCTCTTCGGTACATCTTCTCCATCTTTCGTCTTTGTTGGCATACCATCAACATCCCATGAACTAAATCGATCATCCTTGAACATATCCACTGGACTGAGTTTGGCCTTCTCGAGCCTCTCTTGCTCCAGCCTTTCTCTAGCGAGCTTGGCGGCTTCTTTTTGTGCTGCCTTTTCTCTTTCTTTAACCAGTTTTTCTTCCTTTTGTGCTAAAAGTTCTTCTTTTGGAATGAACTTAATGAGCGAACCCTGATCATCAGGCCTATCATCAAGATATACTCCAAGATTTGTGAGATCATTATCACGAACACGATCGGACAACGATAAGATGTGTTTCTTATGTTCGGAACCTGGTGCTACTCGTCTCAGCTCATCTCTAGTCTTCGCAATGGCACGTATGTATGGTAAAGCAAGAGCTTCTTGATCCTTTGTTCCCGAAGATACGATTATAGAAAATTCGTTATCAACATCTATCGCGAGCAATCTATCCAGGGTTTCTGAATGTATAGACAAGCCCTCAATTTCTCGCTTGACTTGTTTGAATACCTCAGAATACGGTGCCACAACCTGCTCAGGGGTGTGATTGCTGTTCACGGGAGCATTAGCCCAGCCAAGTCCATCGTATGGCGCTGTTGCATTCGCATCAAGGCCAAAGATGCCAAGAATCTTGGTTATCCATCGAGCGACTTTCTCAAGTCCCTGAATATCAAGGTCATTCTTGTGCGAGCCAATATGAACGTTTGATTCTTTAATTAGCTCTTGTAAAATAAGCATTGCTCGTGGTGTATCGAAGGATTCTGTGAGGGCGGTCTGAAGGTCTGCTTGTGCCTTGTCTAATGCTATTTGCAATTCTGGATGAATTGAAAGAGACTTTAATTCTTCATCAGATCTGGAATTTCCAGCCTCAATTATAAGAGATTTGACATTGACAAAGAAGTTATTCACTGTAGCTTCCCATGCGTCCGCCATTAGCCTCATATCTGGAGAAATTTCGACGCCATCGTTCCATCTTCCCATCAAGAACACTATCCTCATCGACCTTGGAGTGTAGTCTGTAGCCAGCGCATCACGAATTGTCTGGAAATTCTTGAGAGACTTTGACATCTTTGATCCTGCAATAGAAAGATGCCCCATATGCAAAAAGTAATTCACCCACTCATGTGGGCCATGCTCGTGTTCGCAGAAATATGCCTCACTTTGTGCCAATTCGTTATCATGGTGAGGGAATGCAAGATCAATACCACCAGAATGAATATCCATCTTCGATCCCAAAACATCTGACGCCATCACGGAGCACTCAATGTGCCATCCAGGTCTACCTTCACCCCAGGGACTTGGCCAGCTTGGCTCTCCTGCCTTTGACTTTTTCCAAAGAGCAAAGTCTCCTGCCCCTCGCTTACCACCCAAATTCTTGGATAGCGATCCTTCTCCTTCCTCTTGCAAGGCTTTATCGTTTCTACTCTCTGGTCGCAGTCGCGCGTAAGGATTGCCGGCCTTCTCGAAAGCTGCAATATCAAAGTAGACAGATCCATCTGACTCATACGCAAACCCTTTTTGAATAATCTTCTCGACGAAGGTAGCGATCTTTGGTACGTAGGTGGTAACTCGAGTAATGACATCTGGCCGTAAAACATTCAATGCATCCATATCTTCCATGAATTGTTCCTCCCAGTATTGTGTCACGTTAGTGAAAATTGTATGATCTTTTGCATCTATCGAATCTTTATACAGAGAATCGAGGTATGGAAGGAGGATCTCATCTGCTCCGCCAAAAATTTTGTCCTGCTGTATTGCTTGCGCTGCAGAGGAAAGATTGCTGATGTGCATCTTCATCTTAGCTTCCGCATCTCCAGGTTTCCCTTCACCAGTCAAAGTTCCACCAGCCAAAACCTTTCCATATGCCGTGTCTCTTCTTTCTGCATAGTTGCTAGGCGTAAGTTGATTGCTATCTCTCAACAATTCGGGTAGATTTGCGGTTGCGTAGGACTGGAAAGCTTCTGCCGCTAATTTTGCGAGTTCAGATTCGGTGTACGCTTTCGATTTCTCCAATTCCAATAGCTTTTGTCTTCTGGCTTTGAGGATAATCTGTCAAGGTCATCAGTGAAATGCCCCGCCATTCCGAATTCAGCCCATCCCACCTTGTCATCCACGTCTGTAATGTTCATAACGAATTTCAAATCAAATCCAAAATAATCTCTCATAATTCTTCGTATGATATCAGTAGAAACATAGTTCCTAGCATGTCCCAAATGCGAGTGATCGTATACTGTCGGTCCGCAGACATACCAAGAGACCTTTCCCTTCTCAATGGGAACAAATGGAACTGGACCCCCAGGCTTCAAAGAGTTGTGAACCTTCAATTGATCCATCTTTAAGAATTTATTTGTCGTAAACTTTCGAATTGTAAGAACATGAATAGGAGAATTAGAGAAAGTAGAAAATCTTAGAGAGCGTAAATGAAGAAACATTCAGTCATGAAATATTATGAAGGTAACTATTGAGTCACTTCTTTGTGTGATAGTTGCATGATTCGTTGAATAACCTTATTAGGCTGAAAATAAATTTAACGTGAAGCTAGGTGTCCTTCAGCCTTACAGAGAGGTTGCGACTCAGCCTTGTCCATTTTTAAAATTATTTCTTTCGGGAGAGGAGAGAAAGTCTAGAGCTTCTTCATCACAAATACAACAATTAGCCATAATGAGTACCAAAAGATCGCCCTTCCTCTACCCTGGAGCAATTTCTTCTCCAGATCAATTGGCAATTTTACATTTAAAACGGGACCTCCAAACTCCAACAATTCTGAAGAGCACTGATGAAAAGGATGAAGGATACGCGGAGGGAAAGGTAACCAACACTCGGTTTGGATCTTTCCCGCATACCACTTTAATTGGAATACCATGGGGAACTCAAGTACTTGCATCAAAAGTCGACACTGGATCTAGAGGACGCAGAGGTGATAAGAAACGGAAACGAGATGATGTAGAAACTGCCGATACGCCCAAAGCCGCGGAACTCATTGCAGAAAATGCGGAAGATGGATCCTCAACGCCTACCAGCGCAACGAAGGAGGTGACGGAAGCTGTAGCTGCCGGGAGCGGATTCATACATTTCCTACCACCTACGCCAGAAAACTGGACCAATTCATTACCGCATCGAACGCAAGTCGTATACACACCTGATTACAGTTATATTTTACATCGTATACGCGCAAGGCCTGGAACTAGTTTAATCGAAGCGGGAGCTGGTAGTGGATCTTTCACACACGCATCGACAAGAGCTGTATTTAGCGGATATCCCGATGAACACACAACAAAGAAGCGTAAGTTGGGGAAGGTCTGGAGTTTCGAATTTCATGAACCGAGACACGCAAAACTGGTTGAGGAATTAGAAGAGCATGGGTTAGATAAACTTGTAGAGATTACACATCGAGATGTATGCGAGGGAGGGTTTCTGGTGGATGGAAAAAGTCCAAAGGCCGAATCTATATTTTTGGATTTACCTGCTCCATGGTTGGCAATTCCTCATCTCACTAGGTCTCCTCCGCCTCCTATTAAGAACCCGAACGGCGAGCTGGCACCATCTAGGCCCATCTCAGAACCATTCGTTTCCGCTCTAAATCCCGAAGCACCAGTCCATCTATGTACTTTCTCTCCCTGCATCGAACAAGTCCAACGAACCATATCTGTCATGCGACAACTTGGCTGGGTTGATATCGAAATGGTAGAATTATCTGCAAAGCGCTTTGAGATTCGTAGGGAAAGAATAGGTATCGATAATGGAGTGCAAAGAGGTCTCCAAACTACACCAGCCAATGTTGAAGAAGCCGTTGCTCGATTACTAGAAGTTGAAACTGGCCATCAAAGTTTCCACAAGAAAGGCGATGCTCCAGACAAAATGCCAAGACAGAATCCAAATACAAGGGCAACATTGATAAAGAGCTTGGTGGAGGGTAAGATTTATAAGGAAGGAAAATTAGTACATAAGACGGAACCAGAAGTCAGGACTCACACTTCGTATCTGGTCTTTGCGGTATTGCCGAGGGAGTGGAGCGAAGAGGATGAGAAGAAAGCGAGAGAAAAGTGGGAGGTGAACTTCAATGGCGAACCGGAGGCTAATGCACAGAAACAAAGTGAGTTGCCTATGAGTAAAAGGCAAATGAAGAAAGCAGCGAGAGCCAGTCATATCAAGCCCGCCACTGCTGCTGCTCCGCTAGCTGGTGATGGAACGGCAGTTGCAGATGGAGCAAATGGGTTCATCAAAGAGGACACTGAAACAAAGGCAGAAGCCTAGGGCTACTGATTGTACGTAATAGATATCCTGAGCTCTACCTCTTAGTTTACCCACATAATTCCGCCTACGCCTCTCCCACACCCGCCGGCGGATGAATTGGCCAAGTGAAAAAAAGGCTGCGTATGCCTAAATTCTTCTAGTAAAGAAATTCAATGAAAAAGAATAACTTGAACCTTCGGCCAACTGTATGAACTTTTCTCACCCAGCCCGTTTTAACATCGAAGTCTCCCAATCAAGATTGCCTACAATATATAGCAAATGATATTTCCCACATTTTGGCAAAAGAATCGCATGTGGGTAAGTAGGGCATACATAAACTATGCACCTCTCAAAGTCTCCTCGCGTAAGGCCTTAGTTGCCGGTTTGTGTAGTTCGTGATTAAATCTGTGAAGACGACCACGCCTCAGGCCAGTGGCAGCAAGTACCTTTGCATCAGGTGCAGTACCGAGGATGTAAGTTTTTCGTTACTTTCTACTAATTGATCAAGGATCAATATCTAGCGGAGGTCGGGACGTCTTTTTTGCTTGAACAGCGAATTTTCTCTCTTCGTCACGCTTTGACGTCCTGGTAGTACCTTTTGAATGAAATTTTAAGATATTGAAAACAGAGACAAGGAGAATCTGTTCTTCCTGCTGGTTCTAACTTTAAATTGCGATGTCCTATTGGGAATTTATTCCCCGATAAAGTGACATGTCTAAATAATCCGTCGAACACTATGCTGTTTGTCGGACATTTCAGGTTTGGTCAGACGGCAGGTGGTTCATTTTCCGTGAAACATGGATGAGTAGTGAATATGTTGAATCTCATCTAGCGTTTATACTCTGCGATTCATTAGAGTTGAGTAGCCAACAGATGTACCTCAAGCGAGTAGATTAGAAATCAACAGTGGCTACCTAGGTAGGTGTACAATATCCGTCCCCGAGTATGAATGGTAGCTCCGTGTATTTGATATTTTATCAGATAATAGGATACCGATGAAGTTAAACAAAATCATAAGTTCTGAAAGCTTGAAATAAATATCAGACGATGATTGTTAGACTTTGGGAGTTTTGTTAGACCATTGTTAAGCGAGAGACCTAGGCCAATTAGAGAACAATACGGTTCTAAACTAGCGATCATCTACCTAGCACTGCTATTTAAGCTAGCAATATACAAAGACCTGCTGACTAAACAGCTAATTCAGATATGCAACATAATAGAAAGCCTATATTGTAGATATGTTATACTTTTCTATGATTTACTGGAGGAGAATGAATGAAGCACATCAGATGACAAGTAGCTAGGCTTTCGGAAGTTTTGTTGCACGTTTGCAATGTGCTATGTTAATATATTGGCCAGCTAGTAATTCGAATGCATCAAAGTCAAGTACATTGAATGTTCCAGACCAATACCCAGTACCTGGAAACTATATCCGAAACCTTTCAGATATGCAACAAAACTTGAATGTCTATAGAAAGTTCAGATCTCAGATGGTAGATTTAGATACAATTCACTGACGTAGCGAATGAAGCACTTCAGACGACAACTAATCAAGCTTTCAAAATATTTGTTGCGCATCTGGTGCGTATTGCTTATTATTCGCTCCGTCTAGACCACTTAAAGTCCTCACTAATGATTTTATATCAGCAGCAAAAGATTTTATAACAATTCAGACATGCAACAAGGATTAAGAAAAAGATATAGGGTTGCCGTTTGATGTCTCTGCATAATTCACTCGGGGACGATGAACTCTGTGTATTATCTGGTATTTTGTCTGTATGATTTGCTCCATCCACCTGCCTGAGGTTAGTCAAGAAATGTCACATATGGACCAGAGATTCTCCTGGAATTTTGCAACGGAAGAACGGAACAGAAATACCTGGAATGGCGTGACAGGAGCGGCAGTTATTTCCCACCTACCAGCTTCCAGCTGACTCAATGCCTTCATGTCAAGGGTTATAAAGTGCACAGATACAAGGGCAGCGAAAACGGCCAGTATGAAACTCTCTCGAATTATGGATAAACTATAAAATAAGATTTGTATTCCTTCAACCAAGTCGATGACGACTTCCTTTTCTAGCCGTGACAGTAGACAAGCACAAACCCTGAACAGCCCTTTCGACATCGTTCCTGCCGCTGAATTAAAATTTTCTGATATATATTCGAGCATTCTCCTCCTCGACTCAATGTTTTTAATCTTCTTTTCCAACCATCTAAATAATATATAATTTCCTCCTGGTCAGCAGCAATTCCAATATTAATTAAGAATAGCCATAATTATTCTTCCAGCGATCACCTAGCGATATTTGTTAAGATAGAGATCAAGATCAAGATCAACAAGAGCGATTTGCCTTTAAGACATCAATGTAGGTTCCTCCTAAAGGGCCATCATAACTCTCACGAACGTCAATTGTAGTAAGAATCTGTAACATTACTGAGTTCTAACAACAAAACATTGAGGATTATCATCTTCATCTTATTATTCTTATTCCTCCACCTCGCCAGTCAGTTCCGCCAAATTACCACATCTGCTCTCGCACTAAAATTGGCAACAGTGCCCCGAAAAGTGCACCGCCAAGGTAGGCCAATCTCCAAGTTTCAATGAGTACAACCAGATGTACTGTCCATAATCCCAACCAGGAATGATCAGGCACTTCAGTAGTCTGGAGAGTTCTGGATAGGCTTTGTGCTATCACACCCCCGAAATGAAAGAACAGCGAGAGTCTTGATCCTGCGGTAATCCGCATTCTATATAAGCAGGAAAAATGATCATAATTGGTAGATACACAACTCCATGAATGTGAAGGGTAAGGATTTGGGTAAAAGCGAAATAAAGATAATTTCAAACAGTGTGAATCAATTACAATCCCAATTATTTCTCGGATCCCTCGAATCATAATCCCCAGGTGTAGTCAACGGACTAGTTAGAAAGATTGAAGCACCAATCACAAAGTAGAAAAGATGAATTTGAGGATTTATGGCGCATTCTCCGATTACCAAGAGTGGCCAGGTATTTGGTAGCTTCAATGCGCATCGAGCCCCGATTTCATTACTTGTTCTATGCTCTCTGCTGGAAATAGTGGTTGTATCTGTCGTTGCTGCGGTGTGGCAGGCATAGCAGCGTCCGAAGATTCGCCACCGGAAATGCTTTGCTCAGGAGATTCAGAAGCGAGAATGAATTTTAGTCGACGGAAGTGGTCAATTTTACAATGCTGGTGTTTTTTCTGTGTTGAATTCAACCCATCAGCAACGGAGGTTTTGCTCGTGTGTAGCCACTCCTTAACTGCACACGGCTGGCATAGTACTCCCGCGACGGTGCGGTGAAACTGCAGATTGCATTTAAAGCAGAAATTTTTAGTATATGAGCAATTTGTTCGCCTGAAATAATCAGAAAATATCATTTAATTCGACCCTCACTTCGGTCAGCGTTGACGATGTGGCAAGTTGGGCAAGAGTTGCCATCTGTCGGAGCAAAAACATCCTGAAAGACTATATCCATTCCCCCATCCATTCCAGGATAAATAAAGCATCCCATGATTCGACAAAATTGAGCTCTCGCTTTATTCTTGAATCCGAGAGAACAAATTCTTCCCGAACGATTTTGTATTGTCCTGTTGTTTCGAATCTTCTCATGAGACAATCCTTGAGGACCTAGTGCAATAGATGAAATAATTAGATAAGCGATGGAGCTTTGACTAATATAACATACTCACTTTGACGAGAATACGAACGTTTCAACCAGAACAAATATATCTCCAAGTCGAATCATAAACTTTCCAAATATCAGATTTATCGCGATCAGCAGGTTGCTCTGGCCCTTTTGCATAGCATGTCTTCGATTCAAGCTCCTATATTTCAGTTCAAGTAAGGATGTTACAATCGAACCATAGAAAGCACCATGCTGATTACTTTAACATATCCCGCAATCTCCTCACAAAAACGTTCGGATATTTACGTTTTCGTATGGCGACCATTTAATCTTCATAAATATATCCTTGCAAAGAGAACCTGATCCACTAGGTATCAGGCTATGCTTGTATTTTTCTTATCTTTAGATAGAATTGATGGGTCGTGTCCTGACATTGATTCATGATTGTTTTGAGCAGATCAAGCTGGTAGCATTCGCAGATCTCTGGACACAAAGTCTTCATGTCAACCAAGACGTTTTCAAGACTTAACAGTTCTTGCATCAGGATATGGCGGTGAGCAGTCGAGCCCACACCAGACTTGAGTGATTGTACAACATCACAGATGACTTGGAGACCTGCTATACAGTCACCCATCTTCATGTTGGGAAGGAGAGACTGAAAAAAGAGACTGTTGAGGCTTGATGCCAGATAGAGTTTGCATGAAGAGAGTTTGAAGTTGAATGTGAACAGAAAGAAAACTGAAGCTTTATAGTCAAATGATGTCCGTGAGCAAAAGCTTCCAGGACGGGTTTGTGAACCGAAGCCATAGAGCTCAAATCCTTCTTATATGGCTGTCTTCCATCCAGAAACAGTGAAATTATTACCGAGTTGCGACAGAATATCAATAGGGTAAAAAGCAGAAGGTTGAAGATAACTTTTTTATCCTCGGAATCATCCTTTCGAGAGGGCAGCTTGCTATTCACATCTACTTATAGCTGTAGACAGAATAAATATGCACGCAAGTCAATTAGATCAAACAACAAACTACTTGTTCGGAAGCTGACTCAATTTAGACATCCTAGATACGAATTTCTCAGACGTCGAAGTGTGATCTAGAGACCCATCCTTACTCGGCATCAAGCAACAAGCCGATTCTATTGAATGGTGAAGTAGCATACCTCAGCCCTTGGGAGCAATTTATGATTAATGTATCCGAGATAACCCTGTGAAAGAAAAATACCAAAAGCGTCTCGCGATAGCTATATTAACGTCTTCAGCGGATTTCGCTTGAGTTCATCTCTTTGCTAGTGCGTGTTCCTCAAGATCTTTAGTTTGCCCTCAGTTCTCAATCAGATTCATTAGATCTCATCAAGCGTAACTTCAGAATGCAGATCAACTCTCTTATCAATTGACTGAAATTCATTGTCCATGACTCTAAAGGAATGTCATCCATCTATCAAGCGTGACACTAGCACGGACCCTGAAAATGACGCCAAAATAACCTTAAATTTAAGCTTCACAATTAGCCCAATCCAGATATAGCTCACAGAGTTATAAGCTCCAAAAACCAAACTTCACACACACACTCACACTCACACTTACTCACTCACAACCCACCAAAAGCAATGTAATGTCTAGCTCTCAAGTCTGCCGCCTCGGCAGATCCAAACCAACCAATTTCTTCACCTCCTTCTCAACTCCTACCAAAACCACACCATCCGCACGAATACCCCGCCGCTTTTTCTCCTCCTCACACCATCTCACCTCCGTCCCGCCAAAATCACCTCAAACCCCCATATCCGCAACCTCCTTCTCTTCCTCCCACTCCCATCTGCAATCTCGCTTGCAGACACTCCAATCCCGTCTACCGAAATTTCTGCATCCATACATATCTCCATTGCTTACTGCGCCAAAAACATACATTATATCTTTCCTCATTCTGCATGAAATAACAGCTATCGTACCGATTGTTCTTCTAGCGGGTGGATTTCATTATACTGGTTGGTTACCGTCTGATTTGATACCTGAAGGGAAACTGGAAGGGGCTCAGGCGAGGTTCGAGAGGTGGTTTGGGAGGAAGGGGTGGTTTGGCTATGGAAATCCGGAAGGGTCTATTAGTTTAGGGATAAATGATATGAGTGGAGTTGGAAATGATGGACAGATAATCAGAGAGAGGGGAGAAAGCAATACAGGTGGGAAGAGGATAGTGCTGGAGGTTGCGACGGCATATGTGGTTACGAAGGTATTATTACCGATTAGGATAGCGGTTTGTGTTTGGGGAACGCCATGGTTCGCGAAGGTTGTGGGTAGGATTGGAGGACTGGGAAAGGGAAGAGTAAAATGATGTGTTGATGTGGCGAGATAGTCATGATCACAAGGGGTAACATATATTCCTGTTCGGCTACATCTAGACGATAGAAGCCAATACAAATGGACTAAGATGCTCCAATACTTTTTGGGATGAATGTTGCACTTATTTCACGCGTACATACATAACTTCAGAATCTGATTGACTTTTTATTCATGTATATGTTTATCCACCATCTTCAATAACTTTCTTCAGTTAAAGTCTTGGAGGGCTTGGAGCAAATGACATAATATCAAGTCTAATCTACTTCTCGTAGACCCAGTCGTGTTGAGCGGACTTCCATGAGAGAACCTCACCCTCCTTGAACCAGAGAGCAATCTCCTTCTTGGCGTTCTCGACAGAGTCGGAACCGTGGCAGACATTGCGTCCGACATCGATGGCGTAGTCACCACGGATGGTACCTGGGGCAGAGGCCAATGGGTTGGTGGCACCGAGGAGGGCTGAAGAGAAGAAGCTGTTAGAAAGAGGAAAAAGTGGAGAAGATTGGTGGCAAGATCAAGAGTTTACTTACTACGACCGGTCTTGACGGCATCACGTCCTTCCCAGACCATGGCGCAGATTGGGCCAGAGTTCATGTCTACACAATGTTAGCTTCATGCTCAAAGTGTGGTAGATCGATAGATACATACAGTTGACGAGACCAGCAAAGAATGGCTTGTCGGAGAGATCAGCATCTGGTGGAGGGGTTAGTTTCAATGGTTCCATTCCCTAGACAAGCTAAAGCACTCACAGTGCTTCTCGAGGTGCTCCTTTCCAGGGCTGCAGAGCTTGATGCCAGCAAGCTTGTAACTATTTTCAATGTCAACAAAGCTCAAGAGGTTCTTAGAAGAATGAAAACATACCCACGAGCCTCAAATCGGCTGATGATTGGGCCGACGAGTCCACGCTGAATTCGACTTTAGTCAGTACTCTATTCTTCTCTTTTCAATGAATGGTTTCCGCATACCTGGACACCATCTGGCTTGATGGCAATGAAGCTGTTCGAGACGACAAATTAGTTTTCACCGCTAAAAAATAGTTTGTTGACGTGGGGTAAAGTTCCAAGAGACAGGAAAACACCAAGAATGAGACGTTGATGGAATCCAAACTTACGTTTGTTCGTTAGACATGGTATCGTTATTTAGTCTGGCAGCTTCTTCTCTGTGTTTTGCTGTTGCTCTTAAGAGTGCTCGAGTTTTAGGACTGACGTGATTCAAGATAGATTCGGGGGCTTCACTCATATTTTAAATTTTTAGGTTGAGGTGTGTTGTTAGTGGGGTCTTTAGCAGGCGGGGTGGCTTGACTTCAGAGGGGAGGGGTACCTTGTTCGTAAAAAGACCCTAAATATCAGGCTCAAAAACTTGTCTCGTTGTGATTCGCTCCATTACCTAATTTCCCATTATTTGCTGGCACAAATTTCACCAACAGAAATATAGAGTACGCACAGGTATTTTTATATTGTACATCCCACTCGCTCGTCACAGCCAGCCAAGGATAACAGGGGACTCGGACTGATCGTCAGTGCTGAGTGGTGAGGTTGAACAGGACAGCTTGGAAACTTAACCCCAGAATTCCATTCTTCGTATCATTGTTTTGCTGCACAGCAAAGATTTATCAAAGTATTTGGTAATTTTGTACAATCTGAATTGAGTGCAATTGACACATATTGCATGTCTTTTCAATTATGAAGTCGCCGTTAAACCTGTCCTCACAATGGACAGGATATTTAGTTCTGTTATCAACATTTGGCAGCTTAATTACACCAGCTGGTAAGTACTTCAAGAACAGCGTTGGGGAAAATGACTAACGTATCAATAGTAACTGTTAAACATGAGAATTTCAAAACATGCAATCAATCTGGATTTTGCAAACGAAACCGAGCATATGCGGATCAAGCAACGGCAGTTGGAGATAACTGGAGCTTGCAAGCTCCGTATCGATTGAATTCGGATTCATTAACCTGGAAAGATGGTCAACTACAAGGGACAATCCTCAAAATATTAGATGGTGGTGAATCCGTCCGGTTACCGATTACCATTTCCTTCCTCGAGTCTGGATCTGCGAGAGTTACGATTGATGAGGAGAAGCGTCAAAAGGGCGAGATTGAATTGAGACATGACAGCAAAGCTAGAAAGGAACGTTATAATGAGGCTGCGAATTGGGCTATTGTTGGAGGCCTAACTCTGAGTAAGGATGCAGAGTATCAGAAATATCCAGGAGTTTCACACATCACATATGGCCCGGAGGGCAAGTTCAAGGCGGAAGTTACACATGCCCCATTTGCGATCGACTTCAAGAGGAATGACGAGACACAAATCAAGTTCAATGATCGGGGATTGATGAATGTGGAACATTGGAGACCAAAGATTGAAAAGCCAGAAAAGAAAGAAGGCGAAGAAGAAACAACTGAGGTTCAGACTGGTGAAGATGAAGGGACATGGTGGGACGAATCCTTCGGTGGCAACACCGATTCGAAACCCAGAGGTCCTGAAAGTGTTGCTCTTGACATTACTTTCCCAGGGTATGAACATGTCTTTGGTATCCCAGAACATGCTGGACCCTTGTCATTGAAGCAAACTCGCGGTGGAGAGGGTAATCACAACGATCCTTATCGTCTATACAATGCCGATGTTTTCGAGTACATCATGGATAGTGAGATGACACTTTATGGAGCTATTCCTTTTATGCAAGCACATAGAGCTGCATCAACCGTTGGTGTCTTTTGGTTGAACGCAGCCGAAACCTGGATTGATATCATTAAGGAGAAAGCATCTATCAACCCATTAAGTGGAAAAACCGATACCAAGACTCACTGGTTCTCGGAGAGTGGATTACTTGATATTTTCGTATTCCTTGGACCAACGCCAAAAGATGTTACAAAAGCATATGGAGAACTTACTGGCTACACCCAGCTTCCTCAAGAATTCTCAATTGCCTACCATCAATGTCGATGGAACTACGTTACAGATGAGGATGTCAAGGATGTTGACCGGAAAATGGACAAATTCCAAATCCCCTATGATGTTATCTGGCTTGATATTGAGTACACTGACGGAAAGAAATATTTCACTTGGGACCCTCATACTTTCGGAAATCATGTTGAGATGTTGTCACACTTGGATAAATCTGACCGAAAACTTGTCGCCATTATTGACCCTCATATCAAGAATGAGAATAATTACCCTGTCGTCGATGAATTGAAAAGTAAAGACTTGGCAGTTCACAACAAGGAGGGTAGTATCTACGAAGGTTGGTGTTGGCCAGGATCTTCTCATTGGGTTGATGCATTCAATCCAGCAGCAATCAAATGGTGGAAAACACTTTTCACTAAAGATGCTTGGAAGACATCCAACCTGTTCATTTGGAATGATATGAACGAGCCATCAGTCTTCAACGGACCCGAAACCACTATGCCAAAAGATAATTTACATCACGGGAACTGGGAACATCGTGATGTCCATAACATCAACGGAATGACCTTCCACAATGCAACCTACGAAGCGATGGTCGAGCGAAAGAAGGGTGAACTCCGTCGTCCATTCGTCCTCACTCGTTCTTTCTATGCTGGAAGTCAACGTCTTGGAGCTATGTGGACTGGTGATAATCAAGCCGATTGGGATCACCTCGCAGCCGCTTTCCCCATGATTCTCAACAATGGTATTGCCGGCTTCCCATTTGCTGGTGCAGATGTTGGTGGGTTCTTCGGTAACCCTGAAAAGGACCTCCTCACCCGTTGGTACCAAGCTGGTGCTTTCTACCCCTTTTTCCGTGGACACGCACATATCGATACCAGAAGGCGCGAACCTTATCTCGCAGGTGAACCATACACCGGCATCATTACCCAGGCTCTCCGTCTCCGTTACGCGCTTCTCCCTGCATGGTATACCGCTTTCCATGAAGCTAGTACCGACGGAACTCCCATCATCAGACCTCATTACTTCGAATACCCTGAAGACGAATCCGGATTTGCTATCGACGATCAATTCTTCGTTGGTAGCACAGGTCTTCTAGCCAAACCCGTCGTGAAGGAAGGTGCCGAAAGTGTCGAGATTTACCTTCCAGATAATGAAGTCTACTACGACTATTTCGACTACTCTATTCATACCGGCGCTGGAAAAACAACTGTCGCAGCTCCTCTCGAAAAAATTCCACTTCTCATGCAAGGTGGCCACATCATCCCACGTAAAGATCGCCCTCGCAGAAGCTCCGGATTAATGAAGTGGGATCCATACACGCTCATCCTTGCACTCGATAAGAACGGCAAAGCTCACGGAGAACTTTATGTCGACGATGGTGAGACATTTGATTACCAATCCGGTGCCTATATCCATCGTTCATTCACATTTGAAAATGGAAAGTTGAGCAGTAAGGACATCGGAACAAAGGGGAAGTTAACAGATAAATACTTGAAGAGTATGAAGAACGTAGGTGTTGAGAAGATTATCATTGTCGGTGCTCCTAAAGCGTGGAGTGGATTGGAGACTGTGAAGATTGGAAGCGCGACAGCAGAACTTTCATATCACCCAGAAGAAGGAAAGAAGGCTGCATGGGCGTTCGTTAGAGCGCCAAAGGTGGCTATTGGGGAGGACTTTGAATTGGAGTTTGCCGAAGCTGGGAAGACTGAGTTGTAGAATGTTCTTGCGGGAACTAAAATGAAGAATTGTATATGGAAGGATTTAAGTGGACAGAGAAGTGTATTTGTATTGTGATCTAAAATACATAGCATTTTCTCGAATGAGTATCTACTTAGCCATGCAAAAAATGCAAAGTTTCAATCTTTCAAATTTTTAAGCAAACAGCAGCCCTTAAACTCCCACGCTTATGGAACATCTCCAAAATCAAACTGCTAAGAGCAAACCTTCCGTCTTAACACCGCGCTTTATTGTCAAATTATCATCACTAAACTCCGTCGCATGATTTCATACAGCATGTATTTGTACACATGTATAACGCCTCATCATCTGCTCTGCTCTCGAGTAACAATTTATCGATTTACCAATTTCATAATCTTGTTCGCATTTTATCGTCGTAGTTGAGCGGTAATGTGGAAGGAAGGGGGGGGGAGAGAAAAGGGAGAGAGATTATCTGGGAGGAGTGGGAGCAGCGGGAGCAGCGGGAGCGGGAGGAAGATCTTCGCGGCCATCTTGCCATGAGCTGCAGAATACGCATCGGAGTGCCTGGGGTTGTTAGGATGCTTGTTTTTGAGTGAGATAGGGGTGAGGGAGGGGAAAGGATGAGTGATTGGAGGAGATAAGAAAGGACGCTTCGGGGAGGAGGGGGGTAGGTAAAGATTCGAAAAAAAGGTAATATTTAAGAGGAGAGAGTGAAAGTAGGAAGTGGAAGAAGGAAGGAACGAACCTTCTCGAAAATCTTCTTGCGGCAATATCTGCAGCGGACATTGTGTTTGATGATAGCATTATCTTGGCTGAAATATTGGTAGAGACCGGCGATGCCGTAGAGTGCGAGACCGACGCCTATGAAGTTTATTACGTTGTTTAAAAAGGAGCTGGTGCCGTATTAGTTTAGTAGGCGAGAAGGAAGAAAAAAAGTTGGGAAGGGAAAATAGCTTGGACTTTGAAAATGAGGGCGTGGAAGCATTGGAATGACGAAAGAAAGTTGTAGAGGAAAGAAAGAAGCAAAAGGGAAACACGCACCCCCAAGCCAAAACAATAGCCCCATCATCCAACGCCTGCTTCAGCGTATTATACCCAGCTCCATACAAGAATTCAATACCCATCTGGACTACCACAGTACTATTTCCCTCCACACCTTCACCTGCTCCACCGCCAATTTCGGTATGGTTATGCAAAGTACCGCCATAGTGGGGACCAGGTCTCAGAACAGCGAATTTCTCATCCAAATTTTTGTTCAAAAAAGGAAGAAGAGAAAGCGGTGGAAGAAGAACGGATGACACCAGGGAGGTGATTAAAGTCGTGAAGGACTGCGCTATTCTGTGTTTTTGTGAGTTTTTGAGGAAGATGGTCACGTGTAAAGTGCGTTGGGCACTAGGGAAATAGAAGTGATGGATTAGGATGAGAGGGAATGCATACATCAAACCAATAGCAACGTGGAGAACATTATCATTGAAAGCGAAATCGACAAATCCATCCCAAAAACTTGTAAGATGTCGGCGTGCAGCGCTGGTAGTGCGAAGAAGTGGTTCGCTTGCTGCTCGTGCATCGAAGTCGAGGGTTGGTCGAGGCATCGTGGGTGCTCTCTTTCTGGATTTTCATTCAAAGTTTTGTTCTAGTAAGTTTCTGTAGGAGTAGAGTAAGTAGACAAGGAAAAATGATCAAGGAAGAGAAAGAGATGAATGGAAGAAAACGAAAGATGAGTGAGTTCATCACTGCTGAGATGTACTTGCAGGGGTACGTATCAATGACTGGCACGTGTGGGAATTAAAGTTATTGACAAGGATTCTGATAAGGCGAGATAAGCGCCCCAGATTTATCGGATAAACCTTCGACCGATATTGTATCAAAAATTAATTTTTTCGAAGTTGATGCGGCCGCTTAAATTGACCCCTCATCGTCTTTCGCAAAAGTTTACTCTACAATCTCTTGAATTGAAGCATTAAAAATCCAGTCAAAATCTTTTACTCCCGCCTAAAAAAATCGACAATCAAGAGAACTTGAAAACATGGCGCCCAAATTTTCGGAAGACGAAATTGATGATTTGATATATTTTGCTCGTATTGGGGACAATGATGAATTCGAGAAATTGAGGGAGGAGTTATGTAAAAGGGAAGGATGTTCGATTGCTGAACTGCTAGAGACTGCGAGGGATAGTGAGAGTGGGAATGGTGTGCTACATATGTCTGCCGCCAACGGACATCACGGTAATTATCTTTCGCCCACTTAAAATACCAACTCTTCTTTCAAATCAAAGACAGGAATCTAACTACTCATAAATAGAACTCCTTAGTCTCCTCATAAAATATCTTTCAAACCCCTCACCTCAGAATCCTCAAATGCTCAAAATACTCAACACGCAAAATGGCTCCGGAAACACACCCTTGCACTGGGCAGCGTTAAATGGACATTTAGAATCCGTAAAGATTTTAATAGAAAATGGAGCAGATCCAACGATACAGAATCAAAAAGGACATGATGCGGTTTATGAAGCGGAGTTGGCGGATAAGACGGAGGTTGTGGATTGGGTTCTGAAAGAAGGAGGGGAGGGATTGGAAGAAGGTATTGCTGGGGATGAAGGTGCTGAGAGAGGAGAGGAGGATGAGAATATGGTGGAGGAAGGGACCGAGGTTGTAAATGTTGCGGAGGGAGAAGGAAAGCTCGAAGATGCGGTAAAGAATCTGGGGATTGGTGGGGATGTGAAGAAATGAGGTCATAGAATCGAAAGAGACAAACTTAACAGCGATGATTGTATACTGTTGGAAGCGTCACCCGCGACGGGGGCATGCTAGAGGATGAGCCTTGATTATTGCACCCCGGCAAAATCTAAATATGAGGCATGCCATAACGAGCTATTACCGATGAGATGGTCGACTATGAACCAGGGTTTGCGATCTCCAGCGTGGGATGACGCTGAATATATACCTCGCATAACGAAGAGGCAAAAAGGCAGCATAGCATTTTCAAATACAATCATAAACACTTTACATTTCACTCCATCCCTACTAATTCTACCTTCAGCCAGAATATTGGGGCTGAGTGACGTACGCAGGTGCATGCCTAAGGCTGTAAGACTAGTTACTTACAGTTACTCCGCTACAAGTGGGTGAGAAAGTTTCTCCAACAAATTTCAACTTATCCAATTGGATTTCTCCCATTCTATATCATCACCGAATTTTCAAATGCCCTCCTCAACGAAACAGTATCCCGTCATCTCTCCTACTTTTATACATAAAATGAGATGCAGCTTTTCTTGATATATCATCACATAAAAGCACCCCTTCAAATCTATTATGCAGATTTATTTGACGTGAAGGTTTCCTTCATTTTTTGGATTGTAGTGTTGTTAGCTCTTACTTGTGCATTTCTATCATTGTTTAGTCTTATGCTTTGTCGCTACGATGCTTTGGATGTAATATTCGGATAGTAGCAGGAAGTTTGATTTGCCTGGTGTCTTGGTAAGCAACATATTATCCGGATATGTTAGCTTTGTAAAGTCAAGAGCATATTGTGTTTATGAATGTATGATTATTCTTCAAAGTGAAGAAGTTCTGTCTAATAATAATCAAAATCGCGCGTCTAATGTCTTTTTCGTACTTCAAATCTTATCAATAGCATCCTACTAACATTAGCCTACATTGCCTAAATCTTTATCCCCCTTATCAACATCATCACCGTGATCATCTAAAGACCTTGAGCGTCAGCTATCATAACTCGCTAGAGGTAAGCACGTAAGCGAAGAAGTGTAGTCAAACTCACCATTTTTTTGATCATTCAACCCGCTCGAACTGCCATGGTCATCTTCCTCAGCCTTCATTCTCGCGATACTTTCCTCCAGTATCTGCGCATGAGCATCGATACGGCTCCTTAATTGATGATCCGTAAACATCGTCTTTTCCAATCGTTCTATCCGCTGAAGTTTCTCTGGCGTCGGTGTCCCTGAAGAGAATTCGGCATTTTAATCTCAACAGACGAGACAAAAAACCTTATATTGATACACATACCATATGCTCCACAATTCCTTCTTTCACCCATATCTTCTATATCCCGAGCACTATCTTCCATCGACCGAAGATCTTCCCACCATCCTTCATCGTTCCATTGCTCCATCATGCCACGACAGAAGAGCAGGATATCGTGAAGGAGATGATTCGCGTCAAGTTTGACTTCATCATCAAGACGATTTAATTCGCTACTGATCCTAGTGAAAACTGCTTCGGGGGCGAGAGTTGCGCTGAAAACGCGGATGAGAGTGAGTTCAATCTCGCAAGCGAGACGAGAACGAAGTGTGAATACTTTAACCTTGTTAGTTAGACGAAGGGGTAAAGTGAGATGTGTTTTGAGATGTTTGAGGGTATGGAGAGATCACCGAGGAACGGAGATGACTTACCAACTCCGTTTGCAGCATTTTCAGCCCACATTAATTGTAATTTATCGATAAATTTATCAATTATCGAATCTACAATCTCCGTAGCGGAGGGAGGAGAAGGAATGCGATTGGGTAGTTCCGCCATTGTGGATGAGTGGATGTTGATAGTGGCTACGCAAAAGGAAGATCACGAGAGAGACACAAGATGGTATTAGCGTATTTATCGTTGTGTAAGAAAGATGGATGGTTGGGGCTGGAAGACAGCTTTATAGCAGAGGGCTTGAATGGCCACAAAGATTCCAAGGTGGTTCTGGAAGCACCTTGTTTGCTCATAGCTTGCTATTGTTTGCATGAGCAGAAGTGTTGACCTCCTGGGATCTTTGCAGCATATGCATATAAGGAACAAACAAAACTCAACTTTTAATTCATTCTTTCCTTTTTGGTATACTGTTTGTTTGCTTTCAATATTTTGATTTCAAAGCACTTTAATTCCGAAGGCTGAATACCTAACCTTATTCCTTCATTTTTTGAATATATACTCGCAGCTTAACTGCTTAGCTAGAGGAGAAATCAATTCAATCTGATGCTCTTTCTGGTCTCAAGAAACCCAATAAGAAGGGTGCATAGTGAATGCATTCTAAATTGTTACAGAAGTTAAATGAATAGTGATAAGGTAGCGTGTAGTGAATCAAAGAGATGTATGCTTGGATGGAAAGAAGTCGGTCATTCAGCACATATTGTTTGGTCTTTCTTTGAATATCATCAAATTGTTTGTAATATATCTAGTCTCTTCTAGAAGGAATACTTTTCTTAGAACTCATAGAAATTAAATAGCAAAAGTTTGTGATTTCATATCTCCTTGTTTCAGTCCTTTGAGTATGTAATTCATATCTGTATTTACCTGGAATGGGTATTTGATACACCTTTCAGGATCTTTCCTTTATGTCTTGTTGTCATAGTATACACCTTGATTAAAAACGAATATACTACAATTGAAATTCTTTCTAAGGAAAATTTACATGAACGGGAAGGTAGCCATTGTGTTTGCAATCTTAAAGATAAGCCACAAAGACAATGAATGAAAATTCCCGTACTGGCTCTAAGTAATTATTGACTATTTCCCTATTGATTGCAACTTACACCTGGCTAAAAGTACTTTTCTAGTCAATGGATTGCTCATATATCCAGACTCTCAAAGAAAAGCTGAGTTTTAGTTATAGTAATCGCAGCAGCCTTTACATAGATTATGGAAGTGAGTGACGAGAAAGCAAATTGTCGATTGTCAAACATTGATTTTTTTTATCCATCCTGACGCCTGTATATGAGGTCACCAAAGGAAATGGCTACAGGCTCATTATTGGTGTTTTGTTTGATCATTACTCCCGAAAGCTATTACTAGATCAATGAATTTCTTCGGATGGAGAATTATAATGAAAAGACCAATTTCACCTGTGAAAGAATCAATTGCATATTTACTCCATTGACAAATACACATTTTATCCAGTGATATGCTTGGCTAACACTCCGTGTGACCTGAGACTATTACAATTCAAGAAACAATATTGCTTTGAAAACATCTCAGGATAAGAGTCACCTAATCTCATTGCAAGCATGAAAAGAGTGGTAAGAACAAGAGAAGAAGCTCCCCAAAGTCGGAAGATAGCACATCGAATATTTTGGAAGAAATGATACTACTCTCGAGTCCTGCCGCCAGCTAGGTATCTGGGGTCATTGAAGAATCAATCGACCAACACTCAAAGTAGCTGGCCTGCGGGATGATTTTGATCAAGAAGATAATCATCACATGCTACTGCGCAAAACTAGGACAGCCATCATAGAAAAGTAACAACTGTACTTTTCAGTAAAGAAACGGATCATTTGTACAAATTCAGCTTGAATTTACAGCGGCTGGGTTTAGGAAATTAAAGACAGCGACCTTACGAAACGGATATTCATTCAAAGATTGGAAAAAAAAAATATGTATTACAGGTTCTGAGAAGTCAATGGCCTAGTAAGGAAATGAGGAACAGTTTTCGAATTTATGTTATGAAACCTTTTGATAGTTTACTTTCATTGAATTAATCAGAATGATGTTGCACTAGAAGCCAAAAAAAAAAGAGCAGGGGAGGCAGATTTTATGGTTGTATTGCTGACTAATGAACATTAACCACACGTATATCACGAACTCTTGTCTAAGGCTCGTGTCCTAGATATACTCAAAATTCGAAGCAGATTTCAAAGCACTCAACCATTTCTCATTAATTGAACATGTTGGTGGAATATTGAACATATGCGCTTCCCTCCAAAAGTCAACACCAACGTCGCGATTCTGTTCACATTCAAAAATCTGCGAAAGATTGGAGAGAATTCAGTGATTAGTCTTTCCTATCCAAACTCCGAAGTCAAGGTAGCACAATTGATGGCATTGCCTGCTGCACATAACGAGTCCACAACAACAATCCATCGAGGTAATTCTGGTAACCGCGGTGGTCGTACTGATTTTGACGATGCCGCTTCTTTCTGCCTACAAATGGAACCTAGTTTGAGCATTGATCAGTAAGTGGGAAAAATGCATCGTTCAGCTTAAAATCTGGCTTACTGCATCTATCGCATATTTAGCTGCCTCATCTTCCTTCGACTTCTTACTCCATGCATCATTTACAAAAACATCATACCGACTCTGGGCGTTTGCTATTTTTCCGAAGTTGCTGTATTCATTGTCACATAGTCGAAAGACGTCAGCCCAAAATTCATAATTTCCTCCTAGTGCGTTGAGATCTCAGTTGTCGTAAAGTCTACCGTCTCAAGCCATACTGCAAAATCTGTATGTCCAGATCATCCATTTATGCGCAGGCTGGTTAGTCAAGGGAAGCAAACAACCAGTGCACTGCAGTACAATAGATGAAAACCTTGCACATTTTGTCCCGGGGCAGTAAAAATAAGGATTTGTGTTGATCTCACGCTTTCGCAGTACTGCTAGAAGTTGGCGATCAACGGATGCAACTAGGGAATCTTCTGGAAGTGAGTGGACACACAAAAACCACATCGCCTGATCAATTTAGCAAGCAGAAGTGAGCCATCTGACAAGCTTTAGGCTCCAAGTGGTGCTGCTATTTTGCTTTTTATAGCCTCTAGACATTGTTTTTTTGTTGTCTTTTGCCTTGAATATTCACGCGTTTGGGATTTTGGCGGAGCACAAAATCTGGTGCAGTCAGCCGCAATAATCTAATCTAGAACAGTTTATACAGTTTTCGTGTAACCGATCTATCTCAGGCCTCGCTAACTATTCGCGAATTTTCAAAACTGTTGGACCTTTTGCCGCATGCGAGAGGAGGTTTAAGCATCATGCATTTGTTACCACGATATAAGAATTAGACGCTAGTCTAAGGGCAATAAAACTAATGATTACCCAATTGAAGGCGCTAATAAACTCCATCCGTTTATACTAGCCCATGTATCAGGAATTATTGTTGCAAAGCTTTAGTATTTGGCATCGTCTGTGCTGAAGCTAGCAATGCCGAAGCTAACAGTGCCGAAATCATCAGATATGCAATAGTGCGATAAGTCGAAGCTAATTATAGGAGCTCAAAATAGAAAATAAGCGTTTCTTCATCTTTCTGATACTCAATCGAATGACAAACTGAAGCCAATAGTAGTGTCGTCATAAAGCTCATTGACGATTCACTTTCCTTCTCATGGTTTCCATCCACATTTTCTCAACTAGGTATTTCTGAATTCCTCTTTTGGAAATAGATTTCTGACTTGTTGAAATTCTGGTTCAGATTGCTTGATGTCAGTGTTGTGATTATTAAGTTCAGTGGCAATATGGCATTGTCCTAATGCGGTAATGTTGACCTCCTATTATGGTAGCGAGAAGGTAAGCTTGATAATCTAATTTTGGGTGCACGGTCCATTATTAGATGTCAACCATCGCCCAATGTATCTGAGAACATCTATATAAACTCTTACTCAACTCTTGAAGTAAAAGCCTTCCTCACATCATTACATGTCCTTTATTTCAATCCATCAATACCTTTACAGACACACTGAAAAATTCCTTGAATTCAAGAATTATGGCCAACGAGACCACTGCCGATATATCAAAGCCTCACTTTCCTCTCGCTGGCGGAGCAAGCGATGGTTGGAGTAACGAAGACGAAGCGACAGCCACATGCTTCTGTGGTGCTGTTCAACTATCCTTCGTAAGTCTAATTGCACAACATCCTATCTTCCTAAAAGATATCCACCCTTCAATCACTCTTCTCGCTAGCTGGTTTCGGCGCTAATTATACTCCTCAGCCAACACAAGGCCCTGGTTTAATCAGCACACTTATCTGCCACTGCCATGACTGTCGCAAAATCACCGCTTCAATGTTTGCATCTAATTTCGTCGTCGCCGATACACACATAAAGCATATTCGCGGGCGTGAAAATCTGAAAGTCTACAGTCAGTCCCACACAATCGCCACGAAAAACAGCATGTCAAATCATTTCTGTAGAACATGTGGTTCACTTATGTATCGTATCAGCTCGGGACATCCGGGAATGAGTATCTTGCGAATTGGAACGGTGGATGATTTTAATTTGCATGAGACGAAGTTGAAACCAAGGATGGAAGTGTTTGCAGATGGGAGAGTAGCATGGTTGAAAGAAGTGAATGGGGCGTTGCAGTTTCCAGATGGGAATGTAGCAGTTCGTTAATGCATTGTGTGGTAGTATGTGAATGGTGGGAACGGAGCTGGTCCCTCATTTGAAATGGGAATGAGATTTTTCAAAGGAGCAAAGAGTCATGAAGGCGTTTGAGACAAAGATAATCGGGAATAAATGTATATAGTGTTAAGAAGTTGAGAATGATTTGACTTTAAAGCTTGGCGCATTCTTTCGTGGTGACCCCCGACATCAATTTTCTCCTCATCTTCTTGTGAAACGGAAAAATAGTACAATCGAGCAACTCCACAGTGTTTCGAAGTCCCGCTATTAATTAACATTCGAGATATTACTAAGAAACACGACCGATACCACACAGTATCTGCTTCAATTATTTTTTGTTCACCAAATCCGACCTGTGGTATATGAACGAGAAACAACTCACCCCTGCAGCAGCCCCAAAACTCATGTCTTTCTGCCTGTATGAAGAACGACCAAACAGCCGAAAACAAGAGCGTGAAAATTAGTATTACGCTAACACTAACCTATACATGATATCGACGTTATGATATTCCGTCAGTCGGAATAGGACAAATACTAGGAGAACGGGAAGCAGGAGTAAAACGAGTACGAAAAGATTGGTTACAAATGTTTCTATCCTGGATTTGCTGTAGTAATTAGTTGAGATTTGAATCGGTCACTTTTTCGAACAGCTGCCGAAGTACAAAAGAGGGAATACTATACCTTCATAGTGTAAAAGAGGCAGGTCAAGATAATCTTACATACATCCGGATAGCACGCCGTAAGGGAAAAATGTAAGGCAAAGCCGCTTAGATGATATCGTAATATATTATTTAATTATAAAGAAAATAGGTTTCACAATAAGTTTAGGGTTGAAGTTATATAAATTTTAAAGAATATATAAATATAGAAAGGTTTATTATGAAAAGAGAGATATAAAAACTTTTTTTTGTATATCTAATTATTAGGTTATATGATTGAATAATTTCAAATCTCTCTGTAATTATATGGATTAAAATTCTAGCTTTCTTAGAGTAGGGGCTAACATCAACAACTTGATGATCTCCAGGGGGTCTTCCAAGATACTTTTTAAGTAAGATTACCAAACAACACGTACAAAAGATTTTGAAGCAGGACCCGAGAAGCACCCACGGACAGACATAGGTAACCCTGCTTCTTGTCGATTTTGTTCATAATCATAACAACTCAAATTCTCTTCCGATAGTGTACTATAACACTGGGTTGTTACGTCGGACAGTAACATAGGTCACGTTCTTGATCACATGATAAAGAAACCGACAAATCGAGATCGGCTTTGCGGTGATCGATTTGTCGGGCTCATAGCCATCGGTTTTTTTAAGGAGGCACGAAGGTCTATATAATCAAGATGGATTTCCTTTGTATAGAGCTCTGTGCTCAAGATCAATCATTTAGTATACTCTACTATTAGTTACGAATTGTATATCATTATTGTCATTACTTTAAGCCCCTGCTTGACGCCTAGTTATAAACCACCTCGAGAGCCAAGAGCACTTCCACGTGATCTAGACGGCAAACCTCGTAACATGGGTATGCATGATAAACTCATACAATAAATAATGCGGAAATCAATTTTTAACCGGGTAAGAAATAAAAACTAATCCAAATGAATGAAGAATATAATAAGACTTACATTAATAATATTACTAAATATACGAACAGAGTACTGTGACGCCTCACACCTTCGGGTCACGTGGCATGCCCCGTTTGTATTTAATCACAGGAAAACTCTCTACTCTTGTTTCTCACACTACAGCCCACGTCCATTGCTCGTGCGGTAAAAGGAAAACTCCATTACACTTTTTCTTTTGCAAAAAAGGAAAAGCCTTCAAAGCGCTCACAAAGAGCCCCCCCTCCGAAGCTATCCCCTGGCTTCTAAGCAATCCCACCGGTATAGCCAAACTAGCCGAATGGCTAGAATACACCAAATTCTACACAAAAATCTGCCCGTGGCACACAGGTGCAAGATAAAAAAAAAAAAATAAAAAATAAAAAAAGAACTTTCTTTCTTTCATTGGATTCAAACGGAGTTAATAGGTCTCTAAGGGTGCTTTTCCTTCCTCTTCTTTCCTCTCTTTCATCTTTCCCTTTTCTTTCATTAAAAAAAAAAAAAAAAACAAGTATGCATACGAACAACCTAAACAAGCACGAGGAGACAGGGAGAGAGATCAAGAGGTAGTGATCTAGTGGACGAGGATGACCACAATTACAACCCCAAAAGGCCTACCGGCCCAAACCCCCCCTGCGAAGGCAATCATGTAAACCCTGCCCTAGCCCCCTTTAAATTGTATAAAAATACTCCCCCTAGCTAGCTAGTAAACCATTCAGAGGCTTCTCCTCTGAGCGTCATTTGTCCAAAACTGGAATAGATGGCTAAGGTTATCACGCGCCTTGGCGCGTGGGCCTACGGCCTATGACGATAAACACAATCAATCAATCAATCTCTACTCTTGTTTTTCTTCTTCTTTTTCTCCTTAGCTTAGTATTTTCTAATACAAGATACTTTACCCAGTATTCTTGAGTGTGACACAACACATCATCATTATAACCCAAGACCGATCTTTTAAAACCCAATAACCTAAGCCAAAATCTCGATCTTAATCTCAGCAATCTCCTCTAGAAAAAACTACAAAAACCACTCAACAGCATCCCATTCCCTAATCTCCAAAAACTAGCACCATCACGTGTCAACCAACCACCCATCAATTCTCGCTTGTCCCTAACCCCCTTTTCCCATACATACATATTACAAACAGTACATAGCACCGCCCCTCAATTAGTGTATTATGTGTTCCCACTTGACCCTAACATTACACATCAATGCTTACCTAACTAGTTCATTTAGCCAAAAGTAACTCCACTTCAAAGACGTGTTGCCACGACACGAAAATCATCATCATCCACTTTATTCCAAACCTTCTACCGGCACAATCATTCGTCCGATCCCACGATCCCGTTGGAAAAAAAATTTGTGATGTAATTTGTGGAGAAGTGCCATTGCGATGCGGAATGAATTTTCGTGCAGATAAACGCGGGTGAAAAAGTTAAAGAGATGGATAGGTGGCACGAGATAAACACACGCGGAGGGTTTTCATAGGTAACATGCGGGATTTCATGTTGTACAACTGGGCGGACTGTGGAATTGGTGTGGAGTGGGAATATGAGATGCTGAAGAGGTCCCGCAGATATTGGGTTTTATCAGATCAAAACCTGTGGGACTCGAGATATATATGACCATGCCGAGTCAGTGTTCTGCGTGATTTTTGATTGCTTGTGGATGGATATTGTAGTTTAAGAATTATTTTCGAGATATGTAACACGAAAATTAAAATTTTGAGGTGTACTTAGTTAAGCGCAATACTTATCCGCGCAAATGAAAACATTTCGATTCATTTCAACGAATTGAATTCATAGAAAAAACTCAATCATCTCTAAATACTAGGATATTAGAGCTCAGTGAAGTCGGAAATTTGTACACCGACGAATCAGTGATAAAATAGAGTTCGAGACAGTCATATTCGTCTCTTCGCACGGAATCCACTTTTCAAGATCGACACGAATTTTAGGGGACCATACTCGTGGATCGTACCGGCATCTAAGCCCACGATAGGGAAAAACTTTTTAGCAGAGTACCCAGCCCTACAATACATGCAGACTCCGTCCCTAGGAACCCGGTCACCCGGTCCAGCGGTAATCTAGTATGAAAATCCCCGATAGCTGGAAATTGTATGGTATCCTATCATATTATACTTATTCTTCGTAGATTGGTAGTCTTAGCATTCGGTTGGAAATCGGTCGAATGAATATCAGATCGACTATAGAGCTTTTGATTCAACGAAAAGCCTCATTCAATGTCATAGGAATGTAAACAGTCTCCTTATAAAAGATAAACTATTATAATATTTCAATTTATAAAAGTATTATAGAGTATAGAAATAGAAGGAAATATAAACATTTGTATCGTTTTGATATTGTACTGAATATTTGTAAAATATTCAAGACACTTGTCATAATGAAAAGGAAGTAAAATTACAATCGACCTGATATTCACCCGACCGATTTTCAACCGAATTGCCAAGAGCCCGAATCTCTCGAGATTGTGCGGTACATACATAGGAGACAAAAGAATCTCGCCACCGCTAGACTGGAGAAGGAATTCACGCAACTGCCGAAGTAAGATACCACCATGTCGAGTCAATGTATTGGAGGGATGAATTGAGAGCGAAATCAAACGACAGAAAGAAGGAAAACGGACGCCTAAAGAAAAGGGTCATCATTTTGGCCGCGCACTAGCGCGGAGGATGGAGGGTATTGAATCTGATAACAGTATTTGATGGAGACTCGGAGAAACCCGAGAAACCCGAGAACATCCAGGAATCCATCAAAACCTAACCAATCCCAATTCCTGTAGGAAAATCAAAAGCTCAACCAAAAATTTGATAGAAACTCAAAATCGTTCGCTCATACCAGAAGCGAACGTCACCAAAGAAAAAATTGTGAAATCACGCACCACTTTTGAAAGTGTGTGAGGATGAAATAACCGCCAAGCAGAAAAATATATCAAGCAATATTCAAATGCCGCCAGGATGCACAGCTGCATAAGGAGGCTGAAGTTAAGTTCGGTATTCAGAAAAAACCCTATCTCAGTAAGTAGAATGAAGATCGATGGATTCAATCCATCATTATTTCATTCGGAGACAGCTCCGCGATAAGAATGTGATGATGATGGATTGCTGCGTGGCTAATGAGGAGTCCAAAGTCGTTGGTGTTTCGATATTGCTTCTGATATTGAGGATGGATTGAGGGGGTAAGTAAGCAGGCGCCAATAACAAGATGGATGATGAGGGTTGGAATGAGGGGTATGAGGGGCGAGACGTGCAACGATTTTTACATCGAGCGAGAAGGGATGCAGATGGGATTTGGGCATCAATAGGATCCTGTGTTTGAGGAGATGTGGTATTGGCGATGGTGGCGTGTATTTTCTTGAAGGATGGAAGTGTGAAGCAAACAAATATTGTCGATGTACATAAGAGGGATGACAATGCATGGAGGGCGTTTACAGTACTGCGTATGTAATGTCGATGCACTAGGTAGGGTAGGTAGATTAGCTAGCTGTCACTTGAGAAAATTTACCCCTCATTTTTATTCGTGCTGCTTTAAAGTATTCATAATTTCAGATCTTGGGGCACTGAAACTTGTGCATGAAAAAGACTTGGCACTGATAGGTTGTGCTATCGCCTCTCCCGTTACCTTCCTTGGAAGGATAGAATGAAGCGTCTGCAATATAGCCGACGGTGCACATAGGAAACAGTACTATTTGTTTATGGCTTGTAATAAGCATTCTTGGAGATAGTAGTCCTTGTGTAGCTCACTCGCTCAGTGGTTCGACTATCACTATCTGGTCCGAGCTTGGAAGAATGGTGGAACTATGTATGATCCTCAAATCCTCTACTCCGTACTCGAGTATATTCTCCCTCTTAAGATTTTAGCTTCCCCTCACGCACCGAGGTCGAATGAGATTGCGCAAATAGTAGCAATTATGCGCGCGAGCGTACGGACCGATTATGAATCTATAGACTATGAATTAGAATTGGTCAATTGCTTGCCAAGAAGTATCTACTAGTCCACCAGTCACAGCACCAGAGCCGCAGTCCGTCGAAAAAGTGTATAGTATTTACAAAAAAAAAAAAAAAAAAAAAAAAACGTGCAAAGTGTATCTAAAACTGAACGACACAAGCGAGGAAATACGACCTAAAAGGTCTCATCCCATTTGCCAAGTTTGATATTTTATCATGTTCCTGGAGATATTTGAGAGCTAAGGAACTGGTGCCCGAAGCGTCGGGTGTAGGCTTTTCGCGTGGATAATTTTGAAAGGAAAACCTTAAAAGATACGATAATTGTTGACGTGTGATGGCAGTGCTATTGATTAGTGCGGCTTCTTTCAATGTTTTGGTGTTCTTTGCTTTTCTTTATTACGAGCTGAGCATATTCTGGGGAAGATAGTTACCTTACCTTACCAAACCAAGAAGGGCAGTTTGTCGGTTATGAACATATGATGTAAGAAATGAAGTCGTATGATTTCATTGATTGTCATTTTTGCCGTGAAGCTTGGATATTCTCTGCTGATGAAGCTTGAATTGATTCTTGATGATAAGGTGTAAATGGATGTCAAGGTATATGCTGGGTATTATAGATATATCCATCAAAATTTACAGAAAGATATCCGGGAATAAAAACAAGGCACAAAATTATATATCACCTAAGAATGAATCAAATATCGGAAGAATATAAGATCCATATCATAAAACTGTGTCTTGTCTTTCGTGCATATCATCCATCTCCAACTTACGGTGAGTTCGCAAAACCAGCCTTGGAAGAGGGGAAAGATAAGAATCTCTTGAATATCGATACTCGTCGCACCAAAAGCCCATACCTAGTACCGAATCGACCCTGATAACCCTGATCACCAAAGAAAAATTCGATGCACGTTTTCGAAAACCTGGCTTTTAAGTGGAGGTGATGAATGGACAGGGGCTCCGGAATAGGTAGCATGTGCGTTAGAACTACGTTAGGAGCTTGCCTTCAGACTTGATAGGGATGATGCTTTGGGATGGTCGCAGCGGGATGAAAATCCGTCATGTCAATGATGCGCGATCATGCTTTGAGATAGGTTGGATAGTGTTGCCGGCGGCATGTGGACGAGGAAGCTTGAATATTTGGATTGCAACTTGGATTGTGAGTGGCCTTTGAAAGGTGGAGGGGAAGTGGGTCTCTCACACAAAGATGTTGTGTACTCTGTATAATAAAATTTGAATGACATATGAATGTTGAAAAGATGGAAGAGAAGAGATGCTGGTCGATAATATTGATAATGAATGTGAATACGTGAATATGCCTTGGCAATGTTTGAAAATCGTACCATGATATGATGTTTAAGAAAATGTGACGTTTGAGAAGAGAGAAGATGGGATGTACTCGAGGAGCTTTGCGATGTAGATAATCCATCTGATGGGCAAGGAAGTAAGGAAGTGAGTGGGTGAGTATACATGGGACAATGGGATGTAACCATCCATTGGGGGAGCGTCTGTAAGATCTTACTATGAACTATCCTCACGTCAAGTCAAGGGATGATTCCAGCTGAATTGAATTCGAAGAACAAGAAACAAAAAGCACTCGAGGTAAACAAGTCCATGCCTTAAGCAGTGTAACTTTGGAAGACATCTGGAGATCTCCGATGTACATATTACTGTAGCTAGTATACCTCGAGTTAATTTAAATATTAATCACTCATCACTCATCATTCATCGTTCATATTAAATGCAATGCACGTCGAGATACCTTGTGTGTGCTGTGCCATAGCGACGGCAGCTACGAAAGGAACCCACAACCGGGAATTCATCAGAGTACCGCAAAATCCGCAAAATCCGCAAGAAAGCTGAAATTACAGATACCGATGCAGCGGAAAGATATCTCGGGACGTTTTATTCGGTTGAGACAACCATCACAACCATGACAACCTTAGCTACTATACAATTTTATGCACAGTGGATGAATAAACTGGTTTTCCAAGTCGTGGTGAAAGCGCCCAAGGAGAATAGAGTAGATCAGTAGATCATAGGAACAGAAACTTGAGGTACAGGACAAGGACAGGAGGGACCGAATGAAATTTATACAGGAACATGAGGAGAAAGAGAGTTTGAATGTCAGCACACTACTAGCAATCTTGAAAGCGAAGAAGTAATATATATGGTAATCAAATGAGAATCAAATCATTCAAAGTAGGTAGAAGAGGTGAGACGTGTTTGAGTTGACTTTGAGTTGTGCTTGTTATTTATTTATATTATTGCTTACTCTATCCTCTCTCATCCATCCATAAATCCTTCCATTGATTTCTTCTCCGATACTTCATGGGATATCTTGTATTAGTAAATTCAGCATACTCTCATGACAATTCATGACTGTTATCTTTTCAATTGCTTGAGTATATAGTACATACATATATATACAGCAACTGAATTGCCTCAATCCCAACATTCGGTCTCATTCTCAACTCCCTCTTTCTAATTGATATTTCCAGCTTTGAACCCGCTGTGGAGTATTATCCCCTCCACACATCTATCTCATCCTCACAAAGGCTTCAACCCTTCATTAACAATAATTTGATTGGTAGGTTGCAAAGCACGTTTCCGAGTGTTAAATCAAAATTGAAATCAAAAACCAAAACCCAATATCGGAACGGCTAATAACCTTAGCAGATATTTACTCCATTCTTGAAGGAGGCACTACCTGGTTTAGTACTGAGAGTGGCACTAGCACAGTTCGCATGCTGATCTATCTGTCGTGTTGTTTGCATAAGTAGGTACTCTTTTAAAGATAAAACTTCTTTCTTCAGAGTGCAGCATCGTTGAGGGTGAAAGGTACCTTCCTTGTAAGATACGGGAATATCAGCATGCTGATACTCTAGCTTGGAGTTTAGATCTTGGTGGGTTTGTCGATAAGTGCCTAGTACGGACATACTTTTGACAATACGATCGATACACGCCGCTTTTTAAATCATCAATCCGTCATCCATCAATTCGATCCAATTCAATCACAGCCTTCTTTCGAGGCGCTAAAACAGCACGATACAAGCGACTGAATCATTAATCATTAATCCTTAATCATTCATCATTCATCCCTACCACTACTTAAGCTATCAGAGCAAAAAGGAAAGAACTTCAAACTTCAAACAACACTGGCGCATGTATAGGAAATTACGAGTAGTGGGAAAGAGAATATAAGTTTCATACAGAGTAGGTATTATTATTGATTTAAGCATTATTTCGAAGAATATCTTTCAAGGATGAAGCCAGGAAGCTTCCAAGAATACTGAGAACCCGTACCGTACCCAGGACCTACAAGTAGTGACCATCCATACCAGGACCATTAATTCACAAGTGATATCCTACTAGGTACACTGGTGCTCGTAACTTAACTGAGTTGACTCCTAGGTATTCCGCTAGAGAGATATCAGACACTTCTAAACTTTGGGTATCTTTTAGCTTTATGAGTTAGCTTACAGCTAACTCCACTCCACTCCTTAGTCTCCCTACGCCTCTCATACCAAAACTCCGGACAGAATTATCCTTTCACGCCGTTCACATTGGCCTAAATCCTCGCTCGCTGCTCCGTACACTATCCTACACTACCTACACTACCCACTAGGTACCTAGGCGCAACCTTAACGTGCCTAACTAGGGTTACCATTCACCGAAAGATACCCAAAAGGTACTAGATAGTCAAATCAACTCAGGTCAAACTCCCTCACCCGCTCACTCATTTATCTACTTATTAGGTACCGACCTGTACCATACATACCAGGTACTCATCTTCACCCTATCACCTACCTCTTCCCGAACCGTCCATAATAATAGCCAATACCTACACAAATCAACTTTATCAACTTTATCCTCCTCTCCGCCAAACACTTACCAAGTACCTAGTTTACCTACCTACCTACCTACCTACCTACCAACCTAGGTACTTTTCCCGATAATAATCCCTCTCAATCCTCCCTCACTTCCCAAAATTCTAAGCCGTCTTCCCGCGTCTCCCCTACATCCTCTTCCTACCATAAAATCCTGGATTCATCGCTCCTTTGCCCATTCAATTGAATCGGAAAAAAAGACGATATAACAACTTCCTTCAACTTTCTTTGTATTTTGCTTGTGGAAAGAACTTTGAGTATAGAACATCACAAACCCACCCACCCTCTCAACTCCAAACCTAGGAAAAAAATTAAGTTGCTCCACGCATACATCTTAAAATCAGCTAGAGGCGCTTTTCCAATCACCACATCATCCAATTCTACGCCAACTGCCAAAATTACGCATTACCTATCTCGAATTTTTAAAGGCCTCAGATTGGAAGGGAACTAGCTACTCGTTTTTAGCCTCAAAGGAAAAAATCATTCCTTGATCTATAGCCTCGCAGAACACTCTAGCCACTGCAGCTTACTTGGAATATTCTCTCCTCTTAGGAGGCTTTTCTTTTTTTTTGCGACCAATTAAATTCATCTCCTAGCTGATTCCTCAACATCGTCCCCGCAGTCTCCAATTCTCATCCATCAATATGATGGCCGATGTCCCTCAGAGGAAACCAATGCCACCTGGTTTCGAAACTTCTCCTGGTGCATCATACAACAATCATAGTCGAACTCGTACTACTTCCTCCACCACCTTCCCTTCCATCAATTACCCTCCTCAACACCCACAAAGTCTTTACCCCGGAAATATGCAGATAAGCGGATTTTCTTCAAGGAGAACTCCCTCGACGGGTACCTTTTCAACGACTGCCAGTAGTGGTGGTAATGGACCTGTGCCAAATCGAAATTCTCAAGACCTGAGGCGATCCACTTCTTCACGGTCGGGAAATTTGCAACCACAAGGCTATGTGGCTCTAATGCGAAAACAAAAGGCGACGGTTTGGTGTGATAGATCGCAACGTGAGGATCCACGATTAATAGCTCAACAGAAGGCTGCAAAGGAGAGAGCGGCGGCGGCAGTTCTTGGAGGACCTTTACAAGGGAGAATATCTACAGGTGGAACAAATAGTCTTGTTGGGAGTAATAGGGTTACGGCAAAAATAAGACATCATGGGAAGGCCGGATTGGTAGGATATAGCCCTGGAGATCTCGTTGGAGGTGTAGTTGGTGTGCCAATGAGATTGAGTGCGAGTGAGGTGGAAGGCGGGGATAGTGATGATGATGGGGATAGTGGAAGAATTCTATACCATCGAAGAACTGGTAGTGGACGCAGTAGTGTTGGAAGTGGTAGAAGAGGTCTCACATACTCACGACAGTCCGGTGCAAGTTCAACTGCTGGCAGATGGAGTTCAGGTAATACACCACCAAGTGAAAGAGAGAGACGGGAATCGATTGCGGATGTGGCCGAGACTGGGGAAACTCCTGTAGCAATTGGTCATCCGAAAGCTAGGGATTACTTTGAGGGAGGCGATGGGACGAGAAGTGCAGGGGGAAGCATTAGCAGTGGAGAACGAGCGGATGGTATTGCGGATCTAAACTCGGGTGATGCCGCCAGGTTAGCAAGTAACAGCTTGCTTAAGTCATCCATGACACGAGAAAAGAGCGTCAGGAACCCTGATGAATTAAGAAGAAGGGGAAGTGTTGACGAGCGAACAACAACCATGACTCTTGGTGCTGGTCGACTGTTTATCGCCAACCCAGATCATTCGGATAGTGATTAAAAGCAAGACGGAAAGGAGGATGCATACGCCGGTTGAGAGAAGCATAATACAACAAAAGACGTGCGATTAGGAGAGGGGATACCTTTAGACGGTGGAATTCACATCACATCATGATGAAAAATAACATTACCTTGGAGCAAAGAGCAAAGCAAGCAACTGCATTTAAAAGGCGTAGCATGGGGAGTATTATGGATTACATGGCAATATCAATTTGGATTGGTTTGGTGGAGTTAGGAATTGGGCGTGCTTTTTCATGGCTGGCATACACTTTTTATACATGGTCCGTGGGAACATTTTGGATTGGGTACAAGGACTACTTTAATCATCCGCAGCATGTTTGTTGACGCCGACTTGGGGGCTCAAGCTTGAATTATTGGACTGGAATTGTTCGAACAATCGTTTTATTAGCGTTGCATTGTTGTTTGGCCCTGATATGAATGGGCAGGGCAGAGTACGAATGGAATTGGCATGGGGTGTCGCCTAGATGGCACATGCTTGCTTGCTTGCATACATACACATACTTAGGAGGTGATAATGGGATATTGAATGATGAAGATGAGACTGGAATACTTAATTGAATTGAATTGAAGTGAGTGTGAGTGTGAATGTGATATATGTGCTTTAACTTGTGTATATCTATCTATCTATCTATTCTTCACCCGAACTCATGAATGAGAACTCAAACCCCATATAGAGATGGTCTTAATTCGCAGCCCTCGGAAGAAATATAAAAATAAAATGCTGTGCCCGTTCATTCATCATATACCCACGGGTTCATTCATCTGATTAATACATTTATACATTTGATACATTTGATACATTTGATACATTTGATACATTTGATACATTTGATACATTTGATACATTTGATACATTTGATACATTTGATACATTTGATACATTTGATACATTTGATACATTGATACATTGATACGGACTTTTGTGTTTTATGAAGATTTTTTAATTTGTGTTTGGATTTGTTTCGGACTTGTTGGTAGCTAGGTAGGTAATTTCCGGGGTTTTTGGACTTTGTTTTGTGAATTTGTAAGTTTGTAAGTGGATGTGGATGTGAAAGTGTGGCTGTGGGAATGTGGGGATGTGGCTCGGGTGGAGAGGATGGATACGGGTTTGTGGATGGATTTATTGAGATTGGGATTGGGATTGATGGGTTGGGATTAGATTGGACGGGAATAAAGAATATATGTATGTATTATGTGGCAATAATAAAGATTTTATGAAAGGATACCTAGAGCTGTCGTAGATACAACTTATTATTATTATTAGGTAATATTACGAATTCGAGGCTGTACTCTTCGTACCGTACGGATCAATTCTCAGCCACATCGACCCTTGCTGCTTGTTGAAACCGGAAGCGGAATCTGCCGCTCTTGACGCGAAACCCACTTTAGGAAGACGCGATGGATGGTTCATCACGGTACGGTCGAATCGACGCGTTTGTTGGGTTTGACTGACAACTTAGAGACAACTTTTAACAATTTTAACACTTTTAACACTTTTAGTGGTTTGATGTGGGATTTGTTATCGAAATTCGAATTGCGGCGGATTGCGAAATAAGGAATAAGATTAAGAATAGATAAATTGCTACCGGGGGTTACGATTCGATACAATACGATACGATCGATATTTGGTATTGCCTTTCGAAAAGGATAATACTTAGACTTGCTGGGGTCCGGCTTTGATTTTGTGATTATTGGATTCGGAACGGATTGTATTGTATGGGTTGGAGGTATTGGGGATCAGTTATTTACGAAAGTACACTACACTACACACAGTGAATAACTATCTGGACGAGAAATTGCACAAAACCGAATTGAAGAATCAAAATCATGGCAACAACGAAAGAGTCACCGAGATCGCAGAAGAGGGATTTTGCGGAGTCTTTTGGTTTAATTGGACCTTTTCATGTTGATGAGAATGAGCGGGCTCATCTTGAAAATCAAAACACGCAAGCAGAACCCGATATTCCCCTTCCATCCAAGGAAACCGCAGATATATCCGAGTCCAAAACTACATCTGAATCCCTACCCACACCACCTGTTAGCATACAATCGATTAAACGCGAACGGGAAAGGGAAGTTTCGCCTGCTGATAGTACGGCTAGTTCTTTGAGTGATTTGGGATCGAGGAGTACACCTAGTTTGAGAGGGGTTTCGCCAATGGTTGGTACGGCTTTTGCGGTGTTGAATGGAAATGGCGATGCGGGTAAGATGCCTCCGGCTAAGAAACCGAAGTTGACGTTTGCGGAAAAGGAGGCGAGGTTGATTGAGAAGAAGTTTAGGGAGGAGGAAAGGAAGAGGGAGCGGGAGAAGAAGGAGAATGATAAGCAGGCACAATTGGAAGAGAAGAGGAAGAGGGATAGGGAGAGAGATGAGGAAAAGAGGAAGAAGGATGCTGAGAAGGAGGAGGAGAAGAAACGAAAAGATGCTGAGAAAGAGGTTGAGAGGAAGAGAAAAGAGGAAGAAAAAGCTGCGAAGGAGGAAAAAAAGAGATTGAAGGATGAGGAAAAACGTAAGAAGGATGAAGAGAAACAGAGAATCGAAGATGAAAAGAAGAAAAAGGCGGCAAGTCAAAAGACTTTATCTTCTTTCTTTGGTACTCCAGCTTCGACAAAAGCTTCAAAAGATGAAGTCTCAACAAGTCCTACCTCATCAAGTCTTACCACGGCTGTACCCCCCACAACATCCGCACATTCGACTCCGAGTAAGAAAGAGATTTCACCATATGAAAAAATGTTTCCAGCTTTCTTCGTCCAAAATGGCGTTAGGTTGGCACCGATTAATCACTTTGAGAGAGATGATGAAGGATCACAAGCTTTACAATCCACAATTGATTCATACATCTTGGGTAATCGAAGTCCCAGAAGAAAACGAGATTTTGATGCTATGGAACTCTTTCATCTCTCATCAAGCAACTCAGTAAAGCGAGGAAAATCAATTGTTGCTGTACGAGAAATTATGGCGGAATTATCTGGCAATCCTTCAAAGCCTATCGACCTCACCACCGACTCTCAAAACTCTCATATCAAACGCACAATAACTCAGCTCAAGGATGTTCCTATGAAGTTTTTGAAATTTCAAGAAGATGTTAGACCTCCATATCAAGGTACATACACACATACTCCTATGTACGGAATATCAAAATTAGCACGCAATCCCATGAGACGCGATCTTCCGAATACAAATTACGATTATGATAGTGAGACGGAATGGATTGAGGATGAAGATGCCGAGGATTTGAATAGTGAAGGAGAGGAGGATGAAGAGGGTCTTGATGATGCTGAGGATATGGATGGATTTCTTGATGATGAGAATGATGATTTATTGAATTCGAGACGTGCATTGGGAGGAATACAAGGTGATTTAGAACCAGTTAGTACAGGATTGTGTTGGGAGGATAGGAAGAAGAGGAGTAGAAATGTTAAGATGATGCCATTTAGAATGGAGTTTATTATTGGTAAGTTTATTGTTTTTTGAATTCTTCACTGTTCTTTTGGAGTTTTAAGGAATCAATACTAACATAAAACTAGATCCGAAAACCAAATCTATGGATCCCTTCTCAACACAATACTGGGAACCAATCGCACCACCCTCCCAAACTGGAACAATGGATCCTCCCCGTCTCCCACTAAACTCCATGAAATCAACCAACACTCTTCAAACATCTCCCTCTCCCTCAACCTCTAAATCCAACAACAAAATCTCAAATCAAAAGACCGTTCCACTTTCATTCTTCGGCTCTTCTCCTTCCCCTTCCGTATCTTCATCTCTCCCTATACATCCAGCCGCAGGAGACAACAAACCTAAGAAATTACTACCAGATTCCGATCTTCCTGCATTCAAAGAAGCTATTCAAGGAAGTGATTTGAGTAAAGTAGGATTGGTAGAAGTACTGAAGAAAAAGTTTCCAGGTAGGACTGGAGGCGCGATTAAGGCGACGTTGGATTTGGTGGCGAGGAGAGTGGGTGGGAAAGAGGCCGAGAAGAGATGGGTTTTGGTTTGAGCTCGGGGTTGAGTAAGGAGGGTAGGATGTTTTTGCTGGGGTGTCTTTGTTAGGTGTCTATAGATGTGGATATCTGTGGTGAATGGTCTTCTTATAAGAAGAATAGATTATGAGGAAAGGATATTTAGAGTAGCGGATATGTACGAGGAGTTTTGGCGTGCGTGTGCTTAGAATAGATTAGCTAGGTGCTGGTGCTTGCTTTATTGTATGTTTTGGGACTGATTGGCTGACTAGCTGGCTGGGAGGACTGGTTGGGTGGATTGACTGGTATTGATGGGGGTAAATAAATAAATGATGTGCTGGATGAATGGATGGATGGATGGATGAATGGGCTTTGATGTAATAAATAGTATTTGTTTGGGTGATGTGTATATATTTATAGTGTAGTATATTATATTATATATGAGGGTATAAATATTATGATTTATTTAAGTGATTTGTATTACTTGAATATAGAATTTATAAAAGAAGTACATTGATTGAAGTTTATTTGTTGATGATTTTTATATTAATAATTATTTTTGATTCAAATATAATTATTTTTCTCACTGTAATAAAGCTATAAATGTATATTATTCTATAATGCCATTTACATAATAAGTAGAATTTTTTATATCCCTTCTTTATGATTTTATTATAAGAAATAGAAACTATATATATAAAAGGGGAAAGAGCTGGAACTCAATGATTCTATGACTTTCTTGAGGAGGTTGGTTACAAGACATTTATTCCATTACAAATTGTTCGGCGTACAAGTTTTTTCATCACACATAATAAATGCATAGCAATTAAATGAAAGAGATCACCATCGAAATCTAAAATTTGATTGGAATTTCTCTCTTCATATTAGTCATCTACCCGGAGATGATTATCTTTCTCGACTATTTGATATGAAGTTCCTACAGGTGGCTTGTACACACTCTAGACACCATAATTATCCCCTCAACAAAAAAACATATCCCAAAAAACCACAAATTCCACACCGAGGCCGTCATTAAATCCTCACTCATCACACTTTTTCTTCTTTAAAGAACTTGTCACCTCCTTAATCAGCCTTCGAAGCGCAGAACCAGGGGCCTGATCTTGGAACTCGGCGGTTTTATCAGTTGTCTTCTTTGTCCCAGCATAATCGTTATGGCCCAAAGATATATATATGCTACTCCTATCAGAATACATATAATAGTATCCTGATCATTTTGAGAAGATTCGTTGGGAAGACAAGTATCTAAGACAACAACTCTGGTTTTGCGTCTGGGATATTTCAAGGTTCCAAGTCCATTTAATTTTGAAGCTTGTAGTTGTAGTGATATATAGCTCAGTAACAAGTTCTTTTTATTATCGAGATCTATTCCCGAAATCATCGCGCGTGCTAATAGATGTTCGTGTTTTTTGCAAATGTCAGGCAGGGTCGTTTTTATGGAGGTAAAGTCCCCTATCGCTACGATGGTGTTGAGAGCTTATGATCTCCTATCTTCTTTCATAGTGGATACAGTGAGATATCTCGATATCCGAGGAACAATCTCCTTGACTAACAATCTATGTATGAGGTTAACACAAGAGGACTTTTACAAATTGCATTTTCTTTTTTTTAGAGTAGCTATTAGCCCAGACTTGAACAAGCTTTCCAAAGCGATGAATATGCACCTAGTAGGGGAGGTTAGCGCCCGATCCATCGCTGCTATCATCTTCGGTATCCTCCAAATCCTCAATTCCATCGTTGCCTTTCCACCAACAATAGAACTGCTCGATTTGAGTATCAAACAAATGGGCGAGAGCTGAAAGATTGAGTTCAAAAAGTACAGTCACAATAACATCAACTGTGGACAAATCATGTGGAATATTGTCTCTTTTCACCGCGTCCCACATGATTATGTGTGGTTTCCCCGAAGGAGCGTTAGCCGGGAGATTGATTTCAATTTTATGATCCACGTCGACTTGTTTTACAGTCCTTTCTTTGATATTCGGGTCGGACATTTTTGGATGCAAGGAATAGGGTGAAAGTATTGGTAATAAAGTTGAAATTGTGGAAGATTCCACTCTTAAGCCTTGAGCTTTGAGAGATGAGAAAAGCATTCATTGGAAAAGGCAAATTGGCGGAATCCGGATCGGGTTGTAGGTACCAGCCGTTTGCACGGAAACGTGCTGAAGTATTTTATAATTCTATCAAAACCAATGGCCAAACAATCAATGATTAGAGATCTGCGGTAGCTTATCTCAGGAAAAGGAAATAGAATTTGCAGTAGCTGCAGGAGCCTCGGAAAAGAAACTAATTCAGAGGGTCATCGTAGGCATCCATGCAGCCTCCTAGCCTTGATATGTACCTATCCGATTGAGAAATCCAGTGATTTATTTTTTGAGGAAATTCTAGAAGAAGGAAATCGAGACAATTAAACCCTTCAGTGCCTCAAGGTTGCTTAAATAGGAGCCTGTTTCGCACTTTGATTGCTCCTTTATCCTCAACCTTCATGTGCAAGGTCAAACCAGTCTACTTTCTGCCTTTATTTCATCTACAACTTCCAGCGATGCTCAAAGGAAACATGGGGATTGGATTTTGTGATCCAGTTGACCTTAGTATCAGCTTGACCCTACCGCAAATGCTCCTCGAGTACATCCGCACCTCCTCGAAACCAAAGGATACAAGTCGGAGCAGGTCCAGGTCCCGAAAAATTTGTCTTTGATTGACGTCTTAGCAACCATAATTTTCGAATGGAACCCCAGAGCGCTCCATCACCTCCTCGATATGGAAATCGAAGAATTCTATTGTGATGCGGATTGGGAAGAAAATAGCTTGAAGGATAGTACTCCCGGAGAGCGTGCTAAGTTTGTATACATATACCGCTTTGGCGAATATGTCAGAGTTGCAGTGAGCTTCTTTCAACAAAAAGGTACAGTGAAAAGCTATTTGCTGACCACACAATCGGATTCGGAGTACCCATTCGGACAGCGAAATTTCTTATCGTATTTGCAATGGCGGAAAATTGGAGATAAAAAGCGCTCAACTTCGCCAATCTTTGGAGTATAACGACTATTACATCACCCGGCTTCCCAAATACTTAGACGATTGTAAAGATATTGAGGAAGAAATGGCACAAGATATGGCTAAGAGGTTTTGGGTGGGGGGTGTCCTAGAAGACAGTCGTTTTCCTTTGTGGAATTACATGTCCCAAGCTGAGAGTGCGAAGGAGAAGTCAGATGGACGACGTTCAAAGGAATCCAAAGATATCAGATTAGAGTACGTGTGATAGCAGTAGTACGAAAAGCTCCGACACCCTGATGGATGAAGATCCAAATGTGAAGACCACTGAGCGCAAAGCTCAAGTATGGTGCGCCAAAACTCGACACAAGAACGGGCAGGATAGTTGAGAGAGAGAAATCGGGAGGATTGGTGGTGAGAATACTATCTCAGTTTACAGGGGAAATAACTTGCGAATGTGATTTAATGAAATAAAAATTCAGCATGATATGAAGTGGATAAGCATAACGCAGAAGACACAAATGCTATCACTATGGGTTTTCACGGATAGCACACATTAATAGTTGGAGCTTTGTTCAACACATCCGAACCATTTTAGAGGGAATAAGAGTTGACGTTTCTTAATACACTTGTGGGCTTCATTATCAATCGTTCTCGCAGGTTAATATGCCGAGAGTGAAGAACTCAGGGATCGTGTAGACAATCTCGAGGAAATTCTCAAGGATATGAAGTTCGACATAATCATATTCAGAGTATCACAATGACAAGGAAAGACTTTTCACTGGCGATAAAATAGAGAAGATACTATAGTATTTCTAAAAATATGAAATTATATGGTAGAATTCTATGAACAAAATATTACACATCCAATCTATCTATCTAGTGAAGACTTCTCCGTCAAGTGATCTACTCTTGACCTTACTTGGTCCCTTTTTCATCTCCGTCCACGTGCCATCAGCATGCCAAATTCCTGCTTTTGTGTAATCCCAACTTCTAGATCCTTGCATATATCCAAATCTAAAGTATTCAGGTTGTAGTAAAGAAGAGTCTTTATACCAAACGAAATGCTTATCACTTGCGAATCCTTCATCCACGTATCCTCTAAAACGTTCTACATCATTGACTAGCACACTGATGCCATCAAATGGTTCAGTTGGTGGGAGCCAAGAAAAGGATATAGAAGAGAAATTGCTGCCCATTACAATTTCTGGATATGAAATATGTGGTAGCGCGGAATTATGATTCGCATCTCCTTGAAGTGCTGCGGGGGTTTGAAGCACAGGATCAAATCCCCATCGTGCAATGCCATTGATAAACAAGCCAACCAATAAGCCTTGATAGAGAAGTGCGGGTCTAGTTTGCATACTTGTACCCGGCAACAGCAGTAAGGCAAGAATATAATGATGTATTCGAAGACTGAGGCCAGGTATTAGGAGAGATATGAGTATGGCAGCTATAAATACGCCATATAACCCGAGAAAGCGAATTAGCCGACCTTCCATACGGAAGAATGTTGCTTGTTGCACAATAATGATGATAAGTACCATAATAATAAGCGCCAAAGCAAGTTTGGCACCTGGCTGTTGATTAATATCGTGAGCATTCAACCGTTGAATAGGAATCCACTCAAAAGTATAATTTGACAATGTGCCAACCCAAGCCGCCCCAAGCCATAAAATAGTCTTTTCAATTTGAGCTGTGAGCCCACGCAAGGCACGTTCAACACCCATATATTTGTATATGACAAATGCGCAAAATGCTGCAGGAAGAAATTTCCCTAATATGTTCGAGACTAGTCCTGCCATGGTATCATGATTAGGTGGATCAGAGCCAAGACCAGTATGAGCAAAAAGTCCGGTAAATATGGAAAAGAAAAATACACCGGGAGATGTAGTGAAGATCGATAGCAATACAGTGAACGTGACAGACACAAATAGTAGCGACCACCGCGAATCTTTAGCCTTGCAAGTGATTCCTTCTTGGAATGCAAATGAGGATGGGAAGGTTGAATCAAAACCAATGCTTTTGATACCATGCTTATTCGAACTCTGATAACTGTGGCGTTCCCCAACTAAATTCACAACTCCACAACCTCCTTTGATATTGTCAATGACCCCAGCATGAATTGCAGATCCACAAATAAAGCTATCACTTCGATAGACTGCAGTGGTATCGTTATCTGTAGGCCCGCCAATGACGAAAGGCCTATAGATGATTTCCTGCGCTCCAACAGCTCGAGGATTAAGTACTTTTACACTGGCACAATTTGCAGGACAACGAAATGCATATCCACTTCCATTGAATGGACGACAATCGTTTCCATTTAGTCCACACCTATTCCCAGCTACCCAATATGTATTCCCGCATCCAATATTGCCGGGAACTCCCCATTCCTCTATTTCTGTAGCGAATGTACTCTGGCGTAAGACAAGAGCAAAAGTCAGAATCCAACAAAAGTAATATGCTACGAGAAGTGATATCCTACGCCTCCTCTTGGGTATGTATCGATCCAAAAGTCGCAATGGAGCTTCTTGGAACCATGGAAACCATGGCTTGATAACATTTATGCGCAGAGGCTCTGGCCCTTCAGCCCAACGAATGGCTTGTTTACCGATACGTCTGATCGGAAGTGGAACCCATTTTAGATATCGATAGGAAGACTGGTCTTGTAAGAAACGTGGAGTAGGAGGAGAATCATCGTCTGAAATTTCGTTCATCGGCAAAAGTTGGGTGAGTGTAGAATCTTCAATTGGATCATCAGGATGGTTATTATCTGTGTAATGCTGCCTCCCATTGACTCGACCATTCTGATCTCCCATATTGTCAAGATTGAAATGGCTTTATTATCCGAGATTTCCGAATGTTGTGTCTGCTTCCCTGCCGATTTATCACCAATCGGGCATGTTACACCCGGATCTAAATGATATTTAAATGTTTGCAGCAAGTTCAAACCCTACAGAGGTGTTATAAAATGAATGAAAAGAAGAGAGAGATGTTTGGTAAAGTATTTGTGATATTGATAATTGAGTGTATTGAAGATAGATTTACTCCTCCCTTCCAAACTCAAGAATGTTCGGAATTATCCTCTGTCGCACAGACTTTCCCGGATAAGGATAAGGATAAGCTATCTTATTCACCGAAGTAACCATTTATAGACTAGCGTTCTAGGAACAACACGCTAATCCTGTTCGGGCCGTCAGCGCACGAAAAAATATACCAAGTAGTAATCTAGTCAGATAGATACGACAGTCTGTTTTCCACGCCAAAGTACAGTTTTGGTCCAGAATCACAAAAATTGAGATGTTTCTAAAGTCTGCAAGTGCCAATCTCTAGAGTTCGGACGATCTGTATATGAATTGAGGGTTGCTGGCCTGCAGAAAACTCAACATCTTGGCGATTTATATTACATCAACCTCTTGTTCGACCTTCGTATTTCGCATATCAACATGTCTGCCATCAATATGGCTCCCAAGAGCTCTACAAGGCTCGGATTCCAGATCTTGAGTACTCTGGATCATAATACCTCTGGACCAAGACTCGGGAGAATTACTGTGGAAGGACGGAAAGATCTAGAAACTCCAGATTTTCTGGCCATTACTTCTCGGGGCGTTATACCTCATATGACACCAGATGTAATTGCAGCACATGCACGGCTACCAGGTGTTCATTTTGCATTGGAAGACTGTAGGTTCCATTTCCTTCCTTGTATCACGTGTTTATTCATGTTCGTTCTGTCCTGATCTTTTCTAGTCATAGAAAAGAGCAATAAAACAACCATTTCTCCTATTTTGAATTTCCCCGGAGCGGAGCCACCTCTTCATGCTTTTACCGGCTTATCCAGATCTGCTATATCTATTTTAGCACCGAGACGGACACCAGCTGTTACAGCTCCTAATGGCAATAGCAACACTGCCATTTCTATTTTCACATCGACAGGATTCCAACCTCTTTCTAATAAGTCCTATGTTGATTCAATCGAAACTTTATGTCCAGATATAGCGATTGCTCTGGCTGATATCCCCTATAGCACAGTAGCTGGAGCAAAACGTACCGCCAAGATGGGCGACAGAAGTGGGCAGTGGCTGGCTCAATTGTTGTCTGACAAAGTCAAGGAACAGCCTGTATTTGTACCTATATTACCTATAGATTACCAAAGTCAATGGGAATATATAAATCAAATATCCGATGAGCTCGTGGATGAGATCTCAGGTCTAGCTTTCTATGACTCTAATCTTCTTCCCGAAATTCCAGAGACAACAACGATGTCTTCACTCCCGCGCCTTTCTTTAGATGAACCTTCATCTCCTCATCATGTCCTCCGCCAAATATCCCTCGGAATGGATATCTTCACCATCCCATTTATCAATTTCGCCACAGATGCCGGAATCGCACTGACCTTCGTATTCCCATCTCCAAACACCTCTCAATCCTCAACCGAAGGTAGCTCAGTCCTTCCACTCGGTATCGACATGTGGACATCAGTCCATTCTACCTCCCTCCTCCCCCTCTCCGAATCCTGCAAATGCTACGCATGCACTTCCCACCACCGCGCATTCATCCAACATCTACTATCCGCCAAAGAAATGCTCGGCTGGGTCTTACTCCAAATCCACAACCATTACATCCTCTCGGAATTCTTCACCTCGATACGACAGAGTATCAAAGAAGGCACATTCGAGAAAGACTGCGAGAAATTCGCTAGAATATATGATAGCGAGCTTCCGGAAAAAAGCGGCCAAGGTCCTAGAATGAGGGGTTATCAGTATAAAAGCGAAGGACCGGGTGAGAGAAAGAAGAATAAAGCTGCTTGGAATAATTTGGGAGCTGGGGCTAGTGGCACTGGGTCGGAAGTTGCGCTTGTGCCGGATGAGGACTCGAAAGAGCTTGAACAGAAAGGCTTTGCGGAGAAATTGGAAAATTAAATTCTGGGGTAGTGGTTACCTATACTATTATGTCATTATCATGTGTGAGAGGAGTAATAGATTTTTCGAAGACATGAAATACCACCCGAATCACTAAATCTGTCACAACTGTAGATGAAATGACCCTCGCATAAGGACTACGCTTTTTTCACAATTCTATTAACAAATTACCAATCATTACATCTGAGGTTGAGACCGTAATCAGTATCATTGAAGCATTCCTGATCAAGTGAAGGACGGATCAAATAACATTCAACGAATTCGTATGATCGATCAAATCTGTAGTCTTTCATTCAAGCTACACATGACCATCTACTCAGCAAGATTACAACACATCCAAACTCTAAACAAAGTTCTTCTTAGTAACATTTCCCGAAGTGGCCGCCCCCAACTTAGAACCCCCATGTTGTTTAAACCAATCTATAAATTGGAACATGCTAGCCTTAGGTATACGTTCCAGGGAAGTCTGGTTTAAATACTGCAGACCAAACTTCACCTTGCTTCCGACGAACCACTCGAAATTATCGAAGATGGCCCATCCGAATGCTCCGGTGACATTCACACCTATAATCATTGATTAGCACTTATTGTTTCGGGATGTTTGCGAACGAATAGGGGAAACTCACCATCTACAACTTTCGCCTTGAGGATATTGTCCAAAAATCCCCTGTAATAATCTGCTCGTCTCAAATCCCATAGGACCTCGCCGAGAGTACTCATCTCCCCTTCAAATGGCTCCGCGAATCCAAATTCGCTCACTACGATATCTCCCACTGTTGGGAACAACTGTTTCGTGATAACATTGAGGAATTCGCGGATTCCATAAGGTGTACTAGCTAACCAGTTTACTCCCTCATCACCAGCTGGTCCTAGCGGGAAGCCATCCGCAGCTAGAGATGTGGAGCTTGCGCATTCGGGATATGCGGGATGCGAGGAATTGGACGCGCAGGCTGCGGAACCCCCGGCAATAGGGGTAGCGTAGTAGCCGGTGTAGCCGTCGATGGCGAAGAAGTCGCAACTTCCCTTGATCAAGTCTTTTTCTTCCTGGGTAAATTCTGGGAGTAAAGATCCCAATGTTTCTTTCAACATGGGAGAGTAATCACCGTCGCGCCAACAGCCCTGGAACCAACCGAGAACGAATTCATAATTGCGTGCCACAGCGTCGACATCTGCTGAGGAGTTACTTACGGGTGCAAAGTAGTTGCCGGAGTTTTTGAAACTGATGCGGCCGGCGCCGTGAAATTCTTCGTGGTACCACTTTGCTACTTTCGCGTGAGCGAGGATGGTATAATGGGAACAGGCGATACGAGCTGGTAGGCCACCAGTGATGTTGTGATAGGCGGGGTACATCCCTTCGGTGGTACCGGCGTGATAAAGGGAGTATTGCCAGTTGCAGTATTGAGCTGTGAATTTAGGTCAGTAAGAGAAACATTGTGTGGTAGGAGCCTTCATACGCTCGTTGAATGTATACCAAATTGGTACATATTTGTCATATCTGCTGATAACAAACTTGGCATAATTGAAGTAGTCATCCACAATTCGCTCATCGGTCCAGGCTCCATAGGAGTTGAATAGTGCGAGCGGTGTGTCTGAAATGTGTTAGCATATAACAAGTCAACTACAAGAATGATGAAGTACCCCAATGAAACAAGGTGACGACAGGTTTAATTCCATTAGCGACCATGCTAGCAATAACATCATCATAATGCTCGACACCCTGCTGATTGACAGGTCCGTTGCCGAATGGGAAAAATCTTGGCCTGGATTCGGAAATATTAGCCATAGGGTCCTCAATGAGACACATATGACACTTACCACGAAAATGACGGAGAGAAGTATGGAATCCCTAGCTTAGCAAGACGAGCAAAGTCTTGCTTGTATAGCCAATAATGACTAGCTACGATGTCACCAGTCGAATCGTCTGAGACAACATTACCTCGATGCGCGAGCAAATCCCAAATCGAAGGACCTTTGCCTTCATCTTTCGCAGCTCCTTCTGTCTGATATGCGCTCGCTGCTAAACCCCATACGAAATCATCGGGTAGGGTTTGGTTATCGAGGGAAGTATCATAGGTTGGCACCTGTAAAAATCAGATATGCGCGATTGAATGGTAGGATATTAACATACTAAAGGGTGGAAGATTCCTGGGCGAGCATACGATGATGGTTCTGGTGTTGGCTCCACCGTCGCTGTGATCGGTCCTACTGCAATTGATCCCACCTGGTTCCATAGCATTGCCAATTCCTCATTGCTGTACTGGTAGTTCAATGTTGTCGTCGCAGCAGAGATATCGTAGACTTTGGTTGAATAGGTATCGGTAGCAGTAGGGATTGGGGAACTTGTACATTGTGCCAAGCGAACGAAGATATGGATGCCAAATAGGCAATTGATCTTGGATGAGGGCATCTTTCCAAAGAACCAGCAGTAGTACCTAGGTTGAGAAGCAAAGCTATTTTCTTTCGCAACTTGCGAGCTTGAACTTTATAGTTTCTTCAATGTGCATGTTCTGGGGCTTAGGATGATCTCATCACCCGGCTAAAATCCTGAGAGCGGGGGCACAACGAGCTGTTAATGTGTCTGGGGGCAACCTGCATGTAAACCATGTAAAGACATATTAATTAATTGATTTATAACCGTCAAACCTAACTTAAGGCAGGAAGAAAAGTGCATTCGGAAGGCGGAGGAAAAGCCCCCGAAGCTTTACTAGAATCATAGTCTCAGACTCTCAGGAGTCCCAGCCATTCAAACTTCGAAGGTTGTAGGCTGTGGTTCCCGTAAATCCCGCACATCTCTTGGCACATGGAGAATTGTTTTTCCAAGCGGGACTTAAGGTTAGAATAAGAGCTCTGCCATGTCATATAGAAATGTGCACATTGACCGCAATTTGAAGATATGGAGACATGAGCAGAGTCGGTGGCTGGACTTGGATGGTGGCAATCAATCAAAATCTTTCTTTCCCCAATGTATTTATATTAAAATGTATATAGTAAAGCAGGGATGGGGGCTGCCGTGGATATGTTGCTTCACGCCCGAATGCTTATAGTAACCAGCTTGAAGACTGGCAGATATAGATCATAAAATGAAACAACAACGAGATTAATTTCCTCGAGGTCGAGATTAACGACAGATCCTTCCTTCTCAGAACATATGGTATGACGATACCAATAGCATAACGCTACCGGCGTGTCATATCCCCTAGCGCTACCACTTTGAAGATCAAGCAGCGTCGTGGATTGATGCTCATGAAGAGGGAAAGAAGAACTTTTGTCGCGAAAATTTCATTAATAAAGGACCCGAGTTTTTGAGTCACGTGATGCATTTCCTTAGTCATTTGAAGTCTTTGAAATTCTCGAGATTTGATTTGTTTATTTCCACAAGGACATAACCGAGGCGCCGTGAACCGATACCTTCCGCATCAACGACGATAATATCAAGATCTCTAGTATCGTTGCAGCATTTGTGAATTCATCCCTTTCAATTGTTCTGCGATAACGTCAGGCATATAATCAATATAATCAAAATGTTTTCACAAAGAGCGACTCAACAATCGCTGCGCCGGCGTAAGTTCCCCCGCTTTTCTGGAACCATCCCACCTCAAAAGCAAGACCCCATTTACTAACAGTCTTTATAGTTGCTGCTGGTCAGCCATCACTCATCTCCCAATTAGCCATGAGGAGGCTCGCAGCTCCTGCAGCCATCGGCGCATCAATGCAAACTAGGTTTGCCCCTCCAATGCGCGCAAGCTTGACAGCAACTAACATTCTCCAAAGACCAGTAACCACCCAAAAGTTGACTCCCAAAGATAGCTACAACATCCTAGTCGAACAACGTAAACTCCGACCTACCTCCCCCCATCTCACAATCTACCAACCTCAAATTCCCTGGATCATGTCTGGGCTCTTCCGTATCACCGGCTGTGTTCTCTCGGGAGGTTTCTACGTTTTCGGTGCTGCATATCTTGTTTCGCCTTTATTCGGATGGCACTTGGACACTGCCAGTATGGTTGCTGCATTCGGAGCTTGGCCTTTGGCTGCGAAGGTTTTGGCTAAGTTCTCGGTGGCTTTACCGTTCACATACCATTCTTTCAATGGATTAAGACATTTTTCTTGGGATATGGGAAAGACTTTTAAGAACGCTACGGTTGTTAAGACTGGATGGGCAGTTATTGGTTTAAGTGTTAGCAGTGCTTTGGCTTTGGTTGCATTCATGTAGGTCAAGGTCAGCTTGGGGTGGGCAGGGGAGCAGGGCGGGCTGGGAGCGCTTATTGAAAAAACGAATAAAACATAGGCAACAATCATTTTTGTGAAGGGACTTGAAGGATGCCATGGTGCCTGAATACATAGGTAGAACATCAGTCGTATTATGTGTACGTTGATCTTTGATTCTCCTGGTGGCATAAGTCATACAGGCCAAATTTTGCGCTGTATGGAAATATAAAATGCAAAAATATAAGACAGCACCATCGCCAGCAGCTCTTTAAACCATACCAGTTTTTGCACCAAAACCAAAAATAAATCCCCGTCATGGATCCGGCTCACTACTTCATTATTAGACAATGATGATATTGTCGAGTGGCAACCCATCTACAAATCATGTCTCAAAATTAATCTTTAGACAAATGAATATTCATTGAACTTGAAAACCCATACTCCCAGGGCGTTTGGTTGGAATGTTCTCTGCGTAGATAAATATTTGGTCGCCTACGTTGGTGGCATTCCATTTCGGACCAGGCTGACTAGTCGAATTATGGTGATTATATAATATCGTGTCATAATTTAAATCACTGCCAGGATCAATTTTGCGAATTTCCAATGGTATTTGCATCCACTTTGTAGGATAGGCTGCGTGATGTACACCTATCCCGATTCTGCGTCTATACAGATCAATATTCATAAAGCTCGGTGGCTCATCGGATTTGAATGCTAATGTGTCACAGCGCTTTGCTCCCAAGAGATCGCTTTCCCAGAATTTGAAGCACTTGTTATAAGAGCATCGCTCTATGGATCGCACAAGTACCGGCCTCTTACGGAGTCTCCAAAGATTGTCTTCGAAGTCGCAAGAGTTGAGTTGCAATTGGTTTTGCTCTTCCCAAGGGGACTTGGCAGGCTCTCGTTCCATCCAATTCCACTGATTGGGCTTAGGAGATGAGTACTGGTATTTATTCGGTACTTCGGGCTTTTTTAACGTAGCTGCCCGATCCAGAACTTCACTTAGCTCATCCTCTGACCGCCAATTTTTCTGCCTCACCTCCTCGTCCAGCAATCGTTGGGCGTGGGTCACCTTATCCCCAGTTTTGAAATATTCTGCTTTGATTGATTTCGAAATTTGCATGTGTCTGCGGATCTCATCCTCGTAGGAATGGGTGTAAAGTGAGTTAGCCTTCCTAACATATGCTATTGTTGCTTGATTAGTGCTATGCTCAATTCGACACAGACTTGCGCTTCTGCCTCACCTTCCTGAAATATGTTCGAGTCGTCATCTTCTTCTGCTTCAGAGTGACCGACCTCAACAGTCTCCAAGGATAAAACCTGTGCGTCAATGCCGTCTGGTTCTTCTCCGTCCTTGTCTCCATTTTTATCTCCGCTACCATTGCCTTTGTCATTTCGGCCTTGTTTGCGCTCATCTGGACTATCTTGATCTCGATCCCCTTGAACATTAAAGCCAATCCTGTAGCTCCTATCAAATATATTCCTTGCTCCGGATTCCTGGAATTCCTTGTTTGATGGACCCTTTCCTCTCCAGCCTACGGGGATTTTATTTGCGGCAGGCTTCAGTGCTTGTCCGCCATCAAGATCACTACGGGTCAAAGTTGGCTGCTTCCGAGCATTTCCTTCCAGTATCTCTTGTTTAAGGAGATGAGTAGTACGTTGCCTAAAACGTCCTGGCATTTTGAAAGCGATGTGCTTAAGTTTTTACCTTGGCTTGAATAACCAGGCGGGACCTCAAATGATATAGGCACAATAGAGGCAAAGTAGCCTGATGTGGCGGAGTTCATATTGAGGTGCCCATGAAGATTGTACTACATCTCTATATCCACAGCACAGACGCATTTCAAACATGGTGTTCTACCTGTATACTCAATCGTATGCGAGGGAAAGGCTCTATTGTAAGCATGCACACAGAAGAACCTACGATGGATGGGCCATCTCTGTTCGATAGTGAAACTGCTCCTTTTCAACAAAGCTCCAACCAGAACTATCAACAGAATCCGACCACCCTGTGTTTATTCACAATCCAGGCAATAGCACAAAACAGCCTGATCATGCATAAGCCAATGCAACCATAGCCTATCACTAGCTGCAGGGTGCGTGGGCATAAGCAAAGCCTCACCGGCACACCGGCACACTGATTTCTTGAAAATGCATGAAAGAAGTTATGATGATGATTTTCGATAGATAAAAAAGGGAAATGACGATACCAGAGTATCTCTCTGGATTTGCCGAATTTTCCCACTTCATCGCAAGCGACGACGTACTCTCTATATATCGTCGTTTTGAAACTTTAAGTGCACGCAATAATCTTTATCTACAAGCTGAACTCCAGTATCTTGAGTTCCAACTCAATCAGCTGGACGAGGAAGATGCCCTTTTCATCAAAACGGCTGCACCAGGAAGTGGAAAGAATAACGTTGAAGAGGCGGCGCGATTATGGGAAAGTTTCTCTGCTCAAGTTGATGCGGGAATCGATCGCCAAGTGAAGCGAATGGTTCTTATTAAACGAATTCGAGAGCTTATGAAAGAATATGGTTATTATTTCAATCGCCTCTAAAATTTCGGTATTAAATACTAGGATAACGATCACTAATAGTTTCCACAGAAGAATCCCTTCTCCGACGCTCTCAAATTCTCTCTCTCCCCAAGCCCAATCCTCAATCACTAGACGCTTTCACAAGCTTTTTCTACACCAAAACTCCCTTTCTAGGGCCTAGCTACGAGCTTTTATCTTCCTCCGGATCTCTTCTTTCACTAAAACTAGATACCGAGGGCCCAGACCGGATTTCCACCTTTATTCAACGCTATTTCGGCTATTATCTCGCTGTTCCCGATCCCACTCGTCCGCCATCATGGCAACCACTTTACTATTTCCCCGCTCGTCGCATTGCTCGCATAGTCGCTTGTTTAAGCATTTTTATTTCTGCTCTATTGGTAGTAGGCGCCATACTCACGCTCTATTATATCCCAAGTACAGAGATCGGAAAGAGAGTGGCTGCGATTGGTGCTTTTACAACTTCGTTTGCTGTCGCTGTGGTATCGTTGACGAATGCGAGGAGAGGGGAAGTTTTTGGTGTTACTGCTGCGTGAGTATCTTTTTTTCCTCCTCTTCTTGCCTTTGATGTTACGTGTGTTAATTGCTACCCAGTTATGCAGCGGTTTTGGCGGTGTTTTTGAGTGTACCGTCGCCTTCTTAGATGAATTAAATTTCTAGCTTGATGATCTACGAAAGTTTCCTTTACAATTGCTTTTATGCCGAGATACCGAACTACCGATACTGCTCAGCTGGTATTGATTAGTGTAGAATGATAGGTCATTCTACAATATCGTTAGCCGTCGATTTATATTCACAGTTTAGGTCCAGAATTGCTTAATCATTTATTTTCACGGATCCAATAACAAGATAAACCTCAAGTAAGATTTAAAATCCAAGATTTTTTGAAGAGTGCGAAGCACTTCATTCCTTTCATGAAACTGCGGGACCAGAACACAATTACGGCCCAAGAGGCGACTGAGATTTTTATTGTAAAGTATTTTTTTTGGATGTTAATGCAATGCTTATGTTTTTGTTGGATTGACCGTGGATATATATTGAACTCCGGCTTATTGTAAGATCTTGGTGGAATTATAAGATAAGTACATGACTACTGGTGAATTTTTGCCATGGGCTATAAGATCTTACAATGTTTTGTAATACTGCAGATTAGATTGGATAAACAGATCTATATTAGATCAATGTTGATAATGATGTTGAAATTATTCTCGTCGAAGTTCTCCATTCATCCTATTTATAAATCTTCAAACCTTCAACCACCATCTAAGAATTCTATCCATATCGAAGAGTAGGTACTGTCGTATTATAAGTCATATCCATCAACTATTTACCATATATATTTAACAACAATACGAAATATCAATACAATGTAGTAAAATAAAATATAAAAGGCGCAACAACAACACTTATAAACCAATACTACCTAGTCAATACTAATAAATCTATAACAACAATAAACATCACCAACAACAACATCACTTATCGAAACCTACACAACCAAATTTCCTCCAACATTCTTGTTTCCTGAAAATACAGACATAAAACTCCAGACGCCGATACACGCTAAATATACCAAAGTTCCAACATCCAGCCATCACCCCCTGGGACTTGCTTTGTTATGGTTATTTTGTAGAAGAGGGGTTAGGTGTAAGTTGTGGTAGTTTTTATAGTCGTATTATTCGTTTATTACAGGTAGGTAGGTGGAAATAGAAATCTAGTAGATGATGGGTGGGATTGGTGGGGGGTTTTTAGAGGAGTGTATTATGTTTGATGAGCGGGGAGGATGAGAAAGGATAGGAGGATATTTTTGGAGTTGGGTTGGAGTTGATTGTGTATGCTTTTTTTTTAGTTGGGCTTAATATAGATGTAAGAATTACAAACATTGATCAGAGAATTTTCTCCCCCCTCAATAGGTATGATAAATCTTATTTTGGGATTTAATATTGATGTATATGATAATGGATGAGATATCTACTGTAGAGACGGTGATTCTATAATATGATCTTATAATGATCAAAAAATTGAATAGATATATTTATTCAATTAACTTTATTACAATATCAAAGTATTGAAAACAATAGGAAAAAAGTTTCTAGAGAAAGTAAAGATATTGACAATAAATAGGATATCATATTTTTAACACATCGACAGTAGTGATAAAGATAATGAAAGATGATAAAATTGACAACATCTTACAAAAAGATGATATATACCTACATAACACAAAGCCCTCAATAAAAATTCAAAAAGACTAAGAAACCAACCGTCTCATCGTGACAAAATACAACCTAAGATTATGTATCAATCTTGGTCCTTGGTCTTTAAATAACTCACTGGGAGTTTTTAATTTAAAAAGGTTTCTCTGGACAAGAGGGTTTGTTTTATACCTTATTCTTTCTTTTTTCTTCTTTGGAGAGAGAGGGAGAGAGAGGGGTGGGAGGGGGTTGAGGATAGACAGATAGACATGGAGATTATTCACTTGGAGTTGTGAAGTGGTGCTAGCTACAATATACACTTGTCAGGGAATGCATATAGATATTATCCCCTCAATTACACCACCATACTCTCTCTACTTTAAGAATATAAAGAAAATATAAGATCTTAAATAGGCGACACTTGTAAAAAAAGCACTTCTTCTGTCGCAGGATTGAAATTCCATGGCATCATAGAAACATAAAGTGATCATTTGTTTGAACTTTGAAATGCTAGGTAAGATCTTATTTGGCATTATCTACCTATGTAGTTAGTTATCAAATCAGCAAAGCCATGAGATTCTGAAGATTATATTGAATTGTAGAGTAGATAGTGAATGCTGAATGCAAGGAAAGATGCTTTTAATTCGTGGATACGCTGAATTATCGATTATCTTGGATGGGACATGAGGTTCTAAGCATTGAAAATTCTTCGATTTCCGCGATTCTTGAGAGACATAGTGAGGAGGATGGCAGCTGTAAAGAGTAGCGAGATTTAATTGTATGGTTTAGAGATGATATTTGACACTATACATACAAATCAAATCATTAATTTACACTGCATGGTGATGAACGAGCTGGGTAACTCTAAACGCGACAGGGAGTGAGTTCTGTAGTGTTTATATTCCACACTAACCTTATAGTCTGACTGACTGAAAGCCCAAGAAGTGTCACACTCAAGAATACTGGGTAAAGTATCTTGTATTAGAAAATACTAAGCTAAGGAGAAAAGAAGAAGGAAAACAAGAGTAGAGAGTTTTCCTGTGATTAATTACAAACGGGGCATGCCACGTGACCCGGAGGTGTGAGGCGTCACAAGAAGAAAATAAAATACAATATCAAATAACAACTATAAATTTCTTATTATCAAGTCTAGTGTTTGTGCATAAAATCCCTAGATGAGACTTTCAGTTCAGATACCCCAGACTTCGGAAAGTCTAAGGATGTAAGATCTTATATAAATTACTGTGTTGTTATAAGTTTCGGTGAATGATTAAGGTTACTGGAACTAATAAAGCTAAGATTACAAAAATGGCAGTTTTTGATAATATCACCTATATTCTTTTTCGATTAACTTATAAATCATATTATAGAGGTAAGTTAAGTTATTCTCGACTTTAACAAATAAGATTGTCTATTTGAACTAACTGGCTTTATCTTTCAGAATCACCTTATAGCGAGCGCTGTGGATTGATATACAATAATTCAGAGCTTCCCCCACTATAAATTAGTGTAAGCTTAGCATCCCTAACCTGATCTTGAATTGAGGATACCTAATAAATTCTTGAATCCTTTGAATCTTTGGAATTTCTCCACAAAGCTTAATTTGAGATGTTGATATGGTATTAATTGTATGCAAGTTTCTTGTTTTCTTCAGACTGTTAGTGATAATATGTTTAAATGGTTGACGGATAAGTATAAGCTGATTACTTTTGATCCCGAAGATTAGAAGACGAGGTTTCAGATGCTGAGGGAACTGGGATGGAGTAACGGTTATTTGTGGGGATGGTACGGTTACTTTTGGGATGATGGTTTTTAGTGGTAGTGAAGTATAGTATAACAAGGTATGAATGATATAAAGGTCAACCAAAGAGAGTATTGATGCTTATAGAAGAGAAAGGAAAGAGGCAAAAAGGCCTCCTCGGTCTTATCTCCAGATTACCAGTCCTGTTTCACGGTCGTGACACCAATAGTACAATAGTAATTTTCTTGTAAATCCCATCAAGCATTTCCTCCACATCGGGATGTTTTCGTGGAGATGAAACAAAAGTCTACGAATCCTTGTTGGATATTCCTTGAGGAGGGGGGGGCGGGGGCTTCCCGCTGCATTGTTCCGTGTCTGATGGATATCTTTAGATTCGCTAATTATGTTGTGGTATTTGATGGCGTTTGATGGAGTACTTTCAGTATATGCTTGTGGCGGCGATGGCGTTGGAAGTAGGTATACAAATTCAAAAGGTGCATGAATATGAGGTCTTTGAAATCGCTGATGTTGATGTCTTTTTTCCTGGTTGGTCGGTGAGAATGTGAAGGAGAATGATTGTCAGTTTCGGTATATGGATGAGGACATAGGACAGGGAAAGGATAATTGCTGCTTTGGTTCGCGCCCGAGAAGATCTTTCCTCGAATAGAGTGCTTGTGCGAGAGTTGTGAAATGAAGAGTTAGTTACATCATTGAGATTCGAGAAAGAGATAGGATTTATACCAGAATATTAATCAGTGAGGTTTGATTAAGATGCTTGCTTCTCCTTAGAATCAAGTCTTTCATTGATCTAGATCTAGTAAATTCTTATAATTAGATGGTTTTCTTATCAGTGATTGGTGATGCTACTTTCCTTTCCTTTCCTTGAAACTCCCCGGTAAAGTTGGTTATTAGAGTTAGAGTTAGAGTTTCCCCCCACCACCAGAAATTGTAGCTCTAGATCTAGCCCTTCAAAGTTCAACAACATCATCAATAACCTTCTGCCATCTACCACCATACTTACCACACCTACCGCACCTACCACACCTACCACATCTACCTGCCTATCTAGTTCTTACTTTTGTCAGCTCTTCTTCCAACCTTCTTCAGGTTCTTGCTTCTAATCCAACGCTCGGCGTTCATTAGCTCCTATATGGGTTTCCACTAGAACTAGGTTTCCGACGGGTATTGGCATAACTTGAATCTCCATAACTTTCGCTCGAGATCATTTGAATGTTTACAACACCGCATCTCCATCACGCAAATCATCACACGCTGGCCGTACAGTCTTTTCAACACCAGATTGTTGTCATTACGATTGCACTTCAAACGAGAGTTACATATTGATCTTTTTCTTAATCTTCTTCTAGCTTTTATTGCTTCTGCATCCAAAAATCAATTGAATCTCACGTATTACAATCAGTTCGTGCAGGGTTGGAAATCTGGTGGCGTCAGTACATTCACTTCGGGGTGCATTTCCCCTGCAGTAAGTTGCGTCAACCCCGATATCGAAAATTACTATTCGACCATTTGGAGGTACCACAATTGGGGAATACAGTGTTCCACTTCCACAGATCTGCAGTCAAAAGATCAAATACCATCTATTCACAAAAGGAACATTCCATCAATACATATTCTTCAATTTTCTATCATCTTGTCCGGCTTCACAACATCGAGGCTGCGGGGTCGTTTATGAGGTCATCATGTTAAGATCAATTCGAGGTTTAGTTGCAGGATGGTTACCAAATACCAATGAATCAGACTACGAATTAATCCATACATATGGAAATTCCTCACCAACATTGACAACTTGCACGACCAAGGACGATACATTCTCTCAATTGAGATTATCGTTCACCAAATTCCTCTTCTTCCTTATACCTTCCCCTATCCAACGACGACTTCAACCGGCCCATTTCAAGCCTCATCGATTATACCCAACTTCCTATCTCGATGGACTTCGTGGAGTTGCTTCCTTGTTTGTTTTCTTTTGCCATTACACCGAGGAAAATGTACAGTTCATGATACCATCATATGGCTTGCCCATAGATGATCCTGTACCATCTTCTTTCATGCAACTTCCTTTCTTTCGAGTAATTTACAGCGGACGACCCATGGTTCATATCTTCTTCGTCATATCTGGATTCGTTCTTTCTTTAAAGCCTTTGAAATTAGCTCGAGCACATAACTATGCTGATCTTCAAACAACTTTGTCCTCATCTGTCTTTCGTCGGGGTATGCGACTTTTCTTACCCACTACCGCCTCCACGTTTATGGTTATGATATTCATTCGAATGCGCTGGGTCAGGGTTGAAGGACTCGAAACGTTCTCAATACAATTTATGGACTGGATGCATGCGATTTGGACGATAGGATATTCTTGGGATTGGGATAAAATGTGGTGGCCAAAGTACGATGTTCATGTCTGGACTATTCCCATTGAGATGGCACAATCCATGCTTCTCTTCGTCACTATTACCGGCTTAGCCAGATGTAAAGTTTGGATCCGTCTCTTCATGTTCGTGGTAATTATGTTTTATAGTTTGAAGTGTGGACGTTGGGCTGCATTCGAATTCATTGGTGGCGCTCTGGTGGCAGAAGTGGGAATTATTCAACAAGCGCGAGCCGAACAAGATCCCAACAAAGAGATGCCAGCTTCGGATGAAGAATCTTGTAGTTCATGGAAAACATCGGCAGTTTATGCATTCTGGACTATGAACTTCATTTTTGCCATGTGGATTGCAGGATGGCCAAACCATGATGTACTGAAGACTCCTGGACTCAGTGAAATCGCACTCTACACGATGGAGCCATACTGGTCTCGCAAACGAGAGGAAGAACAAGCATTCTCTTGGTTTGCATTGGGGGCCATGCAAGTTGTTTTTGCTTGTCAGCAACTTCCTCTATTGCAAAGATTCTTCACGTCTAGCCCAGCGCAATACCTTGCCAATATTTCGTATGCATTATACCTTATGCATGGGCCTTTTCTCGACATATTTGCTCATCGGTGGATGCCCTATGTGTGGTGGGCAGTTGGTGGACGAGAAAATAGTGGTATGTGGTCACGGACGTTTGCTTGGTGGGGTGGGATGCTAGGGCTGGCCATACCTATCTTCTGGGCAGCAGATATTTTTTGGAGAGCCGTGGATATTCCATCTGTAGAATTTGCAAAATGGTTAGAAGGAAAATGCATAGTCAAAGAGGATTGACGACATGATATAGAAGGGGATTGATTGAAAGTACATCTTTGAGGGCATTTTGCGAGGCGTTCATAGATATCTTGGGATGTAAAATGCCGTATGATGAATGGGAAAATCCTA